ACACCGAAAAGTGTTGCATGCGTACGGGTTCGTAATAGATTGAATGCACAAGTCTGATCAAAAGTTTATGAAATTTATTCTTATCACAAGAAATAAAACAAAATGCTGAAATTTTTCATCACAGATATTCATACAGTAGTAGTAATTCATACAGTAGAAAGTAATATCATACAGTAGTTATATTTTAAGCTACTAAAACGTTAATTAAGACACATTTCAAATCGCAAAGAAAGCTAATCCGATCTCAAAATCACAGCAGTTAAGTAACCAACAACAACTTGGTAAAACAACTGAACTGAGATCTTTCTGTCCGGCTTTTTAAAACTGTTTAATCAGTCACGAGAAGCTTCTCGTAATTTCTATTTTCTTGAAGTATCTTAAAAGCAAAAGAGTACAATTATGAGATAAATTGTATTTATTAAATGTTAAATTCGCGTGCTCCTATATTTTTACTTTTTCGGCGTAGCTTTCTCTTAAAACTCTCATGCGCTGCGTTGCACGGGGAAATAAAGAAATTTTAATTAGAATTCTACGTAGGTTGATCCAAAAAAAAGTTTACAAGCAGAAGCATTTGAAATGTAATAATTGTGGAGCGAATATTTTCACGCAGGGTGGTTGACAGATGGAGCTAGTTGTCCTACAGCGGTTCTACGGGTAAGTAGCGTCAGTACGCAGACACTTAAGAGCGACAGTAATGGCATGACGTCTAGAAAAGTGTTCTCGCATAGAGGTGCGAGACGTAATTCGATTCTTATGGGCCAAGAATGTGGCCGCATCCAAAATTCACAGACAAATCGTTGAGGTATACGGGGACAAAGCAATGAGTAGACAACAGGTAGCGAAATGGTGTCGCTCTTATCAAGCGGGAGGGAGCATGTGGGAAACCGCAATATAGAAGCGAGCAGCCGTCCAAGTTCTTCAAGGACGGATATCAACACGGCACGTGTTGAAGAAATCATCCAAAGGGATCGACGAGTAACCGTGCGTGAGATTGCCTCAGAGTTGGACCTGAGTTATGGTAACGTTCAGCGTATCGTAACCGATGAGTTGCGATATTCCAAAGTTTGTGCGCGCTGGGTTCCACGTGCGTTGTCCGCGGAGCTTAAGGCCACTCGAATGATGTGCAGCCTCACATTTCTTCAGCGATACCATTCAGACGGCCAACATTTCATTGATCGCATCGTTACCGGTAATGAAACATGGCTTCATCACTTCACCCCCACATCCAAAAGAGCCACAATGGAGTGGAAACATGCTGGATCACCGACGTGGAAGAAGTTTAAGGTCACACCCTCTGCCGGTAAAGTGATGGCAACCGTTTTCTGAAATACGACTGGTGTTATCCTAATCGAGTATTTGGAGCGTGGCCATATCATTAAGGCCGATCGTTATTGTGCAACCTTAACAAAATAGCGTAAAGCCATCCGACGCAAACGGCCTGGATTACTGAACAAAGGGGTCATTCTTCTGCATGAAAATGCCAGGCCCCATACAGCTCGCCAGACTCAGGAATTGCTGCAAAGGTTCAAGTGGGAGGTCTGGAATCACCCCCATACAGCCTCGATTTGGCTCCAAGTGACTATTTCATTTTTCCGGCGTTGAAGTGATACTTATCCGGACCACGGTTCACCTCAGACGATGCAGTGAAAACAGCTGCCGAGAAATGGCTCAATGAGCAGGGCCCTGATTACTACCAAGACGGGATAAACAAGTTGGTCGAACGTTCTGACAAATGCCTAAACAGGTTTGGCGACTATGTGGAAAAGTGAAGGTCAGATGTGTCTCTTGATTCCCATTTGTATCTTGTTTCTATTGTTAATAAATACTTTTTCATTTGCCTTGTAAACATTTTTTGGATCACCCCTCGTACTAAAAATAGCTAAATAAATACAAAATCCTTAACAATATTTATCAATAAGCACGGATTGCAGTTATTCAGTTTGGAACAATTATAACTCCTGCTCTTTGCACTAACGAAATCTGATAAAAGTTACAGTAGTTACACAGAAGCATCAATAATCCGTAGTCTTCAACAGATTGGAGCATTAACTCGTGCTTTAACCAGATCTCATCATTAAAAACTTATTTAAATTGCGCTTACTGACCCTAACTTTCGATGACTTATTCGGACTGCTCAAACTGCACAAAACTATTTATATCGACAGAAAACTATAAAATAGTAGCTCACAGCAGAATGGTCGCACTGTGTTAATGGGATATCTCATTATTATAATTTCTATTACAATCTAATTATAATTAACTGAAAATTTCTTAGGTGAGTTAAGCCACAAATGAGACAAAAAATGTGCAAAGTATAATATATAAAGTAATATAAAAGTTAACCTAATAATGTGAATTAAAATTAAACAACTTTACGCTTTTAAAAAGTTTATTTTAATTAATACGCTATTTTTATATTCCAGCTGTTCTATTTCCTTTTTATATGAGCTTCACCAAACCGTAGTTTTTGTGGCTTTTTAACAGCGAGAGAACATTAAGTTAGAGAGAAAGTTAAGAAGGCAATCAGCAGGTTATTTTATGCACGTTTTAGAGATATCTAGAGAAAAAATTAATAAGATGGGTGATTATCTGTGGTAAAAATACAAGTTTTACACATCATATTCCGAGTTTTATATTAGATAGCTTAGGAGTTCCTGCGATAATAAAATTTATTCACAGAGAATAGAGGTTAGTAAATATGTGGACCACTCCACCCACAAGACAATCAATCATTAATGCAGGGCGACGGAAACGAGCATTATCATTCATTAGGAGGAATTTATGATCGATTGCACTGCTGAATTTGACGTTGGCTGAAAAATCTCACCTCAGTATACTTTACGTTCATAGCTACTATAATGGTAAAAAGGCATAGGTCAATTCCGGTGTTCAAAATGATGCACGCCTATATCAGGTTTACGTTATCCCCACAAGATAATTGCACTACGATTGCACTACGATTTTATTGCACTACGATATGAAAGCACACATTGCAAGAAAGAAATTACCAGAAAATGTTCATAGATTACTTGTAATCAATGCACATAAAATAAATACTAAAAAGCTATACAATAAACCATGTTTAAACATCGATGAGTACAGGGAAGCATAACAAAGCAAATGAAAACAGAAAATGTTTTTTAGTCCATTATTCCATTATGTGCTATTTCTAATTTAATAGTCGTTGCTTGATAAGCAAACAGCAAACACACTAATATTTTCCGAATACCTATCCCGATCTTCTGCTACAGATAATCCCTTAGCAGGGAAAAAGTATCACGCTGTCCTCCTAGAAGAAGTACGTCATCGGATGACAACCATAAAGTGATCTACCATAATAAGCTGTTTCTCCCCTTTTTGGCGTTCAGGCTGTTCTCCGAACCTTATCCGAAATTTACTATCGATTCTAATGCTAAATTTGGTATAGAATTTAAGCCTCATCTTAGTATGCTTCAGATTTATAGTTGTAATGATAAAAATGCATCGGACAATGAGGGTGTTCAAAATGATGCCTCCTACATATGTTTACATCATCTTTGTACCATCACGAATGTTTTCAGGCTTATTGCTTGTGTTTTGCTGTCTCCAAATTATGTCGTCTTGATCTTTGTATTGGTTAGCGATGCTGGTTGCCGTATTGTGGGGTTGGGATTCGAATCCCGCAGAAGGTATGGATATTTGTAAATGTATAGTGTCTGCGCAGCATGTAAGTTCTTTAAATATTGGTGATACCAAAGTCCTGTATACGGTTTAGTGATAAGGGAAGAGAGGTAGGAGACTCTCTGGCCTATCTTCTAGAGTGTGTTCTGTTAAAATCAAAGTAAACTGTATTGTTAATACGGTGGAAGTCTAACTTAAGGGACTACTTGGAGAAGCTCTAGTGTCTCGCCCACTCGTTCCTGTCTGGCCCTCGGAATTGTAACACATATGGAGTTACTCTTTAAATAAAATTGAGACTCAGAGATAAAGACAGCTCGATTTCAGTCTAAGATAACATAACTATATACGAGTACATTATCACTATAAACGGAATATAATAAAATCGCTATAAATGGGCGCATGTTGCAGCATGAGTTATTGGAACATAAATAACGGATTTCCTTGCATATAGCCTTCTTTCTGCAACATTCATCTTACAGTGTATCTAGATAGTCAGGTTCTGTAACTTCAACAAACTCTTGCAGTCCGCAGTGAGTTAGTTGTCTACCTTTTTTTAGCTATCATTGTCAAATAACAGACCCGAGGGTTTGTTGTAACACTTTATCGGCTTTTACCTGCTTGTCTGCATACATCACCAATGTTTTTAAACTGTATCCAGGTTCCCGACGAGACGCTTTTAACTACTTTTAGATATTGAGAAACCAGTGTTAATATCTAGCCTGCTTCCATTTTCTCAGTCGCACTCAATTTCTCACAGTTCTTTAAATTCCTTTCACACGACATGGTCAACCTTTCATATGCGAAAATATTGTTTAACTACTTTGACACTCTTTGAAGTTAGAATTTTAAGCACTCTTTAGCTGTCTTTTTCACACGTGCTGAAGGAATAAGTGGAAATATTTACATGCTTCTGAGTAGTGATGGTAAATCCTACAGAACTACAAATAAAAACTGATAAAGTTGACCTAAAACTACTAACCAACATATTTGTAATGGATTTCATTCATATAATCAACATAAAGCACCTTTTTATTGTTGCTCCTTTAATTTTTCTCAGCCACTGTATTTTGAGCTCCATGGTTGAACAATTTTGACGGACTTTCAAATCTGTGCTTGCCCAACTGTATTCTTCCATTTATTCGGAAAAAATTTAGAAAATTCGCAATAAAATTCAGATTTAAATTGCGAGATACTTTTTAAATTCTTATCAATAAATCTTGAGATACATTCCGCAAGAGAAGAGGAAAAGAGTGGTCCCGTGATCTAGTGACGTTACCACGTTAATCGCCTATAAAATTACTTTTTACTCATTAAGCATTTGGCAACAAGATAATGTTTGGGTGTTGCTATGTCCGTTGCTATGTTTTTTATATTAAGGAAAAGTGGCATGTACTTTTAAAATAATTTTACAATATGTCTCCTTTTCTGTTTTTCAGTTTTAGTTTCTTATTTGAAACGACATGTATATATGGACTGCTGTTGAAGTAATTCATAAATCTCCTTCTAAAATATAAGAGCAACATGGTATTTATACATTAACTTTATCGTTGTTTTTCTCCAAAGCTTGTTATGTCAGTCATAGATAATTATTATAACTGCGGTTAAAAGTAAAATCTATTTTACTGTGCAACAATACATACTTAAGCAAAACTATAAAACCCCTAAAATTTTTGTTTCTGTTTCATTACATTTTATGATTTTGTATCAATTACTTTGGTATTTGATAAAATGATATTAAATTACATATTGTATGGTTTGTGCAGCTGTTGTCGAGAACAAAGCCAGCTCAAGCGAGTGGAAGTACTGCTTCTGTAGATTCTAAGAGCCGCTCTAAAGTTCCTACTCTAGAAGAATTTGTTAAAAACAGAGATTTCACTGGAGCACTTACATTGTTAGAAGTAGGTTTATAATATGAAATGATTTCTTATTTATATTCTATTTAGTCTGTTTTAGAAGTTTTTCTTAACCTGGCAGTTTTCATAATTAATGTATGCTTTTAATTCATATTTCACAAAAATGTGGGTAAAAGTTTACAGTTGGGTGTCCTTTGTTTTTTTTTTTTTTTTTTGGTGATTCTTTTTTTATACCAAGATTGGTGCCAGGAAAGCTTAATATCAACATGGCCGCTACACAAAACCAAAATAAGAAGTCAAAGAATTGCACCAATTTGGTGACCATGCACACATTGTTCTATTTTCACTTGAAAAAACATTAGGGAATTGCACAAACTAGGCATTGTGCACTGCGTTAACTTTGTCCATGTATACGTCAATCTATTTTCATTTTAAAAAATCAGGAAGCTAAAACAAAGTTAAAACTATTATGGTAACCAGAAATGAGGTTTCATCGCCAAAAGTGAATAAAATTTGTTGCTTTTCAATACGTAATATCTTTGATGCCAAAATGAATAGGTAAAATTTTACAAGCAATGCCTTTTAACACAAATAGGGATTTCTTATGACCATAAAACTATCCATTTTAGACAAGATTATAGTTCACATGCTTTCTGCTAGCATATCAGTTTTCAGTTTCATGTAGGTAATAAAATTAGACAAAAATGCAGGGCTTAATTTCTAAAATTAGAAGTGCCAGAGCCCTATGAAGACTGTGAGGAAGGAAGAAAAAAATAAATAAATAAATAAAATAGCTAATAATTAAATAATAAATTTAAATTAATTTTGAATAATTAAATAGGAATAAAAAGTATCGGACCTCGTCTTATTTGAGGCATTGTCTGGAATTACGATTCCACTTAAGGGACTAAGAAGCAGCTCAGCCAATCTCCATCTGAGTTTAAGCCCTGATAATACATAAAATTACTATTCCAAAGGATGACAGCTATCGGTCTTTTTTTTTAGCAGCACACGAAGGGAAAAAAAAAATAAAACGATTAAAGATCCACTAAGGAGAATAGTGAGAATTCTAGAAACAGTATGAGGGTATGGAAAGAAAATTTAACTGAAAAGTGTAGCTTTGAAGATAAAGAGGAAAGAGTTCAAGACTTCCTGATTGCGATGCTCTGTCGATATAATTCTAGCCGTTAAGCAGAAATTTTCTCTGTTTACTTTTCGTGAATAAATTTTCCTAAATATAACGTGAGAATAAATATAAGATTTCTCGGTACAAGTGACAGCAGTGGTCCCCCGTTTGGTTACATCATTCAGAAAATCTACAGCTCTGCAGAAGGAAGTGACTAGCGTGGAATGTGCACGACCAGGGTGTCACTTTTAGTTCTTTGAGGAATACAAAATTTACTCGCTCTCATAAATTTATTGCATATCCTGAAGAATAAGCCTTTGACATATAGTAATTGAGGGCTTTTCTTTCCTAAAAATTCTCAACCTCTGTGCAAAGCTTGAGTGTGATGGAAAGACGAGCTTGCATTCAGAAGTTAGAATTGGACTTTTAGACATGTTTACTATTAAAACAAAATTTCTGTGCTAAAATTGTGGTTCATTTGCATAAAAAAAAGTGCCTGAGCCCTTTCATTTAGGGCTCCGGGGTGCTCGGGCTGAAATTATAATTTATTTCGAAAACTGAGAAGTACCAGAGCCGGGCTCTGGTGGGCTCCGGCGCAATTTAAGCTCTGCAAAACTGCATTTCAGAATTGGCATTAGTGAAACTGTGTGATGTTGCAGAAAAAGAGGTACTGTTTTCTATAACGTTTCATATTATAATAGATACTTTTTGTATTATTAAAGACAGTATTAAGACCAAAATTTATCATAATTACAGATTTAGGTGAAAATATGCTTAAGCTATCGCCAATTTGGCACAATTTTCTCCTTTAAAATGATTGATTATAGCAACCATATTGTTTATATTTAAAAGTTAGCAGAATAGTGGATTTATTGCCAGTCTAGAGAAACTAAGCTTTGCAATAATAAAGTAACGTCTCTCACCATTATGAATTAATCCATGCATATTCCATTCTGGAATTATCATTTAAGTTATTAAATTATTGCGGTTAAAGTAGACTGAAGGGTATGTTATTGAAAATTTAATGGCTCCATGTACCGTTGTTTTATCACAATTCGAGAAACTTACTTACATTTATGCAGGTTCTTCATTATTTAATTTCTTTAAATATAACACAGGGTACTAATTCAGAAGTCAAACAACAAAGATCAGCGTTATACCTACAAAATTTTCACAGGACTAGTTTCGATGGTTTTACCGAACCATCATCTTCAGCTGCAAAACCGCAAATGAACAAGATAGGAAATAATGATTAGATAAGATAAGAAAGCCTGGACAAGAATAAGCAAGTGGCGCCATCTGTTGGCGAAACCAGAACTAAAACATAATTTCTCTAAAAGCCGAAGGCAAATTTGGATTGGAATTAGGATCGTTAACTAGAACAGAAAGATTTTTATGAATGTGAAATGCCTCTAGAAAATCCAGTTCTCCAATGGAAGATCTTTTTTGAATAATTTTGGCAGCAGAAAAATTGAAAGTGTGATTTTCGGACCAACAATGTTGAGCAACAGAAGACCTCTGTGTTTCCTTTTTTCTAACATATGCCTCATGTTCTTTGACGCGAAATTTTAAGGCTCTCTTAGTTTGGCCAATGTAAGTTAAACCACACTGGCAAGGAATCCTATAAATACCCCAGGAATTCATATCCGGAATGGGGGTCCTTGAGTATAGAAGTTGGAATTTTATTGATGGGAGAAAAAAACAACCCGAAAGTTAAATTTCTGCAAAAATATGTGCAACTTTATAGCTAATTGATGGAAAGAAGGGAATGACAACAGAATTTTTATAATCTCCTAAAATAAGAGTGTGGCTTTTAGTGTGTTGAGATGAGAATTTTTTAACTGCTTGATTAATAATGTTGGGTGAAAAGCCCCTGTCAATAGCTATTGCTTTTAAATAATTTAGTTCTTCATCAAGGGCTAGTTTGGAGGAGCAAACTTGAAGAGCACAAAAAACATAGGAATAAAATGAACCTAACTTTTGTTTAGTCAGATGACATGATTTAAAGTGTGGTGGAAGGCAAAAAACGATGAAGGTTTACGGTGTTTACGGTAAACTGTAGTACTGAAGTTGGATGTGTTACGTGTGACCAGAAGTCGAGAAACGGAAGAGAATTGCAAGGTCTCAAGTTCAAAAGTGAACTGAATAGCAGGATCAGTAGAATTCATTGTTGAAAGAACTTTATTTAAATCATCTTTATTACCTTCAAACAGGGTAAAAGTATCGTCTACGTAGCGGAACCATGTCGGGAAGTTTAAAGTTTCAAACTAGCCCTTGATGAAGAACTAAATTATTTAAAAGCAATAGCTATTGACAGGGGCTTTTCACCCAACATTATTAAACAAGCAATTAAAAAATTCTCATCTCAACACACTAAAAGCCACACTCTTATTTTAGGAGATTATAAAAATTCTGTTGTCATTCCCTTCTTTCCATCAATTAGCTATAAAGTTGCACATATTTTTGCAGAAATTTAACTTTCGGGTTGTTTTTTCTCCCATCAATAAAATTCCAACTTCTATACTCAAGGACCCCATTCCGGATATGAATTCCTGGGGTATTTATAGGATTCCTTGCCAGTGTGGTTTAATTTACATTGGCCAAACTAAGAGAGCCTTAAAATTTCGCATCAAAGAACATGAGGCATATGTTAGAAAAAAAGGAAACACAGAGGTCTTCTGTTGCTCAACATTGTTGGTCCGAAAATCACACTTTCAATTTTTCTGCTGCCAAAAATTATTCAAAAAAACATCTTCCATTGGAGAACTGGATTTTCTAGAGGCATTTCACATTCATAAAAATCTTTCTGTTCTAGTTAACGATCCTAATTCCAATCCAAATTTGCCTTCGGCTTTTAGAGAAATTATGTTTTAGTTCTGGTTTCGCCAACAGATGGCGCCACTTGCTTATTCTTGTCCAGGCTTTCTTATCTTATCTAATCATTATTTCCTATCTTGTTCATTTGCGGTTTTGCAGCTGAAGATGATGGTTCGGTAAAACCATCGAAACTAGTCCTGTGAAAATTTTGTAGGTATAACGCTGATTTTTGTTGTTTGACTTCTGAATTAGTATTTATTCGGCGTGTTATTGTGTCTTAATAACACAGGGTGATAATATTTAGTGGCAACAATTTGAATAACAACACAGCTTCCAAATATTGAGTAGCCATGTTGGCGCGTTTATTGCCCATTAAAAAAAATTGCCAAGCAGTGGGCTAAACCGCATTTAAGTCCGGCTTTATATAATAAAGCATAATATATTTTTTTTAATTGTAACTAGTAAATGTGTGTGCATGAACAAAATTTTTTAAACAGTACCTAATGAATGTGATATGTAACAAGGAAGTTTTAATATTAAAACTTCCTTGTATTAAAACTTCCTTGTTACATATCATTTGGTTTTAGCCTCAGTTTATCTTAAATGATCTCTTCCTAAAGTATGTGTAAAGTTGCAATTTTTATAAGAATTGAATCTTATGGAAAATGCAAATTCCATAAATAGCCCTTGTAATTTTTTTTTTTTTTTTTTTTTTTTTTTTTTTTGTTTGTGTGTGTGTGTGTGTGTGTGTTGTAAAATCCTAGTTTTGTTCATTTTCATCTGTAACATAAATAGTTGGGTATTTTATGTTCGTAAAAACACATACTAGTATGTCATTTGTTTAAAAATGTTCTATAAGTGATTTATTTTTAAAGAAGCTGGTATTCAAGAAACAGTAAAAACATTATAGACATTTAAAAGTGTAAAGATTAGACAAAGCATACAAGGACTCTCTGCTTAAAAGGAGAGATGACTTCATGGAGGACTTCCTAAGAAAAAACTGGTTTGTATTCACATTATACATGAAACCATGTAGCCAGCCCATTTACCTGTGACCAAACCTGGATCGAACTCTTAGTATAATCCTAATGTAGATTATTTATATTATGTTGTACACCTATCCCTCGATTTACACGGCTTAAATTAACAGATTTCAAAAACTTGGTAAAAATTTATATTCAGCTGCATATACACAAATGTATATATCTGAATCATTTTTGAATCTTATTCTTTTGGTAACACTGGTGGCAACAACAAGGATAGAGATTCCCCATGTTGTAAAAGGGGAATCCCTGCTGTATGTATATGTATTTCACAACAGTAAAGCTATTTGGTTCATATGAATTAGTTCAGTATCAGTATTTTAGCAGCAAAGCTAAAATCATTTTTATCTACTTATTTGAATGTTTACTGGTAAGTTTTCAACATTAATATTTTTTGTGGCATTTTTATAATTTACGTACATTTTTTCCAGGTTTTGTAATGCTAAAAGATTTGGAAAAAATCAAATAAAAAGAAAAGTTATATATTTAGAAAAAAAAATTAAAATATTAGATCGTCTATGTAATAGAGAAAAAGTGACAGATATTGCTAGATTTTACTCCGTGAATGAAGCCACAATAAGGACGATTAGAAAAAATGAAGACTATTAGAAAAAGTGTAGTATCTGGAACTTGCACCAGTAACAGCACAATTTCATATGTAAGAGATGGTACAATGGAAAATATGGAAATGCATTAGGAATATGAATAGAAGACCAAAATCAAAAACAGATTCCAATTGATACTAATGCTATTGCAAATAATTAATTTTTAAGTGCTTTATAATCTTTAAAGATTTATAAAGCACTTAAAAATCAGTCACCACCAACTTCGTCAGATGAAAAAAAGGTATCCTTTTCCCCAAGTCATATTTAGTTTGAGCGATTTAAACAAAGACATTTTTTACATATTCTAAGACTGAAAGGAGAAAGTGTATCTGCTGATTCGGATGCAGCACAACAATATCCAGGAAAATTTGCTGAAATCATTGCTGCCAACTTCTACATGTCTGATCAGATCTTCAATGCTGATGAGTCCATATTGTTCTGGAAAAAAAATGCCTAAAAAAACCTATTTAGCTAAAGCTTGCAAATCAGCTAGTGGTCATAAGGTAGTGAAAAGTCGTATAACAATTTTTTTTTTCTTTTGCAGTGCTTCAGGCAATTATATAATGAAACTATTGGTTATTGACAAATAAAAAACACACTTATTTAAAGGAATAAACACAAATAACCTTCCTGTTTATTGGATGGCTAATAAGAAAGCATGTGTCACTACCATAGCTTTCAATGTATGGTTTCATAACATGTTTGTCCCAGATGTCAAATTATTATTTAAGTAAAAAGGGATTGCCTTTTAAGGCTCTTCTGTTAATTGATAATGCACCTGGTCATCATTGAGATTTACAACATGAAAATGTAGAAGTTGCCTTTTTACCAAAGAATACAACTTTTTTATTACAGCTGTTAGATCAAGAAATAATTTCTACTTTTAAGGCATTGTGTATCAAACAAATCTTCAAGTATATTTAAGAACAAATAGAGAATGGTGAATCTTTTATGGATGCTTGGAAGAAATTTACAATCTTAGATTATGTTAAGCATGTTGGACTGTTCATATACTCAGATTAAACAATCAATGCTCAACGCATGCCGGAAAGCATAATGGCCAGATGCTGCTAAAGATGAGAATGATACCATTAGAACATGAATATTCTCAGATCACTAAATTGGCCCAAACTATAGCAGGAGAAGGTTTTGATGATTTAGCTAAAATAGATATTGAAGAAATAATGGCTGATGAAGAACTAAGTGAGGATGAGTTAGTTAACATGATTCATGAAACAAATAAACATGATGAAGACAATGATTCTGATGAAGAGCAATCTAAACCAGTTGCATTCACAGCAAGAGTCATCAGTGTAAGACTTGAATTGGGAAGAAAATTAGGTAATCATTTTTTTACAATATGACAGGAATATTGAATGAGCTCTCCAATTCCAACGGGAGCTTAGTAAGTGCTTAAATAAATATGAGAAGGTTTACAAAGGTTTAGGGAAGAAAAAAACCGAGGCAATTGTTAATTACGGATTTCACTACAAAGTCTTGCCAATCTGAGATCTTCTCTGATTCATCAACCATTGAATCAGAGTCTTTTTTATTAAGAACGCTCAAGTGATGAAAGTGACATCATACTAGTCAAGAAGAAAAGACTAATAGTTCCATGATAGTAATGATAGTGATTAAACTTATAATAATTTTTTGAATGATCTTATATTTTCCTAATGCAAAATAAATTAAATACATACTTCTATTAATTACATATATTTGTTATTTTATGAACTAAGTATAACTTTATTTATTTTAAGGTGTCTTACTTTTTTTATGTAAATAAATAACTAAATTATGCACGTTTAGTGTGTTTTTCATTTTACACAGTTTTACATAGCAAAATCCAAGATTTTGATTTACACGGTTTTCTGTTTAACCTATCTACTGTGTAAATCGAGGGATAGGTGTATCTTTCATATTGTACACTTTTCAAAATTCCCTTTTTAATAATTGCCTTTTATTCTTTTTAAAATATACCACTTAATAAACTTTTCCCTTTTAATTACTTTTTGATAGTTTTACATTTATTTGAGATGTTTTATTCAGTTAGGCACTCTGTAGTTATGAGCTTTTCCTTTTTAGTTCAAAGGGGCTTCGCCCCTGAGGGACTATTGTTTTCATTTTGCGATTTTACGTTGAATCACTCTGAATGTCCGTTTCACTTTTCAAACTGTTGCCACCATATATTATCACTCTGTATTGTATTTGAAGTAATTAAATAATGAAGAATCTGCATAAATGTATGTATGTGTTCTTGCATTGTGCTAAAACAATGGTACATAGAGCCGTCGACTTTTGAATGACGTAATCCTACTATGAATATGGGCATCTGGAAGCACAAATTTGAAATTTGGAATTTTTTTTATTATCGATTTCATATTTTGTAAAACCTTAATGAATTTTTGATTAACAAACTCAAGGATTTCAAAGTGAGCAATGGCAATGTTGTACAGAAAAAAACATTTTTATTTCCAGTGTGTGAGATTATGTATCAGAAATTCTAAAGATAATTTAATAAAAGATCTCAATTTAAAATTATTTTGCAATAATGCTCTTAAACTGAATTTTATGATTTAAGTGCAAAGAACATGATATTTAATAAATAAAGTTAATGTACAAAATGTTAAAAAAAATGGCCCTTTATGCATGTCCGTTTCACCTTTCAGATTTTTTTCCCCCCTTTTTTTTTGTTAGTTTTTTTTTTTTTTTTTTTCTGTAATTTAAAAGTGATTGATCTAGGTCATAGTTAATGTGCTAAATCCTTTGAATGATACCTTATAATGGAATAATCTTAAACAATCTTAATAAAGAAATATGCATACCATTACCGAACATAAATATTAGTAGTTCATTAGGTGCTGAATGAGTTTGGAATTTTCATGGTTTCTCCCATATGTAAAATGAATGCTTGTTATTATATTTTTCATTGGAAATATCTGTTCTAAAACAGATAACTATTGAGTACTAATTAACCTAACCATCATCTAATATTAAAACTGGCAATTCCAGAAAGAATGATTAATTTGAGAGATATTGCTGTTTACAGTATATGTCATTACATGGAGTAAAATATAGGAAATTAAACCAAAATTATTCTCAGATATTTTACTTAAATTGCTAAATTGTACTAAATTGTAACAACATCAATATTTCAAAACACAGCAGTAAGCTTTGGTAAGTAAGTAAACAGTGGTGTAGCTGTAGAAGGGGTAAAGGAGACTGTCCACCTTGGGCAGCTTATTTTTAAAGGTGCTAAGTTTTTTTTTTTTTTTTTTTTTTTTTTGTGTGTGTGTGTGTGTGTGTGAAACATTTTATAGGTGTTGATCAGGTGGATTGTCAAGACACATGAAGAATAATTAGATTCTAAATTGCCATATGAAGTTAAATCGAGAGAAAATAGTTTTAATCTAGATAAAGTACATGATTTCAACAGTTACATTATTTTCTTATATGCTTTTTGTTCTATTGAAACTTTTGATTGCAAATTACGAATATCAGCTAAATTATGATTACAGAGATCATAATTTGAGATCCTTGTTAAGAAAGTATTTTACACGCTACTGTAGCTAGGATTTAATTTTGGGAGAGGGCTGTGAGTTTTATCTAAAACAACATTTTTGTAACTGTCTTCTATTTATAAACTGAAACTTCTATTTGGGGGAGGGGCAGCTGTAATCTTTTCATCTTTCCCTTAAATGCAGCTATGCTTTCAGGGTTTTATTTCCATTATTACTGAGAAAATTAAAACATGAACATAAAAGGACAGTCCTTTTGAGTTTTTGTCATTTATTCTAAAATACAATCTCCAAAACAAAGCTCCAAATAATGTGATACTAGTGCGAACTTCCATCTCAATTGTTATAAGTGTGGTGAAAAATAAAAATCATTTAAGAGTACAAATAAAAATAATGTTGTGTATAAAAAATCTTTCTGTACTGTCTGCATAACAGTGAGAACAATCAACTGATTGCAGCACTACATTGTCATGGGTGATTTTGCAAACAAAAAAACAAGCAAAATAATAATATAGTTTTAAAATGTTGAATTAAAGTTTTTCTTCAAAAATAAATGCAAAGTTTGAATCTATTTATCTACGTGTTGTTTTGATGTTCTTTTCCGTCATTATCTGAGTGTATATCAAGAGGTGTGGCATATTCAGAGACCACGCTGGGCAGATAAAATTCTATCTATGCTACTGGCAATGAATCTTACTATGTGTAAAGTTCTGTTCCATTGATATGTATAAAGTTCTTTTCTTTTTCCCATAGTTTTCTAGAAATAGTGGAAAAGGTGACCTCAGGAATGATTTATGGATAGCTTACTGTGCCTTTCATCTCTCAGATTATAGAAGAGCTATGGAGGTATATCCTAAATTTAATGAAGTAATTTTTAAAACACAGGTTGTATTGCTAAAGTAAAATTGCTATTAAATTAATTTTCCAGTGTTCTTCTAAGTGTTTATTAATTGGTAAACGGTGTTATTTTAGTTCTTTTCAAATTTTTCATGTTATATATAAAATATATATTTTTTAAGTATACAACCTTCCAGTCTAGCTTGCTATGTAGATTTGTTATCCTTGCTCCAAAAATGCTGTCATTACTTATGTGTTAACCAGCCAAAAAATGTAGTATTTGGAAGGACTTTAATTATATCTAGCAATGTATTGTGTGCTCATATAATGTATCAGTATTTGTGCTTTAGAGCATTTTATTCTAATGTATGCTTAAGACAGTTCTTTACACCAAAACTGACTGCTTTTTTGCATCTAAGTCTGATAGTGAATATTTTAATCACGCATTTCAAGGAAAACAAGAGTATTTTTCCATCTTTTGAGCTTGGTCAATTGCTTTTTCTGTGTATCTTAAAAGAATATTGTGTGTAATCAAAAGTGCTATGTGTATTTGACTTCATGTGTGAAATTCAAATGTGAGTTTATTTTCAGTTATAGACTCTAAAATGTTATTAAAATTATTTAAAACTTCTGGAGTGCATGAAAAGTATTAGAAAAATTAACATATAAACTATATATTAGCTCAAAAGTTTAATTATTACTTTTCTAATGTGAGAGGAAATTATGAAAATCATTTGTAAATTGCTGAATTTTATTTATGTTTGCAGGAATATAACAAAATTCTGCAGAGAGAAGATGCACCAGCTGAAGTTTGGACATACTTAGGATGTTGTTATTTTTATCTAGGAATGTATAAAGAAGCAGATGCAGCTGTGACTAAAGGTGTAAATTTAAAATCTCTGAAATTATTGTTAATTTCATATTATGTTCCTGCAATGTATAAATATCATGTTGGGTGTCTTTGTGCTGTTTTCTGCACCTCAAGCATGTATTTATCCTTAAATGTAGCAAAGTGATATCACTTTAACAATGAACTTGCTTTATCAGTTTTAACTTCTGAACCAGTTACTAACAGCACGTTATTTGATTAGTAATTGTATGGAACAAAAGAAATTTTGGAACTTCCAGCAGATCTTGCAAAAGCCTTTAGTAACATCTGAAATTTGCATGTTACATACTGGGAGATTCAGTTTGTCAGTTTTGGTAAATGTGCAAAAGCCACTTTGAAAAGGAAATATCAGTTGTTCTTCTTTCTTTCTTTTTTTTTAAAGTTAAATATTGGATGGTATATTTTGTTTGCTTAGTATGAAATGTTCAGCATTGAATATGTCAGAAGAATTGTGTAATTTTTTCAACTCATTTAATTATTATCAGATTGGGGAAATTATTGAATTTCAGTTTATTTAGGCCATTATTCTTTGATTTTATGTTATATTAATTAGTATTTTCTGTCTTTTTAATTCTGAAGCATTACAAGCATGCATAAAATCCTAAAAATGGCAATATGAAAAATATTAGTATGCAACACTAATACTTCTTGCTGGGATTTAAATATGAATCAGACTACCAATATTCAGCTATTTTATCCACTCATCTGCTAATAATATATTCTCCAGGAAGTCTTTTCACTCTTTAGAGAGATAATTCTTATGTGTGTTGCCTTATTTAATTTAAATTTGAGCTTAAAAATTTTAGTTATGTACATGATAAATTGTCTGTTCATCGGCTGTCACATGAATATTATTTAATTCTCCAGGGCCAAAATCAGATCTGCAGAATCGCCTACAATTTCATCTTTCTCATAAATTTGGAGATGAGAAGTTGTTAATGGTGTATCATCAGCAGTTGAAAGATATACTGGAAGATCAGTTATCTCTGGCTTCTATTCATTATCTAAGATCTCATTATCAAGAAGCCATAGATATATACAAGCATATTCTTCTGGATAACAGGTACACTACTCTATTAAATTGACTGTACTGTAAATTTTTTTCTTAAACGTGTACATTAAAATTTAGTATTTAAAAAAAATCCTAGATTTACTGGCGAAAAAAGAAGCCCTCAAACTTAGACCCATGTTACATTTTAGGGTAAAATTTGAGAAAAAAAAATGTAAGATCATCATTCTGATTAGAATTCATTTATTTTTAATTAAAACTTAAAAGCAAGCTACCTAAATACATGATTTTATTTAGTGTTTGAACAGTATATAGCACGATTTATTAAGCTCATTTCGGTCATTCTTCAGTTTCATTTATCAGAATACCCAATTTAAGAACCTAGGAACATCAAAGAAACAAAGTTATGGGAAAAATATAGCCGAAAAATTGGTCTTATATTTGAGTAAATCTCATGTTTGAGTATTTTGTGTTTTTTAAACTAAATGTATCAAAACATAGACTAGAGAAATTTGGTGTTTGAAGCAGCAAAAGCCCATTAAATTTCAGCTCTGGTACCTCTTAGTTTTTGAGAGAAATCATAATTCTGTCCACCGCTCAGACAATATAGTGGTCATGAGAATCTACTGCAGTACCAAAGGGCCTGGGTTCGAATCCCACAGAATGCATGGTTTTAACTGACCGTCCCTTCATAGAAGGCAACAATGCCCACCTATTAAGTGCAGCTACAATAAAATGGCCACCACTTCTGGCATTAGTAGTAGGCAGTGCTGAATGGGCAAATGCCCTACATTTGATTTAAAAAAAAAAAAAAAAAAAAATCTGTCTGGAATGCACTAGAGCCACTGTCTTATAATTCATCACATTATTAGCAAAAATATCATCTGTTATTTGTGAACATTTCTTTTAGTAGTCATTAAAACTGATATTAATATTTGCTACTGAGTGTATCCTTCCTCCTTATCTCACTTCCAAATACCATAAATAGTTGGAATGAAACATTCCTCATCAGTTTTTAAAGAAATAGAATATTATGAGCTATATTCCTTTGATCAAAAATGCTTCAAATAGATTAGATAAAAAAGCAATTTCATATCACCAAGCAGAATACTGTTCAAGTATTTTGTTCTTATCTTTGGTACCAAAATATGTTGTGCTATCATTAATATATTTAACTTTCGTTTGTAATTATTGTTTCATTTAATTTTTCATACACATATTTTAATTATTATTATCTTTAATTTATTTCAATAAATTTTTTTTTAATTAGTTAACTGATAAATTTTTTATCATTGTTCCTGATGACTTTCTGTAATGCTTTGCTCCAACACTAATAAACTGAGAAATTAAGCCCTACAGAAGCTGTATATATATATATTTTTCCCCCTTGAGGGAGATTCATTTATGTGATGGAATAGAGAGACAGAAAACTTAATTTTTGTGTAGAAATATAAAAAATAATGGATTTTTTCCCTTTGATTTTAGTTTTGATTTCCTTATCATTTTCTCCCATATTCCTACCAAAAATTATAAAATTAAGAATAACTTATTCTTTAACATTTTCTTTTTACTGCTAAATGCTTTTGAATTTCAAAAACGGCAAATTTATTTTTAATATAAAGTTCTAAAAGTTAATTAATTGTATTTTAGCTGTTTTATGTTTGAGTAGCTATTATTTTGCCTTTTAATCTAAAACTAAATCCTAAATTAACTCGGTAATGATACTTTTTTACCAAAGATAATCTGTTATTATCACTTTAACAACATGACCTGAAATCTGAAAATATTTACGCTCTTACTTTATTGCTTTTGATTCCATCTTTAAATATATCCAAGATTCTCAAGGTAACTTTTATGTTTAATAATTTATCTTTAATAATTTTTACATTAATTTTTTTTAGAGATGTGAAATTATTGTGGGTAAATTTAACTTATAGGATTAAGATAAGGATATATTCTGTGTATGTTTTATCCTTTATTCCTTAATTTTTATTTTATTTTCATATACTTATGTCCATTCCAAAAAATTCTTAAAAGTCAATAATTTATTTGAAAAAAAAAAATTTGGTCTGAATTTTTTTAAATTTAAATGCAAAAAACTGCATTAACAGTATTTTATTGTTGATGTAACTATATTTTGCTTATATATGAGCTGTTCAGTGTTTAACTTAAGCTTGAAACTGTATAAAGAACAAAATATACAATATATCTGTGTTATGTAAATATTTAAATATGCATTATTTCTCATATCAGATCTGAAAAAGATTTTTTACTTCATTGTTTTCAATCCTAAATGTTTTGTTATATTCTTAAGTTTTTATTTTTTCAGTCAGTTTATTTCATATATACACACACACAAAATTTACATTTCTCAAAAAAGTGTTTTCATATTTAATTTTTTTTTTTTTTTTTTTTCAGGGAATCAATTGCACTGAATGTTTATGTTGCACTCTGCTATTATAAATTAGATTATTACGATGTCTCACAAGTAAGTTGTACCTACTTTCTGTTAAATCAGCTTCCTGTGTCCATAAATATCATTTTCACACAAATAATTATTAAGAATATTTATTTCAGATAAACTTGTGACTTTAGTTTGCTTGCTTGGAAAAAATACTTAAACATTTTTAAATTAACTTTTTTATTTGCTTTAGCACTAAAATTATCTGCCAACATTATACATAAAAAAAAATATTTATTTATATGCAGTAGTATTTTTCGATGACTATCAAAGAGGTAATGCTTCCATTATTTACCATTGTTTCTTAAATTTCTCTTTGTAGGAAGTTTTGGCTGTGTATTTGCAACATTATCCTGATAGTGCTACAGCTGTGAATTTAAAAGCATGTAATCATTTTCGCTTGTACAACGGGAAAGCAGCTGAAGTAGGTATATATATATATAAATGTTTTGGTATATTCTCAAGTTTTTATTTTTTCAGTTATATATATATATTGTTTCATAAGAATAAATTTAATTTAATTAAATAAATTTAAATATATATATATATATATATATATATATATATGAATTGAACTAATTTACCATTTACCACTTTATAATTTTTATTCTTTTATGTTTTTTATATGTTTTTTTGTTTTTACTTGTTCCATTGATCGGTTTTTTTATATGGGATAACTTTTCTCTTATTACATCCATAGGTTTTTACTGTATTTTTTGCCATTCTCATGTTTCCAACGATTGATTTTAACTGTGTTTTATAGTCTACATTTTATTTCGCGTGTAGCCTAATTTTTCACCCTTCAATGTCATTATTTTTAAAAAAATACTGTGTTGAACTATTTCTTGAAGCCACAGCTCCTGGTAACTTTTTGGCAACCTCACTACAATTTTTCTTTTTATTATATATATATTTTAAATTGAAACAAATGTAAATTCTTAACAAATACGTATATAAGTAAAAAAGGAAAAAATCAAATTTAAATTCTAAAAAAAGAAAAAACCCAAAATAATTTGAAATAATTTAAAAATATGCAAACATGTAAAAGATTTAATTCTCGAACTAATCTACAATATCATTTAAATTCAGAAGCATAAGCAAATCAAGTGCAAAATCTATCCATGAAAATAAATCTACTAATTTAATAAATTAAAATTAAACAATTTTTTTAAAAAATGCATATGTGAATGATCATAGAGTAGGCAGGAGACAGACTTATCAAGGGGAAGTTGCCTCCAAACCTAACTTTCCAATCATTCAATTCATGTTTCGTCATTCATGCAGGCAAGGGTAAAAGCCAAAACCAAAAGTAATTCCAATAAAGTGGTACCCTTAGAAATTAACATTTAAGTATTAACATTTAAGAATTAAAGTTCAAAAAGGAAAATACTAATTAAGTCTTTTGAGAAACAAGCAAGTAAAGTCAAGAATTAAACTTTTTTTTAAAAAATTTAAAATTTTTGTTTTACAAGAATGTATTCCAACTTTGAAAAATCATTTTATGTACAATAAAACGTAAAATAAACAGCAGGAAACGTTTAACTAACGCTTAATAATTTAGTATATCACTCAAAACTAACCTGAAATGCATTTGTTAATGAAGACAGAAAAGTGCTTTGTATACTTACGAGAGGCATCAAGGATACACAGAAAAATTAATACATATGTACTGTTTTAATACTGTAATGTATTATGTAATTACAGAAGTATAACTGTAAAACTACACCTTTTTAAGAAATCAGTCATTTGTGTTTGCTTTTTGCTTTGGAAGCATTTCCTCCTGATCCGAGATTGCATTTTTCGTAGCATAAGTTTCTCGGCCAACTCCACGTCGTCTTGTTCTTTCCAAATAGCTCAGCAGTCCGTCGACCTTGTTACCAAAGCCGCTTCATGAGTCTTCCGCATCTGCACAGTGGGCTCTTCTTCGCCTTCACTTCGCTGTCCTTCATTCTCAGTTTCTCCCTTTGCTTTCTTCACAATTTCGTCATCTGTCAAGCGTTCGAAGCCAAGTTCGTTGACGTCACACTCCAACCACTCGTTAAGGTTTTCAGCATTGATGTTCTCACCACCCGGAACTGTTTTCACCACATCGGCAAGAGTTGCCGTGGGCGTGTCTACATCTTCATTCTCTTCTTCACAACTCAAAGGTGTTAGGTTGTTGTTGGCTTCAACATTAGGCATGAGTTTTCTCCATGATTTTATGAGGGTTGACGGTTTCACCGAGTCCCATGCAGATGCAATATTGTAGATGCTGTCTAAGATTGTGTAGTGTTTCCAAAACTCTTTCAGATCATAACCTTCTTCAATTTTGGTCATTAGCAGCTTGGTTCAGTATGTTCTCTTCATTGTTGCCATGAATCCTTGGTCCATGGGTTGGATTAGCGCAGTAACATTTGAGGGGGGGACTTTGCAAAAATTTGTCCATCAGAAGACTTTAGGACGCTTATTGCTGGGTGAGAAGGTGCGTTGTCGAATCAATAACACAGCTTTTTCTGGCAGGTTTTTCGAGTTTAAGATGTTTTACGCACTTGAAGAACAAAGAATTTTTTCGAAACATTCTTGAAAAATGTTTTGGTTCATCTTTTTTTTTTTTTTTTTTTTTTTTTTTTTTTTTTGGTTAAAGTAATCAACAGGCAAATTTTCTATCCCTTGTGCCTTTGAAAGATCTCACTTGTTTTTTTTACTTTCCTATGACAACAAGCCTAAGTTCATGTCCACCGGTAGCGTTTTTGCAAGACATGATAGTGACCTTTTCCTTGCTGCTTTTATGACCCGCTGCTTTACTTTCGCTTTCAAATGCTAAAGTGTGAGTGGGAAGACATTTCCACAAAAGTCCCGATTTGTCGGCATTGTAAATTTGTTCAAAAGATAGCTCTTCTTTTAAAACAAATTCTTCAAATTCATGGTGGAAATCGTCGACTGCTTGTTGGTCACACTAAGTTTCTCCCCATGAAGTCCAATTTCTCGAATTCCATGTCACTGCTTAAAACGAGTCAACCAGCCAGAAGGCGCATCAAAATTTCCTTTCAGGCCTAACAACTCAAAAAATGTTTTTGCCTACGCCGCAATGATGACCATTTACAGGAGTACCCTCTTTTCGAACTTGAGCTAACCACTCTGTTAATGCCGTGTCTAACCCTTCATAGTTTTCCGCATTTTCATTGTGGAAGCACTGTCTGACATTGATGCAAAGTTCATCAGTTTGTCTTTTTGCTTTAGAATGTCTCGCACTCGCACTGTTGTTTCTGCGATTCCGTAATCCAATTCCATCTGCTGCCTTGTAGCGCCGTTTGCTACTTTGGAAATTCTAGTTTTTGCGCAATCGTCAACACAACCTTCTTTCGTTTTCCTGACATTTTAAATCGGTAACAATAAACACAAACCCAAAAAGCACAAGCACTGAACACAATAAAAGATGAGAAATTAACTCCGACCGGTTCACAAACACTATCAGGCTTAAACTAACAATGGCGAGTGGGAGTAAGTGGACGTGTCTGTAAGATTAAGCCGAGAGAGGGCGGTGGAGTGGGCACTGCAAGGGTGAGTAAGAAATCACTTACTCATCAGAGGGGAAGGTTCCAAGAAGGCCTGGCATATTTTTGCCATAAATAAGCACGATGTTAGCAAATTTAACGTTTCACTCAGTTTTGTGAACATTTTTATTTTCTTTGCTTTACGCTTGTTGAAAAAAAAAAAAAAAAACTTTGTGCGGCAGGCGCGGATAATCAGGAATCTACTGTATATGCTTTCTTATCTGCTTGTTTTTTACTACTTGAAACCAAACTTAAGGATGTATAAAGCAGGCAGCATTTTACTAATCTTGCAATGCTTTCATAAAATATCCTCCATAATAATCAAACATAATATTTTATCCTGTAGAATTAAAAAAAGATTATGTGAATTCATTGCTCCATCTTTCTCTTTAGCTTGGATTTATTTGTAATTTAATAGTACTTTAAGCCTTTTTTTAAAATTCATTTAAATACATTTGTGTAATATAGCAGCTGCATTTCACATTTATAATTTAAACTGTTATATTATAAAGAATGATTCAAAATTATTTTTTATCGAATCTCAGGATTATTTGTTCTGACAAAATTATTAACTCTGTTTGAAAACAAGATCTACTTAAAGATCCTTTGCTTTACAGTTTTGAAAGAAAAATTCAAGAAAAAAAATTTCTAGTAAAAGTGAAAGAATTCTTTTTTGATTTACTGCAAATCTCAAAGAACTCTTATGGGGTTAAAACTGATATTATATAACTGATTTATAACCAGGGCATATCATTCATTTCGTATGACTCAAGAGCTTGCAGAAATTTTTTAAGGAAGAAAATAAACTGTAAATTTCTTTGAAAAGAGTTCAAAGGCAATTTCTCTTTTGCATTATTTAGGGTCACAGGACTCTTAGCAGCAGGCCTTCAAGTGACAACTCTTGCAATGCTTGGAATGTGATGTTTCCTATTTCAAATTTGGCTTACCTTTCAGACAACAACAACAACAACAAAAAAAAAAAAAAAAAAAAGAAAAAGAAAAGAAAGAAAGAAAGAAAACCCACCTTGTAATAATTGTTTTTTTATGATAATGTTGTTTTACAAGAATATATAATATTTTGTTTCACTGATGATGGCAAGTTAAGTGGAATGGGTTGCCTTGTGTTTATTGTCTATGAAGATGACAAAGCGAATATAACTGTCCAACATAGAATACCAGATAAATGTTCTGCTTTCCAGACTAAACTTCTGAGCTTAAATATTGATGTTAAATGGATACAAAGTTCTTGCCATGAGTATGAGACCTTTAAATATCTTATTTGTACAGATTTACTTTCTTCTGTGTGATATACTATCAACAGAAGTTCATTTGACTTACATTCGAGGTCACAGTGGTATTCTTGGGAATGAAAGGGATGATCAATTTTTTAAGCAAGTGATTATGACTGATACAGAGTTGCCAACTTTCCCGATTTAGGCGGGAGACTCCTGTTTTTTTACCACTCTCCCGCCAACCCGATTTACAATATATTTCTCCCTACTTTTTCTTATTCTTTAAATTTCTCACGATTTTTATTGAACTTGGCTTAATACTTCATTATATGAACAAAAAAAAAAAAGTGATTTTGGATGTCTGAAAGCAATTGAATTTTCTCTAGATTATATCTAAAACAAAACCTTGCAAATCAGATGAGAATTTCTGCTTTGTGAGTGAGAGCATACATATCCAGAAACGTTGTTCTCCAATGAGCATGGAGCTCCACTGCGTGTCATCTGGCATATTTTAACCAATGAGCACAAAGCAAGCTTTGTGCTCATTGTTAAACTATGCTATATTCATATTGTGTGCTATATTGTTAAACTATGCTATATTGATATTGTGTGCTATATTGTGTGCTAGTCACAATATAGCACACAATATCAATATAGCACAGCTAATTATTAAAACTTTAAAAGAAAATGCAGTCCCTCTGGATAATTGCTTAGCACTTAGTGCCAATAATGTACCAGTAATGGTTGGCTTGAAGACTGGTGTTGCAGGCATCTTAAGAAAGGAAAATTCTGATTTGCAGATTATGAGGTGCACCTGTCACCCCTTAAATTTAGCAGCTGAAAAAGGGGCAGCTTCTTTACCGATAAATGTGGATGAACACACTGTTGATATTTATTATTAGCTTGAAAGGAGTTCTAAAAGGAAGGAAAAATTGAAACAGTTCCAAGAGCTGCATAATACTAAAATGAGGAAATTTTTTAAATATGTGTGTACACGCTGTCTTTAAAGAAATGCTTATCTAGAATCCTCGATCAATGGAACCTTTTTGCATTTTTTAAAGAAGAATTAAATGCTTCAAAAGTTAAGTTAAAAGGCTCTATTGAAAGTTATAAAATACCTAAAGTAAATGGAGGTGTAGTTACTACTTACATTGTTAAAATAGGTTTGAGAAAAATAAAGTAATTTCTGCACCATTCAGAAATTCAACTGGCAGTTCTCAAAATAATACTGCAAAATATAAGCATAAAGCTGATACAAATTTCTCTCAAAATAAAAAAATTGCTCAACAGACGAAACATTTTCCGATTACTGTAAGTTTAGCTAAGCATGAATCTGCCACTGTTCATAACATTCTGAATATGAAAGCAAAATGTGCCACTGTTCATAAGATTTGTACGAAAATTGATTAAAGTGTTGGTTTTTTTTTTTTTTTTTTTTTTTTTTTTAAACGATGTAAGTACAGTCAAAAGTCTTTAATCCGGACTCGTCCGGACTTCGGCGATTCCGGATTATAGATCATCAGTTTAAATCTGGTAAGATGGCATGCAGAAATTATAAAATTAAAAATATAAAACCATAATTTATGAAATAAAGAGCAAACATTTTTAAAAAAAACCACTTAATATTGATTTGTTTACTTTATTAAACATTTCTTTCAACGCGTGCATGCGTAAACGATGCATTACACATAATCGAAATTAGAAAATTGCAACCAGAAAACTATTTGATATGTATTCATGATATTTATAATGACGAGGAATGTGAATTAAATCATATCAAATACGAAGTACATTGAGATGAACTACTACATTTAGTAAGGAATTATAAGCCGAATAAAATAAAAACATCTGCCCTGAAGGTAAGGATAGTGCTGACAGATTAAACAGATCTCGGAATGGTTAGAGAAACAAAGGATATGCCTTTATCCATTTTTTTGCAGCCTATACATATTCCACTTTTTGTTTGATGGACATCGAAACATGCTTTCGCTTTGTAGATAGATCCTTTGGCAGCTCCAGCATCGGAAATTCTATTTGACATAATCGAAAGTTTCAACTTACTTTTATAAAATTGTTGTAACAGTCTGCAAAAAATAATAAGCCGGATCCAATTCGAAGATTAAGGAACAATGCAATCTGCAACATTAACTCAATTAGATAATTAGATAATTTTAGCTTAGCTTATACCGTCCGTTATACATTAAACGCACATGCGTAAAAGTATTATGCGCATGCGTAAAGGTATTACCCGCATGTGTTAACGCATTATGCGTTGATGCATGTGCAGAAAGTTTGTAGCTTTGAGGTCCGGATTATGGGTGTCCGTATTAAGGACTTTTGACTGTAATAAAAATGTTTTTTATGTGTAAGGTATTTTTGTGTTGCTTGCATTTAAGAATTAGTAACTATTTAAAGTTAATTCATTATTAAAAACTATATTTTTATAATTTTGTGAAAAATCTGCTGTTTTCTTAAAAAAATCTCCTGATTTTTGAGTGTCAGAGGTTGGCAAGTATGTGATAATTTAATATAACTCACACTCATTCAATAAAATCTTGAGGCACATTATAATGTTAAGACTGCAGCTTTTATTTCCAAATTTTCCTATTTTTTCAATACTTATGCCACAAGAGTGGGAACTTACTTTTTGGTACAGCAGTGCCCTCTGGAGGCATAGTCTACCCTTCGAAGTTCGTAAACCAAGAAGGTAAGACTGGACATCCTTTCACCCATTCAAATTGCAAATTTTAATAGGAGAATATCTCAGTTTTGCAAAACTTGAATAATAATGAAATACTTATTACAGTGACCTGTATAACAACCTAAATGAAAGTAATAGTAACACAAACCAATACAACACAATTACAATAATACCATATAGTCTAACTATTGATTTGGCAAAATACATATATGACGACTACTTCTTTTAAGGAAATTTCCATCTGGCAACCGTAGATTGACAACTCTTACCTTTCCGTCCTTGCCTGAATATATCTCAGCAGTTCTAATTACATACTATTTGAGACACAATAACACGCCGAATAAATACTAATTCAGAAGTCAAACACAACAAAAATCAGCGTTAATTTACAAAATTTTCACAGGACTAGTTTCGATGGTTTTACCGAACCATCATCTTCAGCTGCAAAACCGCAAATGAACAAGATAGGAAATGAATGAATGATTTGCGGTTTTGCAGCTGAAGATGATGGTTCGGTAAAACCATCAAAACTAGTCCTGTGAAAATTTTGTAAATTAACGCTGATTTTTGTTGTTTGACTTCTGAATTACATACTATTTGGTTGGAGGAAGATTCTCATCCTTTAAAAGTATAACAGTTTAAACATTAACATTATTTTTATCAAACTACCACTTTAATCTTTGATGTAAATTATTAAGATAATTTTGTTGCCACAACTGCCAAATTTTTTTAAGGTAGTTAATTAATTTTTTTGCCGCCGAGAAAGTCTGTTTTCAGGGATATCTGTTAAATTAGGCTTAGGTATAGCCAATCAAAAAAGGTCCGGTGGAACAAAACTCTATAATCATTAGGATCGGAAAAACTTTTAAATTTGTATGACAGAACACAATTCTATAACCGTTAGGATCAGAAAAACCTTTTAATTTGTATGACAGTTGTTACACAGGAAACAAATGTTGGAAAAAAGTAAGATATGCTGAAGAAGCATTTCTGAAATGGTCTGCCATTCAAAGGAACCGGAATTTGCCAATATCTGAACAGATCTTCAGATAAGGGCCACATACTTTGGAATATGAAAATAATTCCAATTAAATCTTAATAATATTTTTAAAATTAGATTTTTTATTCACTTCTTTTGGTAGATGTTATAATGGTAATCAGTTTTCTTCTGTATTCATGTTTTATTGAGCCAATCCATCTTGATCAAATAAAACTGACCAAATTTGTAGTTCCTTGAAGTTTGACTGAACTAAATAAATAATTAAAAAATACGGAATTTACTTAACCTTTTTCAGTCACACTGTTTGTATTAGTGCATGTGTATATCTGTTTTGCATAAGAAATGAAAGTATATTTTCACGTAAATTTTTTTTTTAATGTTTGTTATGATATCTATAGGGTAGTAAGTCTATTAGAATAATGTAATTTAAATATCTTTGTTAGTATAGGCTATGTTATTTTCTTTATTGTAACTAGTTACATTGAATCAAAGCTAATGTAAAGTGTTATTTTATATAAGTTCATGAAAAATTTTCTGTGTGCAATTAAATTGTTCAGCAGCATATTAGTAATGTTCCAGTAATGGATTGAATGCTTGAAAGGTAATAAATTTCATCAAAGGAAAAAAATTTCTCTCATTATATTAGTTCAAATAATATTCTGTTTATTACAAAAAATAATCTGTCATCTGATTATTTTACATTTTAATTTACTTCTAATGCTATTATTCTGAATATTAGTAAATAATTTTCTTACATTTCAGGCTGAATTGAAAAGTTTGCAAGACATATCATCTCCTTCCTTTACATATGCAAAAGATTTAATTCGTCATAATTTGGTAAGGTATTGCTAAAAATAACAGTTTGCAAATTTCCCCTCTATAATGTAAATGGCTTAAAAATAAATTTTAGCAAATATATTTCATTTAATTATTCTCTTTTTTATATTGTAATAATAATTAATAAGAATTTTATGTTTAATAATATTGTATTCCATAAGTTGTACTGCAAATTTTAAAAAATATTAATTTCTTAATAAAAATTGATAATTTGTTTATCTTTATAAATTTTACATAAGCATATTGCTTTAAAATTTTAGAGTGATTTCTTTCTTTTAATATGTTACGTATACTGAAATTGACAGAAGCTTTTCTATATGCATACTTGTTATATATATTTAATTCTTTTTTTTTTTTTTTTTAAATAATGTACTGTAATCTCAGAAGAATAAGAAAATGATTACACAGTTATTAACTCTAATATTAACTAATGCTTTATTCTGAGGAGATAATCTGTGAAGTGACAGTAATAATAATAAGTAATAGTATATCTTAAGAGCTGCAAAGTATTTCAAAGACAAATAAATAAATGTATCTTAAATTTTTGGCATTTGTGTGTGTCTAAGCATATAATAATCTGTAAAAAGCATTTAAAATTTGTTAGTACTAAAATCCTCTCAGGAGACTGACTGGCTGGAAAAGAAAAGCATGAGACCCTCGATTTTGATCCTAGAATTGTTTAGACACTTTCAACATTTTATCATGGCATAGATAGATATCTGTTACTGTAATAATTACACAGAGCAAGGGTACTTAAAATCCATAAATACCAGCATTTTTTTTCCCATGGTAAAAATAATATTCATCTGCTAGTAGTGCATTCAGACTACTATCACTAGACATTGACCTAGTGCATTCAGACACATTTCTTGCTTTTTGGTGTTATTATAGATTTTATATTATTTAATTTTATTTGATACAGTTTATTTATTTATTTTTAAAGGCTTGGGTATGCTCAGAAATGCATCTGTGTAAATTAATGTTAAGTACTTCTCTGCTTTAAACCATTTTAGTCTGCAAAAGGTTTCACAGAAATGTTGCACTTTATAAAATGAAAGAAACCTACATATAAAACAGTTATAAAATAAGTGACCATTTCATTATCATATTAAATTATAAATTATTTTGGTTCTGAATTATTTTTATACAGGTTTCATAATTTATTGTGCAGGTAGTATTTCGTGGTGGGGAAGGTGCTCTTCAGGTCTTGCCTCCATTAGTTGATGTATTTCCAGAAGCTAGATTGAATTTAGTCATTTATCATTTGAAACAAGGTTTGGTTTTTGTTTATCGTGAAATGAAGAATTTTTTAACTGCATTTTTAAAAAATATTTTACATGTTATTAAACCTAGCTAAAAAACGAAAATGGTAAATTCTGTAATATGTTTATATACATCAACAGCCTTTTATTGTTATTATTATTACGTATTTACATATAGTATTCAAAGTAAAGGATCATAATTATGCTCATGGAAATGTTTTTAAATAATCTTCAGAAAATGTTCAAGAAGCTTTTAACCTAATTAAAGACCTTGAACCAGCTGTACCTCATGAATATATATTAAAAGGTGTTGTGAATGCAGCTAATGGACAAGAACAAGGATCAGTGAGTTTTTTTAAAAATTTGTTTGAAAAGTTATGTCTAAGAGGGAAAAAAAGAAAATTAATGTATAACTTTCTTTTGTAGCGAGAATATTTGAAAGTTGCTCAACAGTATTTTCAGTTAGTTGGTGGATCAGCAAGTGAATGTGGTAAGTTTTTTTTTTTTTTTTTTTTTTTAGTTTCTCCACTGGAGTAAAATTTTTGAACTATTATTGTTTGCAGTAAATAGACATTGTTGCCAATAGATAATGCATAAATTCATCCATCTCTTCTGCTTTAAAAGTGCATTGCATATACTGCCTAAGGTACTGTATTTGACGGCATATAAGACGCACCCTTAATGTGTGTCTAGATCTTTATCCGAGCTAAAAATAGCATTCAGTATTGAAAGTTAACCTGTGTCCTTCATGTATAAGACGCGGGTAACTTTTTTGAGACCAAATTTAGGAAAAAAAGTGCGTCTTATATGCCGTCAAATATGGTAATTTAAGAGCATTGTTTTATCTGATGGTCTTTTTGTAACAAGCCTTATTTTGTACCATAATTATCATAAATAAAAACATTTTAACACCTTATAATAGGTTGATTACAATTTCTAACTCTGTCACTTTGTATATTGTATACAAAATAAAATTTAATAACTGTGATGCAGTTTTGCATATCCTGATTGCAAGTATATCATTTAAAACTGAAATTTGTTTATAACTGAATTTTATTCAGTAGTAAAGACTGATTTTGCAATTTGGCAACTGTGGATATTATTTTTGTATAAGAGAAAAAATTAAATATTTTAATTGATTTTTATATTTCAAAATAGAAGTATTAGCCATAAGTTTTCATATTGCATATTTGATTTATTTATTAATTTATCATATTTTATGAGGAGTATGCCATACAGTATTTAACCGTCTCGCTGCGTATCCCGCGATTTCTACGGGCAACACAGAATTAGCAAAATTTGCGCAACCCGTGGTTTCCGTGGGGATGCATATTTTTTGTTTATTTAACTATGCATCCCGCTCTTTTTCCGTTCATAGTTTCATTTCGGCTTTTCTGTGATGTTTAATTATTTATTCAGAACTGGGTTAACAGATGGCATTAGTTGTCCATATTTTTGCGAAATATACACACACATTTTGCACCATTTTGCGCGCTTCTTTCAAAGCTCAAAGATGTCTGTAGTTCAACTCTTAATCACATGAGACTAACTGTTTGGCATTTTGCTAGATATATATATCCCCCAATTCCTTCAAGAAAGAAAGTCGTAGACATTGTGCTGTTTGTTTCTAAAAAAATGAACTGAAACTGGCCAAAAAATTCTCAAAGAACGCGTATTTGGTGTAAAGATAGCAAGATAGGATGCTTCGAGGCTTGTTTCAAAGTTTATCATATTACACTTCATTTCTAATAAATGTTTTATAAATATTTTGCATATTTTCATTAGTATATACGTTTTACCATTATATTTTATAAAATAAATCATTGTTTAACCAAGATTAATTTTCAAAAATTTTCTTTTATATCATTATTCTTCAGTTTAAACTTTCCGACAACCTTTTTTTATGAGCTAATTTTATACTGAAAAAAACTTTTTGTATATTTTAACTCTAAAATATATGTAGATTTGAAATATGTAATTAAAAAATTACGCAATTTTTGAACCTATATTGATAAAAAAAATTACGCAGCGAGAGGGTTAAATTCGAATATCTGATTGTCTCTTATTATTTACAAACTAAACAATTAATTTTAATACCAAACCTTTGAAAATCTACATATCTGTCATAATAAAAATTACTAAAAGATTAGCATACTAGCTACATTATAAAAAAATATTATATGATTAATATTGTTTCTGTTACCTTTACTGATGATATTGCTTATTCTTCATTATTATTAGAAAAGGCAACATTTAAGCATTGATGTAGTATGTAATCTGCAACTTTTAGTTAGTTTTTACACAGCACCACAAATATTTTTCTGTTGTTCTAAATTATTTCTTTTTCATGCAATTTTATAACGTGTTTGAATATGAAAGTTATTAAATATTTTAACTTGTAAAGTTTTTGAAGTTTGGAGTACCATACTACAATACTTTCATGTTATCACATAAAGGCATGGTGGAGATTTATTAATAAATGTAATGAATGCTTTTGGGCCATTTTGCATAACATTCATAATGTATATGTATGAACAATTCATAAAAATGACTCTTTTAAGGGTTAACTTCCACTTTTCTTTGTAAAATTTAAAGGTATTAAAATTTGATAGGTTATTACATTAATTAATGGAATCATTTTCATTTATGTTTCCTTAATTATTTGTGTTTATTTTCATGTATAAAAATAATGCTTTAGTGGCACTATCTAAGAAATAAAACTAAAAGTGGTAAATTGTTTACTGCATCACCACCATATTTACTTATTTAAAAATAAAATTTTTCTTACAATTTATTTTTACTTATAATCCCATTCTCTATGTTGATTGTTCATGTAGTTTTATAATTCATAACTGACAAGCCAAATAAAAATATCCTGGACAATTTCATTTACTGTTTCACTAAGTAAATTGCCATTCCTAAAGAATTACATTATTCTTTTACAAATTTTTATGTAAAAATTTAAATATTAACCTCTGTTTTATTTTAAATAGATTTAATATTTTTATTTTTAATAGAGGTTTAAGAATTCTAAAAGTACTTTTGTTCTCTTTAGATACGATTCCTGGACGACAGTGTATGGCATCCTGTTTTTTCTTGTTAAAGCAATTTGATGATGTTTTACTTTATTTAAATTCTATCAAAGTAATGTCCTTATTTTTTATTCTATTAAACAATTATTTGATTTAAATAGTGCTTTAAAATTTTATATATTAAATTTGTTTATATATTTTTATTATTGGTTCTTATATGTAGATTATATAGATAGTTATTTAATGTAAAATAATTTAAATTTATAAAATTTCTTATTCTTAGATTCATTTATCTATTTCCTATTCAGAATTTAAGTTAGTAGTAAAAAATCCAAAGCTAAATAAAAATCTAGATTTAAACATAAAGCTAAATTTCACCAAGCATAAAACTAAAAATTTAGCTTTATGTTTGGTGATGCCTATAACTTATGAAAATAAAAACAAAAGTGAAATATTGCTGAATAATATTTAAACTGAAACCCTCTCATTGCAAATGACAGTAAAACACTAAATCATTATTTTTTTCCATGTTAAGAAATAAAGGAACTGTTCACAAGAAAACAATGAAGCTAATTGTTTCATGCAATTTGATAATTATTTTGATAATAATCAAAATGTAGCGAGTTATGATTTAAAACTAAATTTCTAGGCCCATATTAAAGTTTATTTAAGTTTAAATCTATTAATTATTATATGCTTATTCTGATATAAAGATTTTATTCCAGCAGCAATTTGTTTGAAAATTCCTTAAATAAAATATTATACTAAATACACCATATCCATAAAAATCTGTATGCAGCTTTTATTTTTGCAATATTTGCTCATAGACATACTTCCGGTTACAAAAATATTTTAAATGTCTTGCGTATTCTTGTTTTGACATTTTTAACTTAAAAGGGAAAAAAAAAAATCAGTTTTGTTACAATTATAAGATATAACTTTTATATGGCCCCCTAGACCCCATAACTATGTTTAGTAAAAATTTATACTCATTATAAAAATAAAACGTAATACATTTAACTTCCGTATAGCAAAAACGTATTGAAATATTCAATTTCAAAATCTCAGATTTTGACATAATCTTCAGCTTGCTTTGAGGCTAAAAAATAAAATAATTCAAGATTAGTCCCTCCTTAATACCATTCACTGATAGTCCATTTTTATTTACTATTGCACAATATATTTTATTACAAGTTTATTATGTTTTATATGCTAAAAACATTTTTGCAGAAATATTTTAAAATTTTTTAATTGTTAAAAATGCATCAATATTCACATACGATTAATTTATGCAAATAATGATAGAAATTGGCTATGCACAAACAGTGAAGCCTGCCATTTTCCTCCTGAAACAGAACTGTATATGATTCTGAAAATAAAACCTCCCTTTTTGAAAAATTTACATTGATTGGAGTGTTCCCAAGAGTCTACATAACAATACCTGTCACATAATCGGATAATAACAGAAAACAGCTCCTAAATTGATATTTTACTTTTAATTGTGGATTACTCTTCAATTCAAGTACTGCCCCTGATCATTATCTCAAGCTTTAAAATTATCTCTGTCTGACATTTTTATTCGGTGCAGATGTAAAATATTATGTGTTCTATTTTTTAGAATGGGTATAAACTTTTACATTTTTACTAAATTAACTACAGTGATTGGATGGGCAAGCAAAATATTCTTATAATTGACTTTTTTTAATTTAAAAATGCAATTACGTAAATTATTTGCCTTCTTGAAAGCATTTTGATTATTAGAAGTACATGTCTGTGACCAATCATTGAATAAATAAAGACTGCATAAGAACTTTAATGGAAGTGATGTATATATTTGTAATGCCATATTTGATTTGTAATCACAAATATATGCACCAAACAAATATATATGTGTATATTTACAATAACAAATATACGCATTATGTCTTATGAAAAAAAATTAAATGATCTGGATGATGTAAAATATGATGCTAGAGCTTGCAAATGTAGCAGTAGTCATAGTCAGTATAACATTTTGCTTTATTGTTTGTTAATTATTTAGAATTAAATGCACACAAAGCTAAATTGCCACATTCTGCATGCTATTCTTGGCATTTGTATGTTTTAATGTCTTTATAACAATACAATTGATGTAATTAAAATAAATGGCAATATTTTAGTAGGAGAGAAGAAATGCATAAATTCAATTTTAAAAAATTAGGTTAAGAATAATACATTTGTTTTTTTACTTTATTTCTATTAGCTAATTAAGGTTTTAGTTTACAAATTAGAATACTCTCTGAGAATACTGTTACAAATTTTGTACATAAATAGATAATTTTAGTGAAATTATATATAAAATTGCTGTATCTTTTCCTGTATTATTATGTAACATGAAAATCTAAAAAGACAATATTCTGCTGGAAAAATAAGAATACTATTTAATATTGAGTTATCTCGCTAAATTGGCGAGATGTCGCCAAGCTGGTGGTGGTTTTGGAGAATAATTTTTGTCACTAAATTTGGCGAGAAATAACCAAAAGTCACCAAACTTAGTTACCATTTGGTGATATTTTGTTCCGGCCACTGTATTAGGTATTGTAGTTGAATAACTGTAATTGATTTCATATGCAACTGGCCCTCATATGCCTTCTAGTAATTTCGAGAAGTACTAGACATTTCTTTGGCCGAGTGAAAATTATATAAGACTGGAGAAAGCATCTGCTCTCAGTTGTAAGTTCAGCGTGAGTTCAGAGTAATAAGATACCTCTGGGTTAGCTTCGCTCTTTGGATGTACTTTGTATTGCGTTGTGTTAAACGTTTTTAGTAGTTTGAAGTGTAACTACTGCAGAAGAATAGTTATACAACTCTTCACTGTATCACAAGCAGTAGTGTAACTATTGGTGATACTGTGAAGAGTTGTATAACTATTCTTCTGGAACTGTAAAGAGTTTCTTTTGGTAAAATAAATTTTATAGGTGTGATCAGTTCTGTATGCATTCTGTCTATTACAAACCCCTATGCATGCAACAAAATTTTGGTGTCAGATGTGAGATTGATGCCAGTGATAAGTCGATGCCAGCAACTATGATAGTTCCTGGCAGCCTTTGCTGCATTCAAAGAAATGATGAAAATGGGTCAAGAAGATGGAAGAGGCTGTCATGTCCATATAATAAGATATGAAAGCAGGCCGAGAATCTGTTAATGAAGAGATGTTGCTGTTCAAAAAAGGTGGATGGGGCCGTCAAGTCAGTTCAAGAAAAGATTGAAGCAGGTCGAGCTACAGAAGGCACAATAGACACGGTTGAAAATAAAGCTCTAAAAACTGAAGAAAGAGTTTCTTCTATCAAACAACAAATCGATGACAGGGTTTTTTGCTGCTTTCGCCAAAGAAGTTTAAAGAAATACATAATGACAGCTGGTCAAAATTGTAGTGCCTTTAAATTCGAAAATAAGTCATCGCAACCCTCTCTAAAGCTATCCATATATGATGGAAAGACTTCTTGGCAAGTGTACAAGACACAAGATGCAGTTCACTTTAGTGGCAAACGCAAATGGATGGGACCCCAAAGTTAAAGCCTGCCATCTCGCCGCCTCCCTGAGATCAGACGCAGAAGATATTCTCCAAAATCTGCCCAAAAACTAGAGGCTAGATTTCGAAGCTCTAACCAGTGCATTGGAGCTGCGTTTTGGGAGAAATGTTTAAAAGTCTGTTCAAAGTGTTAAAAAGGCTTTACTTAAAATCTCAGCTACAAAAGCCCATGGAAACACTTCAGGAGCTCGTCACAGATTTTGAAAGGCTGTTTCATCTTACGTTTTCAGACTGCCCAACAGAAACAAGGGAAATACTGTCCCAGCAGTATTTCATTTGATGGCAACTGGGATCCAGAGAGCCCTGAGAATAGTGAATGTCAAGGATTTAAAAATCACTTTAGAGTACAGCATGAAATTCGATGCAGACCAGCAAAGCAACTCGTAGAGACCGCCACCCAATCAGAGCTGATCAAATCCAGGAGCCAGTGAATCAAGTGACTGTTCGTGTAGACGATTTAACCAGGCAAGTCACTGCCTTCAGACAGAATAGAAGTGACAAGAAACTGACCCTAAAGTCCTGGAGCTGTGGTGCTAAAAGCCAGGTTGCAGAACAACCCAAGGGACAGAAGCCCTGAGAATAGCGAATGTCAAGGATTTAAAAATCACAAATCACTTTAGAGTACACCATGAAATTCAATGCAGCCCAGCAAGCAACTCATAGAGACCGCCACCCAATCAGAGCTGATCAAATCCAGGAGCCAGTGAATCAAGTGACTGTTCGTGTAGACGATTTAACCAGGCAAGTCACTGCCTTCAGACAGAATAGGAGTGACAAGAAACTGACCCTAAGTCCTGGAGCTGTGGTGCTAAAAGCCAGGTTGCAGAACAACCCAAGGGACAGAAGCTAAAAAGACTATAAAGACACTTTAAACAGTGGATATTAGCAGGTATAGAAACACTGCTAAAAAAGACAGTTCTATATCTCCTGTTCTACTGAGCCAATTGACAAAATTCAAATTACGTTTTTCATGTCTCGAAAGCATGACTTAGGATATATATTAGATTTATGTACAGCTTTTTTTCTAATAATATTTTGACAATAGCATTTTGACACAAAATCGGAATTTTTCTGAAATAACATATTTTTTTTCCATATTTTGATTCGACGACTCAAATTATGCGTAGATATTAAATTTTATAATTTTTGGTGAGAAATTTGTGAAGAAATTTAAAAATTTATCTTGTCGCATTTTTTTCCAATTTGCACCAAGAAAAATTCATGTGGCGAACTTCTTAATTTATAGCAACCTATTTTCCTTTCCTTTTTTTCATTGCAGACGAGGGAAAAAAATGGCATCGTTCATACTTTCAAATAATTTTAACAAGGTGCGTAAACCACATTTTCAATATTATCATTTATATTAAATACACCAAATTCAAAATTCAAATTATAATTCAAAATTTTTTTCAAAAAATTTATAAAAATTATTTTTAACAACAAATTTTTAAAATAAATCATAAAAAAATGGGCAAATTTTATTTGAAATTAGCTTAAACTTCTAAATGTTAAAGGAAGAATTAAATAAGTTTACTAGAATAAGAGATATTAATAAATATATATCAAATTCAATTAACATTGAGGTGCTAATTTTTTAAAAACTACTTGTGCGATTTTTACAAAACTTTGCAGTCTGGCATAATTTGAGTCGTAGACTCAAAATACGGAAAAGCATTGGCATGTCATTTCAGAAAAAGTCTGACTTTGTGTCAAAATACCTATATTAGAACAGTGCTATATATATATATATCTAATACATATCCTAAGTCATGCTTTGTAGACATGAAAAACACAAGTTGAATTTCGTCAATCGACCAGTAGAACATGAGATGTAGAACTGCCCCCTTTTTTCACAGTTTACATCCTGATGGCTGAGAAAAGATGGCATTTACTGCCAGACTAGGACTTTAGCTGTTCAAGGTGATGCAGTTTGGACTATGTAATGTGGCAGCAACATTCGAATGCCTCATGGAGATCGTGTTGAAATCTCTTTTTTATGAAACCTGTCTGATTACACCTAGATAAAATCATCATCGTTGGGAAGAGATTTGAAGAACATTTAGAAAATATTAGGAAGGTGCTTCAGACATTGAAGTAAACCAATGTAAAATTTAGTCCTGTCAAATGTAAGTTGTTCAGATAAGAATTGACTTACCTTGGGACACATAATCTCTGCCAAAGGTGCATGTACAGCAGTTAAAGTAAAGCAGAAGTGTCAGCAGTTAAAGACTGCGGATGCCCTGAAAATTTCCATTAGCTGAGAAGTTTCCCGGGCCTTTCCACCCTACTATAGGAAATCAGTGAAGGACTTTTCTTCCATCGCAAGACCTTTTCCATAAATTGACAGACAGCAAGCAAAACTTCTTGTACACAAAAGAATGTGATGATGCATTTAACAAACTAAAGAATGATTTATCATCAGCGACAGTCCTGGCATATCCTCAGCTCGACATTTATAATTTTTGTCGCCAAATTAGGAAAGAAATTGCCAAATTTGGTGACATTTTGGTCCGGCTTTTGTATCACTGTAATTGGTGTATTTTAATTGAATATTTATAATTGATTTCATATGAAACTGTAACCATATCCAGCCCTCATATGCCTTCCAGTAATTTCAGGAAATATTAGACATTTGTCAGTGGCTGGAGGAAAACTATATGAGACTGGAGAGGGCATCTGCTTTCAGTTGTGTTAGTTCAGCATAATTTCAGAGCTTTGAGATATCTCCGTGTGAACTTCACTCTTCAGTGTGCTTTGTGTTGCATTGTGTTTAACGTTCTTAGTAGTCTGGAGTGTAACTATGGATTGTACTATTATGATACTGTGGAGAGTAATATGACTATTTTGTAGAAAATTCCAAAACTGTGAAATGTCTCTTTTGGTAAAATAAATTTTATCAAGCTGTCTTCAGTTCTGAGTGCATTCAATTTGTTATGAACCCGTGTGCAAGCAACAATACTATTATTGGTTAAAGCAATTATATAAGAATCAGGATAAGGATTAATTTTGAAATAATGCAGTTTAGATAATTTTATTATATGCATGCTACTGTTTTAAGATAAAATGGGAAATAAGACAATTAAACGGGAGGCCTGACTAACTATTACAAATTAAAGTTAAGATTTTATTTTACATGTTTCTTAACTTACATATAAAAAGTTGTATGTTCTGATGCTTTCCCAAACAGGAAACACAAAACTCAGTGATGTCTCGGCCAGAATTTGATCTAGCTGTCAGCTGGACATGCTTCAAATTTAATCACAAGAGCATGCAGTGTGGTAGGCAATAATTCTTTACACTTAAAGGGTGATAGGCAAGGGAAGAGCTGCAGTCACCAAACTCAGAAAGTTATGAATTATTGTCTCTCACATTCCATCCTGGGGGTTGATGCTGGTAAAACCAGTGAAACTACTGGCTCTGTACTTAGGCAGTCTTGACAACAGGACTAGAACCATAGTTTATTCGGTAGTAGGTTTAAACTCAGAAGATACCATATGGTACTATCTTTCTTGCCCTTTGGCTTGTGGGGTTGCTACATAGTTAGATTATTTGGGAGTTCGACTCTGCTTGGTCAACACTCAGGGACGGACTACGTTTTGCATCATACTTCTCTTTGTTGCTGGATGCAAGGAGCTCCACCTCTGACATTGTGTACATAAACCCAGACTGTGTGAACATATATGTCCCCCTAGGTTGACCGGAGGCAGATTAATGCCTCCTTGGATCTCCTCTAGGTGTTGAAGCATTATAACCATGTAAGGCAACTTAAATGTAAGCCAGGTCTGGGAGCCCCTTCTCCCTAGTGTACTGATTATTATTATTTATTTTGTATTTTATCTTCTGGGAATGCAAAACATGAAGGATAAAAATCTATCTTGCAATTTTCTTACTTTATTACTTGTAGAAGCAACTAGCATACAATTAATAAGTTTTCAAATTTAAAAAAATTAACTTTTAATTCTAATTTATATGTAATATATGTATATGTATATTGTGTGTAACAAAGTGGAAATGTTGAATGCATAGATATTGAGCCATAAAGAAGAAGGAACTTGGCAGTGAGGAAAGATTTAAATATTCGTTTTTATTTTAATTAACATTCTGTGGTTACAAATAACATGGCACATTAATCATGCCTGTTTCAGAGCATAACATTTACTTTTTTTTATACTGTAGGAGTAAGAAGGGAACAGCACAGCAAAAGTAAGATCAATGTGTTCAGGACAAAAATCTTAGCTCAGAATAAATTCATTTCGATTTTGATCCCATTTTATTGGCTAATTAATAGCATTTCATAAATATTATTGGCTGTTTTGAGTTTTAGCTTGCAAAACTATTTATATCACCAGCATTATATAAAAGTCATATGATGGCAGTTATTAAATTTGAAATGATCCAGTTTAGAGAATTTTTTTTTTTTTTTTTTTTTTTTTTAAAATAAGCAATTGCTATTTTTAGAACAGAAAGGGTAAACACATAAATTAAAATGAAGAGTTAAGGGGCTACTGCAAATTTAAATTAGAATTTTGATTTACATATTTTTTTATCTTATACACATACACATACATATATGTAAACAAAATCAAAAGTCTATTATGCTTTTATTTCCAATGTACCATTTTCTTTCTTTTTTTTTTTTTTATTTATTTAAAATTTTTTTATTTTATTAAGCATATTGCTCTTTATTTGCATCTTTTATCTTTGTGTATTTATGTTTTTATAATTGTATATTTATTACATTTAAAAAATGTATATTCTTACATTTGTGTTTCTGTTTTTTTACAATTGTATTGCTTTTATAATTGTTTTTATTTTTTTTGTTATTGTCAAATTAGCTTTGGATGAGGGAAGTTCACATTATTAAATACTTTCTTTTTAGAGTATAAAATTAAATTTAAAAAAAAGTTTTAGAAATAAAAATTTTAAAAATTCACAGACTTTTAAATCTAAGAATTTACAGTTGGTTCTTAATAATTATTAATGTTGCATGCTAAAATTCTGAAATGTCTACTAAAACATTTGAATTTCCACCTCTTATCAATAAATAATGGAATTAGGAAGGTTTAACAATGTTAATTTGTAAGCTTTTAAATGAATCAGCAAGTAATTACAGATGAACTTTTATTTTAACCATGTATACTTTGCAGTATTTTCAAGAAGATTTGTGTAAGAATACGAGATTCATATAAGAATTTTAAATACTTTTTTTCCTCTCTTGTTTTAGAGTTATTTTTACAATGATGATACATTTAATTTCAACTTTGCACAAGCAAAAGCTGCTACTGGTAACTTCAAAGAGGCAGAAGAGGTAAATTATAATTTTAGAGTATTACTTTTAATACAGAACTAATCTTGCTTGACTGTTTTGATTTTGGCTGTGTTTAAAACTTAATATTTATCATAAATTTCTGGTTTCTGGAACCGAAATTAAGATTATAAAGAATTTTTTGCACTGTTGCCAATATTTTTATGAAAACTGTAATTTACATGTATAATAACAGAACTCATTACTGTGTTTTTATGCCTCGGTCCGTGAAATACAGAAATAATACTGTCATAAAAAATACAGGGAATGATTCATTAAAGATATATGCATGCAAGAAATTGCATGGAAAGTGTTTTTAGAAGTTATGTCTCAAATAATACAATTATCTGGTAATCATTTTTAATTCCTTTTGTCATTTGCAAATAAATTTGTTTTTAGCAAATAAAAAATTTTTTGCTTTAGCAGCTTCCCAAAGTGGCAAATGTAATTGAGCAAAGAACCCACAATAAAATTTATTTCTGCTATTGAAATTCAGCTCAGTAAGAAATACTTTGAAAGTTGTAAAAAGTCTCAAATACTTTGAGTTCAAAAACAACACAGTTACTTTGAGTTACTTTGAGTTTGAACAATACTTTGAGTTCAAAAACAAACAAAAGTGAGTTTTGGGGTTGTATAAGATGTTTAAGGAAGGCAGAGAATGTGTCAAAAATAAACAATGCCATGATAGACAGTGGTGAACTATGAAAAATTTAAAAAATTACTCACACTATTATCCTGTAACAAAATATCAGATTTTGATGAAGTGTTTTATTTTTACAAATACAAAAATACAAATAATTTTACATTAACAAAAACGCATTTTAAAATCTAAAAAGGAAATTGTTAATATAATAAAAATTACAAAATATCAGGTATGATATTTCCTGCAGGATATTGATCATCAATGGCAGGTCTCTTAAATATTCCATAGTTAGAAGTCTGTTTAAAAAAAAAAAAAAAAAAAAAACTTTTGTAATGTTTTCATTTAGTGCGCAATGCCTGCATAAAACTGGATAATTCCGCTTTAAAAAAGCCAATCATAAACTATATGCTGCATATTGTGGTGCAAACACTCTAGTGGTTTTTAATGTTCCGATAATTAGATCTTTTCTAGTTTTGTTTAATTTTTAATGATTTTGGGGAGAAATGGTGACAAAAAATACAATTTTTCAAGTAATATTTTAGAATGATCCATTTCTTTTAATAAAGCCTTTCGATGGTAATTGTAAATACTGAATTAAGGAATGTGAAATTCCAATGTTAGGAAATTTTTGTAGAAATTTAAATCATTCTGATATTCTTCCTAACATTACACTAGCCTCCATCAGGACAAAATAATTAGATTTTTCAAATAGTTTTCAGAAAATCTATATGAATTTAAACCAGTATTTATACAGGCATGTGTTCTGTAGTTCCAAATAAAAAGAACAAGAGGCTTGTAAAATACATTCAAATTTAACAAAGGATTCGTGTGAACTCGCCAGTGGTGATAAACCATTCACTCCAACTAATACCTGATATATTGATTAGAGAATTGGTGTTAAAACAATTGTTGTTTAACAATTATAATATTATTAAAAAGTTCCAATCGTATTTAGAGCCTGTCCAATGCTTTTGAAAAAGCATTTGAGTTGGTTCCAGGCAGATTCTGAAGGCATATCTTTTTTAAAATGCATTATAAATGTTAACAAAATATGGATATATCTATCTGGTAAAGAAGCACCTCAAGAATTATGTGAATTGCTCTGAAAAAGTGAGGGAAGTCTGTAAACATCACATTGGGGCGATCTCTCCGGTGCACTAATGGGGCAACTCCATGCAATGATCGATAGCTGACTGATTTGTGTTTAGTTAGGCTGTGTATTATTTACTGCATATAGAACTAACACATTTATTATAAGTCAGTGAGAAGCTGTATTGACAATACAGTAATGACAACTGACAATTAATATTGAAAAATCATTTGGAGGTTGTTATAGTCTCTTATATGAGGATCTTGCTAGTGGCAAGAGTCTTTCTAGTTGAAAGTCTTATTCTGTTGTGTCTGAATTTGGTATATATATGTATACCAATTCATATCTTCTGTTGTGTCTGAATCAGTTTGCAGACTGAATTAGTCATGTCATTTTAATTTTTGACTGTGTTTTATGTTATCTTCATTGTAGTAGAAAAGCTACAAGATCATTGGTCTGTCATCCCTCCTGAAATCATTTTGTAATGTCAAGTCATTACTGAACAAGTTATTACTCCTGTAATGCCAGAGCCTGTTGTCTCACACATTTTAACACATCAAAGATTTTTGGCCAATACATTATGCAGTACGAAGATTGGGAAGTTCTCCCCTTTCTCAGCAAAATCTCAAATATTAAAACGGAAACAGTTCGCTGCAAAACAAGCAACGGACTTTTTTTTTTTTTTTTTTTTTGTCAGTTTCCAATCTGGATTGATTATGACTAAAAGTTCTGCGGTCTACCAACCCAAGCGAAGAATGATTCTATTCCGGAAATTTAATGCCGTCTGTTGAAAATTAGAATGAAAAACACCCCAGTTATTTAGTTCTTTATTCTCCCAATACCGGCAGCTGCTGATTCCGATTGCATAATATCACATAGGGAAGAATTACGGCACACGTATTGTGCAATAACATTTGCGATATTTTGCAGAGATTAATTTTGATGTTCTGTCCGAGATTTGTTTGTGAACACTTAAAAGAGCTTTACTGTGCTTGTTAAGCAGAATATTTTTCAGTTCCATTCGTTTATTTTTATATGATGCACATATCGAAATGTCAAAAGCATTTATTTAGCGGAAAAAATCTAAAGAGCGGCTACAGTCTACCCCCCTCCTCTTTTTCAAGTTACGCTCGACTGTCCGAATATTCACCAATTTCCAAGTATGCGGGTTAGTTAAGCTTTTAATGTTAAAGGATGACTGCATGAAGCAAATTTCTGTCTTCTGATTTCAGAAATGTTCCTCTTTTTTATTTAAATTACTTTGCTTGCAATATCTGTTAAGAGAAAACTGATATACAATGAAAATTTAGAAAATGTTTAGATTTAAATTATTTAAATATCAATACGAGTGGAAAAATAAATTGTATTTATAATTAGGTTCCAATCGAATACAATAAATTTGCCTTATTATTATTTATTTTCTCCATTTTGAACTGAAATTTCATCATTAAATCTTGTAATATAGTTTAGTTCTGCATAGTTTTTTTTTTTTTTTCCCTCATTGTAAACTAGTTCTGTAAATTGAACTGTTATTTAAAATTTAAAAAAAAAAGAGTAATTATTTTCCATGGTTGAGGTAATGCTTATCCTCTCTTAATAAATACTGCATTTCTCATATTTTAAATTACAAGTCTAATTTTTAAGGTTATGCAGTTGTGTATAATGCAATTAAACAGGTGCTTATTTTTTTTCTTAAAATGTGCTTGAAAAGTGCTTATAGATGCTTATTTTTTTAACTAAAATGTGGCTATCAACCCTGTCCATGAATTTCTGGTAAATAAATATGGTTCTCTAATATTCACCTACTATGGCATCAGTCAAAACTGCTACTTTGTGAATACCATTTTTAAACTATTGATGCAATAGAAGAAAATTCATTACAAGTCATGAAAGGATTCAGAAAAACGACTTTAAAATATGTTTTAAGGGTTAGTAAAAATGCTGGCATAATTTCACTGCAGTCAGGGAGAATTACTTTATAGGTAATGAATTTCATTGACTAGTATATTGAAATCTTGTGTTTTATTGAATCATTCAAAATACTTTCTGATGACAGTAGTATATTCTGAAACATTTAATCATAAAAATATAGATTTCTAGCACAGGCAAAAAATTTCTTGTTATGTGTTTCATTTGCAGACATGTGAAAATAAATTTGTAACAGTGCTATTTGCAGATTATTACTTTTTCTAGGTTTTTCTTCTAATTCAAAATGAAAAGATAAAAAATGATTACACATACCTCAGTTGGTTGGCTCGGTGTTGTAAGTTTTCACTCCTTTATATTTTTCAAAATAAAACTTCAATAATTTGTTTGATTTCTTTTCATGAAAGAGTTTGCTTTTTAAAAATTAGATGTAATGAATAAGAAACCTCGACTGGCTTGGGAATTATACTCAAAACTTGAACACTGCAACGAATCTTTTAGTCTACTTCAACAGATTGCCAATGACTGCTACAAGGTGAGTCATTTCTTTTACAAATTAAAAATTTATTTAAAAACTTGTGAGACTTGTGTTATTTCATTACTGATATTTTTTAAAATAAAAGTGCTAAATAATTTTATTTTACTCTAAAGACTGCTTAATAATTAAAGGATATTATACAACACTTTTTTAAATAAAAGTGACTATATATTTGTTCTTAATTCTGAAGATTTCGTAACAATTAGATGATATTATTGAACTATCTTGAAACATAATAAATTCATTTTTAAATTTAAAAAATGAGTAAAAATGTTAACTGTATACTGTGGTATTAATTTTTTTTAAATAATACCGATTATTATTTATCACGTAATCTGTAACTGAAACATTTGTGGAATCTAATAAACTAAGGGTATGCTTATTAAAAAAATACTGGTTTAATTTTTTTTAAAATGACATATCAGTTAAGGTGATGGTAATCACCCACAAGCACTCAGTAGCAGAAAGTGTGATCTTGGAGAACATTAATTAATGTATTAATGTATAGGCCATAGTGCTTCTTTCCTATCAGCAGTGTTTGAATGTTACACGGGTTACATGTTGGTTAGTCCGGAGAAAAATCGCATTTACAGCACATCTGCTTCTTTTTCTTCAGAATTAGATGTTTTAATCAACATCCTGCATTCCTAGATTTTTTTTCTATTTAATGGTCTGGACTTTATATATTGTGTGTATATATACACACACATACACCATAATACATATAAGTAGATAAAAACCTTCCCCCAACAAAAACTGATAAAATATTATATCTCATTGAAGCAAAATAATAATAAAAGTTTTTCAAGTAATTGAGAGATGCAGTAAGATATAGATGGGTGATTATGATAAGTTGCTCTTCATTATCAGGTAGCAGATGACAGACTGCTCCTTGAGAACAAACAATTTATTGTAATCATTTCATCTTTCTCTTACTGCATCTCTCAGTTATTTGAAATTGGTTTTACTGTTTCTTTGTTTTTCTTATATAGACTTGTTTTCCTGGAAGTGTAAAGTTTTAACAGTTTTGGTAAAAGGGGAAAAAAAAAATTGTCATATTTATATTTTATGCAGCAGCCGTTCATAGAATTAAAGGATTAAATTAATTCAACTCCTTCCTGAAATTTTCTGAATTTATATAAATATACACACAAGGCAATTTAAATGTATTTACTAAAAATGAAATGCTATGAATGAATTCCTAGAAATGGTGCACTGAAGTCTTACACATGTGCTTTTGAGCAGTAGGTAAAAAGCAATCTGTTGCATAAATGCAAAGCACACTGATAAACATTTTATCTATGGAGCTAAGGATAAAATGGAACAGCTAACTCTAAGTAGAGAGAACTAAGTAAGTAGAGAGAACAATTCCCGAGTGCTTTGAGCAACTGTTTTGTTTTCAGCTGCAGCCCCATAGATAAAATTCATATATGTATGCACACTGCTCAAATTCACACAGACAATGACAGTTCACAGCAGCAGAACACTTTTAGCTACTGCTTAAGTGTGTCCCACCACCTCAATATGCTATTTTCTCACATACATATTCCATTACAAAATCTGCTTATTTAAGTCTTTACACTTTTACCAGATGCATACACACACAAGGTGTCTCAATACCAGAGTTATAAACTTGTAGGTGTGTACCTCGATGATTAGGAATCACATGGCAATGCAAAGTCAAAACTGCTTTCCTGCTGTAGTAGACAGCATTTAGTCTAAGCATTTTCTTTAAAAAGTTTCACTTCACACACATGCACAGATGTAGTAGAATGGCTTATTATATGAATGAAATTAGCCAATATACATCTGGTATATGGAACTATGAAGTGAAATGAGCAAGTCATGCATGTAACTGCATGAGAAGCATTATCCAATGAGGTGTACTTCCGGCAGGGCCATTGCTAGACAGTTCTGCCACCTGCTACAGTCTCTGCAGATCCAACTTTTCTTGCCCTGCATCTCCCTAAATTGAGAAAAAAAAAAATTGCTGCCCCTAAATTTTAAAATTTTGTCACATCTAAATTTTGCTGCTGATTACTTTTCTAATTCTAAAATTTCTGCTGCCCAGTATGACTGCACTGGCCCCTGACTCCTGCCATGAATTCTTTGCATCCATCAGATATTAGCTGAAACAACTTCCTTCCAAAGAGCTCACATGAGCAAGTAACAAACAGCATGGATTTTACATATCAAGGAGACTATTCTGTCATGTACAGGATACTTCATGTTCAGTATGCAAGTTATTAGTACCCAAAGTGGAAGTTTTCCACTGCAGCATCTGGAGGATTCTTAAAGAAAAGAAAATGCATCCACGTCATATGCTGTGTACAGGCACTTCAGTGGGATGATTATGCATCTTGGATTGCTTTTGCATGATGTATCCTTTTTCTTGCATCTGTGATAGTCATTTAAGAGTTATGCTTCAAAAGGAAAGGAGTTTTCACTTTCCTTAATGCTCATATATAAGCTGAATCCTCATGCAGCACAAAGTTGGGCAGATAAAACCATTTCCACTTTTCTAAATGTTTAGGCAAGTATTGTGAGTTATCACTGCACCTTACTTGTTGCTTTTTCTTCTCAGCCATAGCAACTACTAAGTATTTCTGAAGATGTGTTATCACAGATTTCGGAAGATAAACTGTTTTCTGCATCTGTGTGACTCATAGTGGCTCCAGTATGATCGGATATTCCATCCTACTTATTTTGGCTATAATGTTCATAACCACTTGAACATAACCATTTGGCCAACAGTGGATTGGGCATGGTGGTCTTGCACGATCACTAGACCTATCGTGCCTTGATTATTTCTTCTAGGGCCATATAAAAACTCTGATATATGACAGCCTCATTGACAGTATCGAGTAACTGGTTGCACAGATCACTGTAGCTGCTTCAGAAGTTTGGGATATGCTCATAATCTTCTAAAAAATTTAAATTTCATATGTGGACATATCAGGTCTGCATTACAGTTCAAGAATATACATTTATTATTAAAATGCATATTCAATTAAACTTTCATTTCTGGTCTTTTCTGTGCATACTATCACATGCACAGATAATTTCTGACACTAAGCTGCTACATGATTCTTTCAAGTCATCTGGGTGCGTATTACACCTCTTACAAGTTCGTAACCCTAGTACTGAGACACACACACTATTTACATATATATATTAGAGGAAATTTATTTATCTACAGCCATTTGCATCCCTACATTTTATGTTTTGAGCATGATGAGATTTAAAAATTCAGAACATTATTAAATTTCACTTCATTTACAAATTTTAATTTAAATATTTTTTATGGAACTATTTATTTCAAAACATTCTGTACTGTACTTTCACAGATGGGGCAGTTTTTCTATGCAGCAAAAGCTTTTGACATTTTAGAACGATCGGATCCCAATCCTGAATTTTGGGAGGGTAAAAGAGGAGCATGTGTTGGAGTTCTACAAATGATTATTGCAGGGCATGAGCCAAGGTGACTATACAGTTTTATCTACTTTCAAAATAATATATAAATGTTACAATTTTCAAGACTGTATTTGAATTGATTTATTTCTAAGTTGTGATTTTAAATTTTATTAACTGCAACGTAATATTTTTTCCCCTCATGAAATTATTTTTACTTTTATTAAAAAGAAGAAAACACATAATGTGGGTTTAGTGTTAATCTATTCTTAAATTATGAACTTCATTATGTCTATTATAGGTGTTATATAGATTTTACTTATCATTACTTTATCATTTTGATGGTCATCAACAAGTTCAACTCGCATTCCAGTTATGCACTGCAGTAGGCCGAAACAGATACAGCTCACATTACAAATTTATAACTGACATATAATTGGCATACTCGGGAAGAAAGAATTACTTAAGCTCCCAATTGCCGAGGGATTTGTCCACATTTTGTAACATATAAAGGTTATTTGCATTTTTTTCAGGGGAGGGAGACTGAAATAACAAAATATATTTCCAGTACTCGTTTGGTTATTCAGTATCCACTGATATACTGCGAACAATCTGTTGGTGCATTTTGCTGATAAAATCTTTTTTTTTTTTACTTTTTTACTTCTACCAAGTACTGTTGACAATTGCATTCTAAATGACATTGGACATATTTTTATTCTCTGCAGTTTGTCTTGGCTTCCATTATGGACTCTGAGTAGCCAAGTGATGACAAATTCTACCACACTCCCACTTATTTCTCATTTTGCTGATCCCCATACAACTTCCATTATTTTGTGTGGTGAATAACTTCTCACAATCAAAGTTGACCTTGAAATAAAATACAAAAAACCGTCACCATTCTCTCTTGTTGCCCACTCCTCCAGAAAGAGAGAACACATTAATAAGAACAGAAAAGAAAACAAAATAAAAATCTCATATAATTAACAGAATCTGAAACAACTAGTATGGTTCCTAAATCCTGCAAGAATCAGAGTTATGGGTGTTATTTTTGGCAACGTATCAAAGGTACAAGAAAGCAACAGATACCATATTTTCCTTTCATTAAAAGAGAAAATAAAAACTGTAAAGTTTTACGGTTCTTTACAAAGAAAATATTCCTTAATATATAGGCCATCTGAGGAATACCTAACAGGTTAACAGTAAATCAAAAATTAAATCAAATCATCAGTAATTTTCATTTTATAATACAGTACTAAGTCTATAATCCGAATTCATCGGGACTTTGCGATTCCGGATTATAGATCAGCAATTTAAATCTGGTAAGATGGCATGCAGAAATTATGCAATTAAAAATATGAAACCGTAATTTATCAAAATTTACAAAAAAAAAAAAAAAAAAAAAAAAAAAGCTTAATATTTATTTGTTTACTTTATTAAACATGTCTTTCAATGTAAGTTGTTTAGGTTGCTTCATTTTTTGTCTAATACTTTCTCTTTAATTTTATAAACAGACATAATTTCTTGTTCAGTTACAAAGTTCCACTGTTCAAGTCCTGTAATTGCTGTGTCGAGAATACCGACTAACTTGTCAATCGAAATTTTTTCATTTTCAATAACCTCTCTTGTGAGAAACTGTGTACAAATAAGCATTTGGAAACATACTGCTGTATCATAAATACTGTCATTAGTTTAAGGTATGTGATAAATTAATAATGTTAGGAATTAGAAATATCAAAAGTATTTACGTTTGCACATTAAATGCAATATTTATTCAAAGTAAAGTCCGCATTAATAGTTGCCTCATATATCAAAACTGTGTAACCTGGAAATTATTTATATCCAAGTAGTAGTAGTTCTTGAGAGTCTAATTCAATTTCTTATTTTTTACAGCGAATCATTACAAGAAGTATTTCAAATTCTGCGCAGCACAACTAATCCACAAGCCGAAAAAATAATAAGAGTTGCTAAAAACTGGGCAAAAGAAAGTAAGCTAGCTGTATAATCAATTAATCGTTAGTTTTTGTTTCAAGCTTGTCGATACAATATAGACATTTACAAGAAACTACAAAATGAACTTGAAAGTGTACTTTTAAGAGAATTTTCTTAGATCACTCAAATACTGCATATTATAAAGTGAATTTTTACTTATATTTTTTCACTTTTTAAGCTGATTTTTAATTTAAATATTTGTATGGTTTGAGTAATTTACGTGCCTTGTTATGTCAAATCTGCTGGCATTCGAAAGGAATTTTTTTATACATTAAGATTTCTAATTTGTAGCACTTTATTTTTGAATGTTTAAGGACATGGAAGTGAAGAGTACTTTATACCAGATAAATTATAAATCATTTTATATTTAGAGACTGAAAGATATAAGTTTTATACATATCGCATAATACAAGTTTTAGCTGAAATCGTTGCATGGGCTTTAAATGATAATAACTTTAGATGTGTAGTCAACTCTCAATTTGCCCAATATACAGTGAATTCATCATTTATTGTGGTTAGCTATTGGATAGTACACAACTGATATTGATTAGTAGACTATTATAAATCTTGTATTGTCTAATATAGGTTTGTACTTTTTACTGATTTTGTAAATCTTGTTTGTTTACTTATTTTATCATTCATAATTTGCTAAAGAAAAACTTTTCTATAAGTGTTAATGTTTCTCCCATGGAGTCCTTCATAGAAATCTCTTACACAAAGCTGTCAATTCAAGTTTGATTTTTTTCCCCTTTCTAAAGCCACTAGTCAGAACTGATAACTTGAAAAAAAAAAAAAAAAAAAAAAAACTTATGATAGATATTTTTAAGGAATTCTTATTTAGCAAACTATTATTTGGTAAGTGCACCTCATTAACAATAAACTGCAACTGATGTTTATATAAATAAACTATGCAATTTGTATAAACTAACTTAGAAATATTATTTTTTTCCCTGACTGTCTAAATGAGAATCGAAAAAACAAAAATTAGTTTTTTTAACTTTTATCATTAAATTCAAATTTTTTGCTCCAAAATCTGCTCTTTTCTCATATATGAGCAGCAGACTTATAAAATGTTTAATGTATGGCAATGAATTATTTCTCCCCCTGTTTAGATTAAAGCTTGTTGATGTACATTCTGTTAAAAATGCAAATATTCTAGTCACAGTTTGTTATGTTGCTGAGATTATATCGTTGAAATATATGTGTTAAATTATAAATGTGCAATATTTTAACTTTTCATTTGTAATTGTTTTAAAATACCATTATAGAAAAATGAAATATATGTTTATTATATGAATAAATATGTTCATTTACAATGATGAATGTTTAAGTTAATAAATTATCTTTGTTATTCTATACATAAATTTAATCAGATTTTATAAAATAACAAATCAAGAAATAGCATTAAATAGACTGAAAAAAATCATTTCAGTTTCTCAGATTTTAAATAAAATAATGGAATTTGGACTTTTTTCCATATTCCAGTATTCTCTTAAATAAAAACTCCCAGAGGTCCTGCCACAAAACAGATATCCATGAAATTTATTTTGAACTTAATGATAATTTTGTTTAAAGGCCCTATGGACAGAAATTTTTAAGACCAGTTTTAACCAACTTATGAGTTAGTACAGATTATTAATGCCATATACTTGACCAGGGACACTTAATCTGGTCCCTACCACCCACTAATGAATGATTTCAGCTGGTAGGTGGACAGTAATTGTTTTTGTCCAGTGATGAAGATCAAGGATGATCAAAACACATACATGAATGTGTACATATACACATATGTGAAAGTTTAGTTCTTTACTCAGTTACTCAGCATTCTCCTGTTTCCATATATTTAATATGGTTTTGTCACTTCTCTTAGGCTTGTTCTGTGATTATAGGAGAAATGTCTCCAAGAAGCAAGTTTCTCCTCCTCCTATAATTCCTAGCCAGAACAATTTGGCTTAGACCAATGTCTCAGCTAGCTATGGGAGACATTTTGCGTTACAGATGAAAATGTTCCAGTTTCGTGAATCAAATATCCTGAAAGCTAAAAGTCTGGAAAATGTTCCTTTCGATGCGCTGCTGAGGGCAGGTATCATCGCTCGAGCTTCAAGTTGACTTTTTCATATTGAGGGTAGTATATATTAGATTTGTGAACAGAAGCACATATCTTTAGCTTAAACTAGGTTTTATAAATTGTGTATTGTATAGCTCATTAAAAAACTCACAGACAGTGCACAAAACAGATAAAACCGAAAACTTGGCGTTCGAGTGTTAATTTGAGCTCGGACCTTGATGGCAAACACTCAAATGCACATCGTTGGTTCACAAGGTCACAACCTCGCAAACGATTGCAAAAGTTAATTATCTAATCAAGGGCTGAATATTATCAACTAACTCCAACTCAAGTTAAGTTTGATACTATCCCCCCAAAGTAGCAGATTTTTTCCCCTTCACCATCTTCTATCCTGTCATCCTGGACTTACTGTGCTGCACTCATTCTACTTGAAGCGCCCTTCTATGGGACATGATGTTCTGACAGCCGGAACACAGCTTGAACTTTTCATGCTAATCTCGGCATAAAGTTGGAGTTAGTTGATAATATTCAGCCCTTGATTAGATAACTGTTGCAATCGTTTGTGAGGTTGAGAACTTGCCAACCAAAGATGTGCATTTGAGTGTTTGCCATAAACGTCTGAGCTCGAATTAACACTTGAGTGCCAAGTTTGCGGTTTTATTCGTTCTGTACACTCTCTTTGAGTTTTTCACTAAACTGATTGTGCAACTTTTGGTCTCATTCATTCGCTCTCCCAACACTGTTGTAAGTTCAGGTTGGAATTCTAATATTTCTCTTTTCTACCTCTCAGAATGGAATGTGACCCTATGTTCTATGGTAATTATTGCTCATTTGGATGAGTAATATTACCCCTCTTAATTTGTAAAAACAATTTAGAATCATCCTGTATATTTTTTTTTTAGTAAACTTCTACTCAAAAAATCACTTTGCAGTTGCACTAAATTAGGTTATTGTTAAACTGGTGGGATCTAAGAAAATTTCATTACCTACGATGTGGGGGGTAGGTATAAAAAGGTTGCCTACCACTGCCCTAGATATTCCAAAACTATGCAATTTGTATATTTTTTGTAATTGTGGAAGATTGTTTGCAGAAACACCAAAAAATTTCTATATACCCTCAGCTTCCAAATCCAAGATCTTAAAACCATCAAAATCTGCCGAGATTGAATTGAGTTTTATGCATAAAACCTGCAACTGCACCTTATGCCCGCTCTTGGATTCTCTATACACTGCCTTACTTCGGAGTCATGTAAAATTCTATTAGAACTTCAATGCATTACTCTCTTGGCTGTCAAAGTAGTTTATTCTAGTTATTAGGGAAGTGGTTCTAATAGTGTAACTTGACTCTGTACGTCACCTGAGTTTCTTTAAATCTTCAAATTCAGTTTTCTAAAAAAAGTAATCATTCGTAACACAATTTTATTGATATAAGAAGAAAAATACATTTTTTCAATGATACATATTCAAAGATAGTTCAGTTATTCAATTAATATAAATTCATACATTAATTAATTGTAATGCAATCATCTGATTGAAATAATTAATATATCAATTTTTAAATTTCAACTGCACTTTTTCCAAATCTGACAAAAAACTGTTCTGTGATGTGAATTTTGTAACCATGATTTAAAAAAAAAAAGCATAATTAAATTAGAATTTTAGGTATACTGAATTCCAGATTTATAATTAACTAATTTCTTACTGGCTGTTTACATTAAGATATTCATACAGCATATTTTAACATTAAAATTATGTTTGATGCTGAAATATTTTTTTCATTCCTTTAGTAAATTAAACATATAACAATGAAAAAGTTAAAATGCATTGAAAAAATGCAATACCAATAAATCTACTGACTACATAATTATAATTAAAATTTTAAAAAATCCTAATTACTTTTCACCTACTATGTTATCAACATATATTTTTAATTACATTTTTCATATAATTTTATAAGATAATGATTATCTTCCGAAAAGAAACAAAAATAAAATGTTGCATAGATTTAAAAGAGGAAAAAATGATGATTATAAAGATTATATTTGTAGAAATGATATAGCAGGAAAATATTTTTCCAGGTGTAAGAAAAACATTTTAATAGTTGACTCTGGTAACATTACTAGAGAGGTAATTTTAATTATAATCTATAATGAGGAATACGAATTTAATGGTATCTTTACAAATAAGCAGTTACAGGGTATTATATTTACATACATGAAAAAATACTAACACTGTTCACGACAACATTCGGCAGCAGCAAGCTCTAAACCTGCTTTCCAAATTTTGGCAACCATTTGCAGTTTCAGGATAAGGTCCATCCAAAATTTGATCGCAATAAAAAATATTTTCAGGCTGTAAAGATTTTAATGAGTCTGTGACAAAACGTAACCCAGGACCAGTCAACTGTGAACATCCTGACACATCTAACACTTCTAATGCACTCAGTATACCGGCCTCCAAAAGGCACCTGAAAAACAAAAAAGTATAGGCAGGTATTGATATATTTGAATGAATCTTTTAAATACATTGCAAAAAATACTGGGAGATGGCTTTCAAAAGTAGAAGATATTAGTTTTGGTGTCAATTGGAAACATGAAACCATGCAATTATTCATACGAAAAGAATGACGGCTTGCTCAAGTGTCACTATCATTGGATCTTAGGTAACTGGGAAAATTATTCATGATATTCATCATAAACTCATGGTCATGTTATAAAGTTCATGCACAATGAATGTCAATCTGCACATATTAATTTACTTTCAGTGCCAGTATTATTGTATAGCAGAATCAATACTGAATTCCAGCATGCACATCATTGTGGAAAGAAGTAGCCTATATACAAAAATTCACACTGATTAAGGCTCAAAGAAATTAAAGTGTAGCAAAACAATTAACAAGTGGACCACTAAGAACAAATTTTGTGAAGCAAGCAATGCTGTCATATACTTTGACAATAAAATGGTTGAGTGATCAAGTAAGACGCAAAATTCTGAGACTAAATTTTCTAGAAATTTTTAAAAGATCTCCAACATGTAGATGTTATGATAGGAACAAAGATTAAATCTACATCATATTAGCATGCAGGATTTAAGATTATTGACTAAATGTCCCAATAATTTTGATAAAATAGCATATATTTGGTCACAACTAATATATACAACATAAAAATATAAATATAAATAAACAAATTTCAAGTATTTCAAGTAATATTTTCAAAAAAATTAAGCGTACACCATGCTTAGGTACTTTTTCGTAGTATTATAAAATCATAGCATAACTATTATAATATTTTTCAGTTGTAAATTTATATATTAAAAAAAAAAAACATGTAGTAATTTATAATTTTTAAATTAAAACTTTAATAAATACCAAATAATAATATAATTAACTACAATTAATATAAAAAATACTGTACTCGTTTTCGAGCAATTTTTTTAAAATTATTTTATTTATGTATTTTTTCATTTAATAAAGAAAAATCATTTTTTCCCCAAAATCTAGTTATTTGTTAAACATATATCTTCTCTACAAAGAACAGTCATGTTTAAAAGGTTTTAATTAAGGAAAGAGTTTGGGTAATGTTTTATTATTTTAAGTTTGCTGAAGCTTTTATCATTATACAAATAGTAACTAGCAACCTTAAAAATATTTTTAACACTGTTTCTGAATATGGATGCAATTAAGCTAAAGTATGTTCCTAAATTATTCTTAAAAGATGTAACCTTGCTTTTGTAAATAGAATTAGTGAAAATACTTAGTTTCCAAAACTAGGTATTTCTGATGAAATTTTGAAGTCATTTATATCATGTGGAAATTTAAGCTCCAGTTACAAGCTCCTACTTTTAAAATACCTAAATTAAACAACCAATTAGAAATTGCAAGCTAATACTTAAATTTCCAACAGTCAGAAACTGGAAACTATCTTGTATATTTTTCGTATTTCCTTTTAATTGTAAGATTAGCCAAAAATCATTTGACATAATATGATTAAACATGAAAACGCAAACTGTTTGTGCAAACGATATTTGTGGTGTTATAACAGAATAAAAAATATACAAAAAATTTATAATATTTCTTCAGTATTAAAATATTTTAAATCGAAATCATATTATGAATAGTTGAATAATATACAGCGAAGTCAGCTTGGGGTTCTTTCCAAATGGTGTCATCACTTTCCAGAAACTGCCAGTTTTTCATATTTGAAGGCTGATGGGTCCTTCACTGCATTAAAATTTTCTCATACATGTATACAAATACATTAAAAAAAAAGAGTTCATGAAATGAATACGAAGATTAATGCAAAGAATGTTGCTGTATCATTCGAGTTCAAATACTCAGACCTATAACTTTTCACACAGTGTATATAAATATCCTGCTTCTGCAAACCGGTCACTTTTAATTTTAAGATTATGAGAATTTTATGATGTCCTACGTATTTATCAGACAGATTTTTTATCTTTCCTTCTATATCTATTAACTATTATAGAGAGGAAAATACTTAAAGAAATTAAGATTTAATCAAATATTTAGTAATCTGTGATTGCCCACATGTACGTTTTATACAGTATTGTTTAGGGTGTAGTTACAAGGCCTGAAATTTAATAAATGATAAGACACTTTATCATTTAATTATTATATACCATTTGAATGTTGAAGACCACTTCTCAAATGATATAAAAAAGTTCGGTACTTATGTGTCATAGCGGGCTTGATGAGAAAGAGGAATTGTCATGTTTCTGCCTTGGCAAAAAATAAGTCTATGGTTACTATCTTCACATTAGTTCACACTTCTTCAGCCAGTGAAATGTTAAAATAAAATAACACGCTGAACAAATATTAATTTAGAAGTCAAACAACAAAAATCAGCGTTATATTTGCAAATTTTCACAGAACTAGTTTGAACGGTTTTACCGACCATCAGCTCGGCTGCCAAAGCGCAAATGAACGAGATAAGATATAGTGATTCAATAAGATAATATAAAAAAGGCTGGACAGAAGATAAGCTACTGGTGCCATCTATTGATAAAAAGAGAACTAAAACATAATTTCTTTAAAGGCTGAAGGCAAAAGATGGATTGGAATTAGAGTCGTTAATTAGAACAGAAAGTTTTTTTTTTTTTTTTTTTTTTAATGTAAAACGCCTCTAGAAAATCTAATTCACCAATGGAAGATGGTTTTTGAATAATTTTGGCTGCAGAAAAATTGAAAATGTGATTTTTCGGACCAACAATACTGGGCAACAGAGAACTTCTGTGTTTCCTTTTTTCTAACATGTGCCTTATGTTCCTTCACGTGAAATTTTGAGGCTGTCTTAATTTGACCAATGTAAATTAAACCTCACTGGCAAGGAATCCTGTAAATACCCAAGAATTCATATCCGGAATGAGGTCCTTGAGTACGGAACTCGGAATTTTATTGATGGGAGAATAAATGACCTGAAAGTTAAATTTCTTTAAAATACGTGCAATTTCATAGCTAATTGATGGAAAGAAAGGAATGACAACAGAATTCTTAAAATCTTCTAAAACAAGAGTATGCCTCTTGGTGTGCTTAAACGAGAATTTTTTAACTGCTTGATTAATAATGTTGAGTGAAATGCCCCTGTCAACAGCTACTGCTTTTAAATAATTTAGTTTTTGATCTAGAGGCAGTTTGGTGCAGCAAACTTGAAGTGTACGGAAAACATAGGAATAAAATGAAGATAACTTTTGTTTAATCGGATGGAACAATTTGAAGTGTGGCATATGGCTAACCGATGATGGTTTACAGTAAACTGTAGTACTGAAGTTGGATGTGACCAAAATGTCAAGAAACAGAAGAGAATTGCAGGTCTCAAGTTCAAAAGTGAACTGAACAGCAGCATCAATGGAATTCATTGCTAAAAGAACTTTATTTAAATCATCTTTATTACCATCAAACAGGGTAAAAGTACCGTCTACGTGGCAGAACCATACCGGGAAGTTTAAAGTTTCAAATAATTTTTATTCATAATATAATAATGCATGTAAATATCAACCAGAAGGGATTGACGGGGCTTCCCAAGGCTAATCCCTCAGTTTGCTTGTAATACTTATTTTGGAAAACAAAATGCATTTGTTTCAAACAGAGTTGAGTGAGGGTTCATGAATTCTGGTTTCTAGACATCTTAATGCACCCTCCACTGTAACATAAGTGAATAATGATTTTACATCAAAAGAAACCATGAGTAAATTTCTAGAAGAAATCCTTTTAACTTTTTTTAAAACCTTGAATTAATATATATATATATATTATTGTAAATGTTATTTTCTAATATAACATAGTTGAAAATCTAGAAACTAAATATTTAGCTAATGGGTACGGACGGGGCTGTGCCTAAATTTGATACAATAGGGTGGAAATGAATACCACTTTTATGAATTGTAGGAAGAGCATATAATTTGGCGCCATTTGCAACAGATGGGATAAGAGACTTTTAAGTTGGTCAAAGGATTTGTGAATATTTGATCATAGTTTTTATTTTTGAGAGGTTCAAAGGGTCTTTAGGGATCGCATTACATGGTCCTTCGTTTAAGAGTTTAGTTACACCACCAATGTAAGCGTTCTTGTCCATAACGACTATCTGGCCACCTTTGTCGGCCTTTGAAATGATAATGTCCGGGTTTTGCGCATTGTAGCTCTTTCTCTCGCATTGAGATTTGCTTTCAAAGGCTTATTGTTGAATTTCCCATTATGAGCGATAAGATAACTAATCATTCCTCTGTGTATCTGAAACTTTCCTGAATTTGAAAGCTTTTTAGCTTGATAGGAGTCAAAATCTTTGGAAAAACTTTTCACACTGTATGATACTAATGCTAAATGAAAACAGTAGAAAATTATATTTCCTGCTTGTATTTTCAAAAAATTTATTTTTAACAGCCAAATGAATAAATGTTGATATAAAAACATATCCTTCCAAAATTTTTTAAAAAAGAAAGAACTGAAGAAAATTTTTGAAGTACTTAAATGAATTTTAAAAATTCTAATAGATGCTAAATTTGATGCATCTTGCAAAACTTACCAGCACACTGTTTGATATACTTACTATAACAGCTTTCAAAATGAAATACTGGTATTTACCGGTTATTCTAGCATATATTTTATGGTGATAATGTTTTTAAGAGGAAGACTAAGACTTTTCAGAAATAAAGCATCTCCAGCAACATTTTAGTAACCCTTATCTATTTCTAATCTTCACTTTTTTGGGGGTGGGGGGTGGAAGACAATATCTATGAGACAGGTTCAGTAACAACCATTTACATTTTTTTCCCCTTTTTCTTCTCATTTCTTCAGTGAAGAAGAGCAAAATTAATGTACTGAAAAATACATTTGTATCTCTCTTCTATCTGTTATAGATACACATTTATTAATATGACAAGAATGAATAGCTTACAGAATCTGTCACACATTGAGTAGAAGTTACAGCTAGAGATAAAAAAAAAAAAAAAAAAAATGTTGTTAAAATGTCACTGTTTTGTCATCAACAAATTACTGCTAAGAAAATGAAGGGAAAAATTGATAAATAGCAAAATACTATCAGGAAACACAAATATTATTAATACAATTCACTCTAACAAAGAGAAATCCCTTAAATTGCATGTTGTTTCAAGATTACAATACAAAATAAAGTCTGAAGTTGTTTATACTTACTGATGAGATGTTTAAATATTCCCTTGTATTTCTACACAATGCATTTAATTCTTGGCCATATAAAAATATGTAGGAACAAAAGGTATTGAAGTTAAGAAATTCAAATCCTGTAATTGCAAAGTGTGATGAACAAAAAAATGCATGTCATTCACTAAAAATAAGATATTAATTAGCGAATCCAAAAGCTGCAAAGTTCATCTGTTTTTCAAAGTCATTGGAAGTCCACTTATTCTACAGCAATCCAATGGAAATTCAGAGCACAAATATTTCTTCATAATAAAATATATGCATTGGTATTAAATATCAGTCAATACAGATTAAATATTTCTACTATCAAAAACTCATTATTGAATCTAGAAATAAAAATAGTTAACAAATTTCATATATAACAAAAACGGCTACAAAAGTATTAAATTTAACTAAAAACATTTAAATAAATCCTTGGAAATATAGATTTTAATGAATAAAATTTAAAGGGATGGTACTTGGGGTATTAGCTGGAACCTGCAGATACTCCACCAAAAATCCATTAGCACCTTCTGGTAATAAAATATATTTTCAACATCAGCTTATTGATTAAATAAGTATTTGATTACCATCTGGCCATCACACCAATTAGACTATTATTTTCTGCAGCTTATCTCTACTTCCAAATGAACTCTGCTAAATAAAAAGGAAATGACTTCTCTCAAATAAATTCCCAATTCTTAATCTAGCACTTTATTGGAAATTGTTAACATCAGACTTCTATTATTTACACTCTATAACCGAAAAAAAAAATCGATGCACAATGAAGAAATCATCAGATTGCTTTGAAATTCCATATGCATAAATTTTTTTTTACCAAATGTGCAAATGATTATGAATAAATAGTGCAATCTCCAGCGTATCGAAACTGCGCATCCACCAGATGTACATAAGGAGCTGTTCTTGAACAGTTATTAAAAATTTGTTGCATTACGATTTAGGATACCTTTCAGCGGCTGAAAAAATGCATTGCCATGGGATTCGAGCTCATTATGAACACTGGTACAACTAAAACTATTACACCAATATAACTAAAAGATGCCATCCTCAAACTCAAATGCTCCCCCAGCGCAAAAATCAAAATTGCATCTTGCTAATGAAATCCAATACACTTTTCCAATGTCATGACAATGCTAGCAGGAAACTAGAATCATGGCTGTTGTTAATGGAGGTACAATAGTGAATACCAGCTAATACCTGAGTACTGACTAATATCTTTGAAAATATATATTTTAAATGAATAAAAATTCAATTTTTATTATTCTTCCTCAACACAAACTCATATAAAATTTTATAACAAGCAAATTTTGAAAATAAACCAATAAAATCCTTAAAATTCTCATTTTTTTACACTTACCTCAATCCTTCATCAGTGATTTTTTTACAACCAGAAAGATTAAGATACTTTAGGGATCTGGCATCACAACTAGCATGGGGTAATTCATTAGACGATGAATCGTTTACTAAAGTCCCTGTCGTCTTTAAGATACTGCTAGCACCAGAAGAATATAAAGCAGGTCCCGACTGCATTTGAAATTGTTCACTACAGTTCATGAAAGGACACTGCAAAGATAATTTTGCTAAATGGCACATCACCCCATTTTTTTGCCAGAAGCATACAGAAGTGCAAAATTCATTTGCTCTACACTGATAACATGGACTGGATCTTTGCAGCCAAAGACCACTCTCCTCTATTTCACAAAAACAGTCATTGGGATTTTCACATGGCAGAAAACGATTTTGATACCTTTGACAGTCTTCAAGGTACACATCTCGAAGATTGTGAGATGCATTGGGTACATGAGGTGGCAACATAGCCATGCAATCAGCTAGCCTGAACAGACCTAAATTAGTCACTGCCTTGCATCCAGACATATCTAAATGCTGCAAGTACAAGCAGCAAGAATATTCTTTTAACCTGCAAAAGGAGAGAAAATGTAACAGAATAAAGAACAGTTTTCAACACGTTTTTAAAAATACATTTTAAAAATGAATGAATAAAAAATAAAAGAAACAGTTTAGAGACACTGTGCGACCAAATTAAAGGTTTCTCAGTTAGAATGTTGCATAATACTATGGAGTCAGAAAACCCCACAGTGTGTATCACAAAACTGAAACATGCTTTTCATATCACTCACATAACATTTCTCACACACGGTGTCATTTCAAGACCTTATAAAATTGGAAGAATGAGGTTCATTACTCAAGAGTTTGTACAAAATGACCAAAGAATCAAACAAATCGGTTTCCGAGAAAAATGTGAAAGAAAAAACTTTATGCCACAAAAGTTAGTCTTTATTGGAAAAGATAAAAACTAATAGATATAGCATGGCATTTATGTAAGAAAATGATCACATGGTTGTGAAGGTATACCAATTAGATTCCCAAACCCAATCTAATGACACAGGTATTTTGTACCCAATTACACCCAATTACCTTAAATAAGATGTTCAAAATGATCAGCACATAGTTCTCAGGCCTACATAACCATACTCCCATGTCCAATCCAACAGCCTGGGTTCTCTGTGCCCAATCAATCTCAAACAAAAGAATTCAAATGTACAACCATTTCATCATACTACAGCGATAGGCCATGGATGTTATCAAGAAAATTAGTTACCACATCATGGAAATGATGTTTGGTAAGCTGTTAAGACAAACGTGTAATAAAGTGGCAATATGGCTATGTGTTCAAATTTTCCATAAGCATTGTTGAAAATCATCTTAATGCAGACCTTACCTGCTTGAGTAATGAAATGGGTACAGCTTTGTTGCTCATAATAGCGTAAACTTATTATTCCTTCTATTTACATTAAACTGTTATGCCTAATATATACAAGATGCACCTGAAAAGTTCAATGAATGCTCCCATATGTTAAAAACCATGTTGTTTAGAATGAGATGCCAATGCATACACATTCACAAACATGCCAGGAAGCGCCCCCTATCAAGCAAATCAATGAAGTGAAGCAGTGGCACACACTGTGACTAAGCTAATGGACTCAATGTAAAATGTCACACAAGACATACCATGTGTCATTGCAAAATGGAGCATGCCGTTAACATGAAGTTTAACTTCAAATTTGGGAAAATGGCAACAGAGACTCATGAAATGCTAATGCAAGTGTATGGTGTTGAAGCCGTGAATAAAAAAGGTGTGTTCGAGTGGTTTAACACTTGAAACACTTCCGGTCAACCGCCAACAAGCTCAATTCCAGACAGCATAGAACAAATGTGGATGTTTGTGGATAATCGGCGGCTGTCTTTGAAAATTATGGCAGAAAAGTTGAAGATAAGAAAAGATTGCCGTTAACATGAAGTTTAACTTCAAATTTGGGAAAATGGCAACAGAGACTCATGAAATGCTAATGCAAGTGTATGGTGTTGAAGCCGTGAATAAAAAAGGTGTGTTCGAGTGGTTTAACACTTGAAACACTTCTGGTCAACCGCCAACAAGCTCAATTCCAGACAGCATAGAACAAATGTGGATGTTTGTGGATAATCGGCGGCTGTCTTTGAAAATTATGGCAGAAAAGTTGAAGATAAGAAAAGATAATGTAAGTACTATTGTTTACAAACATTTGTACTGCACACGCTGACAGATGAGCAGAAGCAAACTCTGATGGAACTGTAATTCTGTTCTTCAGCACCCTTCTTATTCTCCAGATTTTGCACTGCCAGACTTTTTTTGTTTTCCTGCCTTAAAATTAGCCCTGAAAGACTTACACCTCATAGATGCTGCAGATATCCAGCAATGCATGACCACAGTGCTTCGAGCAATTGCACAGCTAATGGTGATTACTTTGAAGGCCAGTAAAGGTATTTTATTTGTAAATGTTGTTTCCTTTATTTTCTGAGACCATTCACCGAACCTTTCAGACATACCTTGTGTGTACTCAACTGCAGATCTGGTTCTACTCCACAGCATTTCATCTTCCTGTGATGATAAAAGACCATCATGATTTCTGCTACCAATGCTGTGGAAATTTTTCTATCAGGAGAATGCTTCCTGTATTTTTCAGTCAGTCATTAAAACTGTGAGTGAATCATTAAACCTGTGCACCAGAATTACATTATAATTGATAGTGACAGGAATACCATTTCATCATTCTCAGTCTGTAAAGCATTACTATTACACTCACTAGAGACAAAATATCTCTCTCAATATATGAATACTGAGAGATATTATTATCCAGAGAATTTGCTGCTATTTGGTAGTTTTCAGATGCTGCTTTAAATGAGCCAAAATCCAGTTATTCATTTACATAATCCAAGGGATATTCAGAAAGTAAGGAACATTTTGGAATTAAAAAGAAACTAAGTACAAGGGAAAAAAAATATTATATGCATCAGAAAGAGAGACTAAAATTCTACTTTTCCACATAGTCACCAAACAAACTGAGGCACTTATCATAGCGGCAGATAAGCTTTGAAATTCCTTTGTCATAGAATTCTGCCACCTGCAATCTCAGCCACTCAGTGATGCACAACCGCAGCTCCTTGTCGTCGTCAAAGCGCTGTGTTGCTAGCCAGTTCTTCATTCTTGGAAACAAGTGAAAATCACTACGTGCAAGATCGGGACTATAGGGCAGATGAGGAAAAACCTCCCATTTGAATGAATTAAGGAATTCTTGACGGTTTGCCGTGTGAGGTCAGGAATTGTCGTGCAAAAACAAATTTTGGACGTCAACTTTCCTTGTTTTGAACTGCTCTCCTAAGGTTGCGCAAAGTTTGACAGTACCGTTCAGAGGCACCACGTTCGAGAAAATCAATTAGAAGTGTGGCACCACATTCATTGGCACGTATGACACCACGTTCGAGAAAATCAATTAGAAGCACACCTTGCCTATCCTAAAACACAGTCACCATAATCTTCTTTGGTGACAAGGTTTGCAAACATTTTCTTGGTCTTTTGGGAGAACTTGTGTGCCCCCACTTCATGGACTGTAATTTTGTCTTGCAATTCACGTGTCTCACCCACGTCTCGTCACCAGTTATGATTCTATCCAGTAATGAATCACCATGTTTGTCATAGGCCTCCAGAAATGTCAAAGCTGCCCCAATTTGCTGACCTTTATGGTTGTCTGTAAGCAATTTCGGCACCCATCTAGCACAAAATTTGCGGTGGCCTAGCTTTTGTGTGACAATTTCAAACGACAAAGTCCGTGAAACTTGTGGAAAACTAGCTCCGTTATTGTGAAATGGCGGTTTTCACAAATCTTTTCATCAACTTTAGCGATTAGTTCGTCAGTTACAATGCTAAGGCGTCCACTCTTGTCTTCATCATGAATGTTAGTTCGGCCATTTTTAAACTGAATGCACCATTTCCTGATTGAACTTTCATTCATTACGTTGTTTCCATACACTTCACACACTTGCTGATAAATTTTCATTGGTATTTTAGGTTTTTTGCCAACAAAAATGTATCACAGACCGCACCTCACAACTGGCAGGCTTTTCAATTGCAGCACACATTTTAAATTTGAATATCGAAAAAACGGGCAGCGTGGAAATGTTCCCATTGTGGTGGCTGGACGTCGACTGTGATGACAAGCACGCAGACACCAAAATATATGTGATCGATGCGCACCTAGCAACGTCAGACGGAAACGTTCCTTACTTTCTGAATAGCCTAAGTAGATATGCATTTACCTTTGATTATGTGAATGCTTTTACAAGTATAATGATCAACAAATCATTCCTCTTGTTTATTTCATTTTGTGTTCATTGTATTTTCACGCATGTCCTGTTACAGCTACATAGATTTTATTCTCATCTAGATTCTCACATTTCTAACACAATTTATTTTCTGCACATTGTATGTAACTTACCTTTTTTACCCTTGTTTTATACATTCTAGAAGTGTGATTCTAAGTCATTTTTTTATGTCCTGCAAGGTTTATGTGAGCTTGTACATCACCCTTGTATATTTAATATGTATATTTATTAACTTGTATATTTATTCTGACGATACTAATGCATATTATCCTGAGACAAGTTTAACCAAACTAACTGCAAAAGTGCCTAACCCAGTCTATCTGATAATTAGTAAATGCAGTTATTTCAATGATTAATACCTGTAACAATACTCAGTAATTAATTTATTTGGCAGTAAAATCATGCACTGATATCAACAAAAAATTTTAAAGCCATCATTACAATTACATACAACTGAATACAGAGTAACGTACTCAATTTGGTACTCTTCCGTTATCGGGAGCAGATTTATAAATATAAGTATATACGCATGTGTGTAAGATGTGTATGGGTATATATGCATATAGAAACATACATAGGTACATACTTATATACATACATCCAGACACACATGCATACATACAGACTTTTCTGACTCAGAGACCGATAACAAAAGAGTACCCACAATTTTATCACTCCATTTCCAACTTACATAGACTTTTTTGAAAGAATTATAAATAATATGTTTTTAAAATACAGTAAAAGCTCAGCTATTAGTGGAGATGTTGCCAATCTCTCAGTATAAATATTCACATTACATCACCATTGTTTATCCACTTTCAAACTCTACTCTGGCTTTACACCCAGATCTTGTAACTTTGAAAATACACCACTTCTTGCAGTCCAAAATTTGAATAATTTTTTCAAAATGTGAGGATGGCTTATTGAAAATTAATCAGCTTAATCGATTAATCTAGAATTAATTAGACTGGCTTATATAGCATTACGAGCACTATAAAGGCATAAAAAAATTTCATTCACTACATTTTCCAGGGAAAACTTCTTTTCTGAAAATTCTTATATATTCCAGTTATTTGAGCTTTTTAGTTAGTTGAATGCTGGATAGTCAGGCTTTTACTGCAGATAAATTCACATTTATATTAACTTCTGTATTTGTACTTTCAAACAATGTTCAGAACCCCCAAAAGATGTGCATTCACTACCAAAATTAGTATTTTCTGATTATCGGAATCCTCTGCGAAACTAGGCAACCCACAACATCACCAGAATATATTTGCACAGCATCCCAGGAACGCACATGTCCGTAGCAGACGTGCTGATATCTGCCTTCAAAATCAATGATTATTTTTCTGATTAGTGTTTATTTTCAGTTAGTGTTTGTGCATTTGAATACATTTTTTTGTTTTCCTCATAAGAAACTGTAAAGAAGCTGTGAAGTTTGCTGGCTGATGAAAAGGAAATTGTTATATTTTTTGAGAAATAGAGAGTTGAGTTTTGTTTTTAAGAAATGTGGTGCTTAGAGAATGCCAAAATTAATTTTATGGATTTTTTAAAATAAAAACAAATTGCTGTGTAGATGGGGAAAACGAGAGTGCGAACAATGTCAAGTGTATCAAATCTCTGACGTTTTTTGAAGATAGAACAGATCACTGCATACTTGGAAAAAACAGTGCCCACCCCCCCCCAAAAAAAAAAAAGAAAGAAAGTGTGAAGGGGTACAGAAAGTAATTTATTACAAATAATTCTTCATTTTTAATTTTGGTAATTAGTAGCTGTTTTATGTAATTCTTAGTGCAGCATAATTTTTAAAACAACTGTTGTCTTTTATGTCTTAAGAGGCTGTTTGTTATCTTTCATGCCTTAATGAAAAATTAGTCACGAATGGTTAATGACTTTTCAGAAGAAGGGTACAAATCATTAGAAAGGACCCCAAAATCTTTACTTTTTTTACTATTTAAAGTGAACCTATAATGGCAGAGAACCATTAAATTGTTAACTAAACAGTCATTAAGTCTAAATCATTAACTAAGACGAATTTATTTGCATTATTCAATTCAAATTTTACTTTTAGTCCCTCAGATGTCTAATTTTCAATTCACAAATCAGTTATCAATCTTAAACAAGTTCATCAAATAACCGACCACCTATACTGATACAGTAATTTACTTCTGTAAAAATATTTGTTGTAAAGCCAAGTGACAATGTATTACATTGCAAGAACAATAAAATGCAACACATGAATACAAAAGAAATTTTTCATACCCTTTGAAAGCAGAATCCAAAATTGTTGTGTATGAAATATCTAAATATGCCACATTTGGACACTGAATTAGAATTGAACGCAACTAGAAGAAAAAAAAACATAGACAGTTTCAAAATTTATGCTTCTGTATAATGATGAGCACATTATTTAAAATAAAAATATTGAATCATTGAACTAAATATATATATTAGTTAAAACATTTTATTAAATTTTAGTATTTCATTATATTTAAAACAGGCAAAGTATATAAAAATAAAATAATGAAGAATACTTTATATGAATAATCTAACCTATTGGAATACTTGCAATAGTTGTCATAGGTATTTATAATTATTCAATTAATATAGTGTATTAAAACATTGTTTATAATCATAAACCTAATAATAAAATCTTAACATACAAAAATTACAATTTTGAATCTCTGCACAGAAAAAGAAATTTGATTTTACTGCTTGAATATCATATATAAATCACATTAGTTCAACACAAAAATAGATTTATAACTTTTACACAGTATTAGAATTAGGCAAATATATCACTATGCCTACGTATAAAGAACTAATAATTACACTTAAAACAACTTAGCATATTCCTTTAAAATAGTAACAGCCAAGACATCATCAATAATTACTGAGAACCATAATACAAAAGCAAAGTAGCAGCCATTAGTTCATAGGCTGTAATACTACCATAACCTGAAAAATTTAATTTTGAGATAAACAAATTTAAAGCTTTCCTTGATTTTGAAATGCATGAATCACATGCTTAATTTATTGATTAAGAAGTAAGCATCACTTAAAAGACTTAAGTTCTGTTCATAATAATAATTATAAAACCTTACAAAATGAACATTATTTAATATAAATTTTATCAAATTGTGTTATTGTTGTTGGCATGATGCTTATCCATTGTTGGCCCTTGATTCTCTTGTGTTACACAACTTATGTTTGCCAAAAATAGTTGATGGGAAAATACATAAGTACCAAGATTATTGCTTAATCAGGGTAGTGAGAGAAGGCAAGGGGGTCTGTCATGCCCCAAGTGCCACTCACAGAGGGGTGCCAAATGGTCCACATTACAAACAAGATTTTCCAAGAAATTTCAATTTTTTATTTTGATTAAATTTTGAAAAATAAATTTTTAATTAATATTTATTGTAATATAATTATTTTCTTTCTTTCATGATTTATCTTATAAAATATGTTTGCAGTAAATCAAATATCTCTGCATGCAAAACATTCTTTCTTCTTTCTTTCTGAACACTTTTCTAAAACAGCAAAATATTTTTATTTCTTTAAAAGAAATGCATGTTATTTTCTCAAACTTGTTATTTTAAAATGATAACAAACAATACACTAATCTTTTATTATAATAACAGTCCTTCGACCTTGAACTATCATTAATTTGGCCGCCAAATTGTAATAATCAACTAATAAGTGACATCAAAAGAGATAAATATCATCAATTTTTATTTGATTCAACTCCAGACATCGCTCATCAAGAAAGTATGTAGATATTTATTTTACCAGTAGAATAATTTCTATCAAAGAATCTTTTTTGGGATTTATTCAAATATATGCTAAAGATGCAGCCCCAATTGAAATTTTAGAAAAATTAAAATCCAATCAGATTTCATTAACAAACTGTAGATCACAATGTTATAATAAGGCTGCTATGATAACAGGTCACATACATGGCATTCAACAAAGTATTATGGAAACAATAATGATATTTGTAAACTACAACCACTCACCAAATTTAGTAGGAGTTACTGCAGCTAAGCAAGGTCCAGTCGTTGTAACATGTTTTGGAATAACTGAAAATATGTATCTCTTTTTCTCATGTTCAAAATTACCATGGGAATTAAAAAATGCTTTAAAGAAAACGGTGAAACATGAATCTGAAACAAGACAGAGTGCTAGAGCCCAAGCGGTTTGTGTTACTGTCAATGGGTTGGAAGAATTAGTAGAATTATTAGAAAAAGTAGCAGAGGACAAACCACAAGTAATACCCGAAGTGAAGCTACAATTTTATTGCAAAATACATTGAATTTTAATTTCATAACTTAAGTCCATCTATGAACTTTCATTAAGAATGAAATTATTCTCACAGCAATTGGAGGACAGTCAAACTGCAGACATTGCAATTGAGTCTCTATCATCCTTTTCCATTAATGAATTAGATTTTGAGAAATTATTTTTGGATAATATTGAAAAGGCTAAAGCAAAGCGAATGAAAATAAAAAACAAGAGCCTTTAGATATAAAAATGAAAAAATACAAACAAGATTTCTACATGGCCTTTGAAGAAATACAGAAATATGATTGCGCTTGCAAGACACCTCTTTCAGAACTCATAAAAATCTATTCTGAAAAGTTAAAAGAAGTAGTAACAGCTCTTCTTCCTACTTAAGTTAGTGTGGAAAGACTCTTCTCAGCTCTGAAGTTTATCAAATCAGATCTATGGCCCTCCAACAAAGAAAATCTTGCTATTGTTTTTCCTTTAGAAAGCTAATAAATGCCAGTTCTTAGAAATTCAATTAAAAAAAAAATTTCATAATAAATGGTTAATTAATATAAAATTTTACTATGCCATCAATGTTTTTCTGTAGCATCTATTCTATTCTTTTATATTAAAACTTAATAAGCTTATCCCATACATATTCATTTTACACATATCAAAATTGTTATATATATCTTAATATTTCGGTTAAATCACTTAAAATATTTATAGATACTATCAATATATTGTATAGGAGATAAATTTATTCTTATAAAATTATATTTGCATTAAATTCATAGGATTGGCTGGCATTCAAAAGTCCATTTTATTCCGAGACATATTTCTATTAAATTTCAGCAAAAAATATTTTAATTTTTAAAAACTAGCCACTGCTAATGTAAGTTAATAAGGTTTGCTTTCATTGTTATTTTAAATGATAAAAAAAAATTCCACAAAATTTTTTAGACCATAGCAAATTTCAATTAAATAATTAAATTATATTACTACATGTTTTTTCAATAAATTTTGATTATTTCTTTCATTTTATCTTATAAATATTTCAAAATAATCTCTGCATGCAATTTTTCTAAAACAGCAAAATTTTTAATTTTTTTAAAAGATAATTTTAACACGTATATTTCCAAAAAATTTTTTTTTTTAAATGATATTTTACAAAAAAAAAACTTCCCTTTTTAGTACCAGAATTATTAAACTTAAATAATTAAAAGTTACATGTTTTCATTTTATTTCCTTATCAACACTTTTATCAAGTCAGAGCAATATTTTAAACAAAGATAATGAAAGCAAACAATATACAAAAATTTTGTTTTTAATGAATGACTAACTAAAAAAGAAAAAAAAACTGTCAGACTTTTCAAAATATTACCAAAAGAATTACTAATGTCATCTTAAATACGAATGCTGACAATGGGGGATGCCAGATTATCAGGTGTGCTGAGGTATGTCAGATTATTGTACTTTATAATCCTTAAAAAATTTTATTAAACATCTGACTTAAAATTCTTTATAGCTATAATTAAATAATAACAAACAGACTACCATGTATGAAAGTACAAAAATACAACCCCATTTTAAATTACTGGTATATTTTTATACCCACAATTAAATACTAAGACACTATTAAATATAAGAATATGCTATCTTTATTAATTAATAAAATATAAAAACTCACTTGTTTACTTGTTAGGCTCCTACATGATGAAAGGACAATTTTTTGAACACCGGTTCCTACCAAAGGTAAAAGATATTTTATGATTGAATCCAAAGACTTAATCTCTTTCTGATATTTTTCAATATAATGCTCAGAATAGTCATCTTCAGATGAGAAATATTCAGCCTCTTCGTATTCATCTATATCAGCATCTTCATCCCTATACCGACGAGCACTACCAATAGAGTCTGAATAAAATTTTTCAATGCGATCTTCATGGTTATCATCATAATTTTCCCAGATACCTACAGTATGATTTAGAAAAGTAGTTTTTAGTAAAAGTATGATTTAGAATTTTTATTTAAATAAAAACTGTGACACACAAAAATTATAATGTGAATTATATGCTGTTAATAATTGTGATACATATAATTATGTAATCATATTCTGTGGTTGAAGTAAGCAAAAATATCAAATATTAGCAAATATTTGCCCTTTTAAAATATAAACATGCAAATGCTCATGGATTTTTGAAGCAGCCACGATAAATTGCCTAAAGTTGTAAACCTAGTCATATTTCTGCAAATCTTTTAACTGTTGTGTGTTAGCTTCTTATATTCAGTTCTTAGAGTTATATTAATTCCACCTTTTTAAATTAATACTTTGACTATAAGCTTGCTAATTACTTTCAGTCTGCCACAGACTGAAAAAGATTTCTTCACCTCTTTTAAGAAAAAGATCTATTGCATAGCATTTTGAGAGAACAACCACGAGATTAAACTTTATAACCAACTTATATGGCATTGTGAAATTATGCAATGCCCCCCCCCAAAAAAATGAAAGAAAGAAAGCATCTGTGACAGAAAATGATTTTGTAGAGCAAAAATGTCTTCTTTTATTTACTACTGGTCAATACAAATAACATCAATCAAGTGAAAGCATCTTGCCAAACATGCAAAGATCAAACTGCACGACACATAACATGTCAAAACTGATGAATCTTTTACATACGAAAAATATTAATTTTGCAAAACAGGAGAGTTCTATCTGATTCTCAATAGTTGCCAAAACACTTCTGCAAAATATCATTAGCCATGTTCAACCTATTTCAGCAACATATTTTTGTAGAAGCACAAAAAAAGGATAATCTTGATAAAATGAACTGTGAACCATTCTTTTAACTTTGTAGATCCAAAAACTAGTGCACATGAACAACAAATTGGCCAAATAACACAACAATGAATAAAGAAGGATACTGTGGCATTATCTGAAGTGTTATCTCACTGAATTTATGCAGCAGCAAGAGTATTCTAGAGACTATTCAAAACTATTCTAGTGACAAATGCTAAATTATCATAATAATGTGTTTAGATTGGAGCTTTTTGGCAAGATTTTAGTGAAATAATTGTTTCAAAAAATCCAGAGGAGCCAAAATAAAATATTTTTTATAAGTATATTATGCAACACAGAATATTTCAATTTCTATTTGTTATCATACATATTTTAAGATTTAGTAGATAGGAACTTATACTCCAGTTTTTTTTTTAATATTCTCCCATATATCATATTTACCTCAAAATAAGATAAACTTTATTTGCTAAATTTTAGTAGCAATATAGTAGGATCTTATAGCAGTATACAGCAAGATCTTACAAATTGTGTTTTAATTGGTGAAACTGAAAAATGAGAAGAAGTTTAATTTTTATATCACATAGAATAGTTGCTCTATATAAATACTAATAAATAATTAACATATAATTACTGCTAATTACAATAGTCATATCTAGCTGAATGATTTCAATTCAGATTTGCATCCACTATACCGATATGTTTGAAAATAAATATGTAACAATTTATCACAAACTTTTCCTTGCAATTAACTTTGAGCTACAGCTAACGGTACTGTTATTTTAGTGAAATTCAGAAGGAAGGGTAATAACTCAGATTCTCTGTCTCAGAATAACAGAAAAACAAAATAACAATTCACCAACCTTTTTTTATTTTGTAAAATGTTTTTCTAAAATATATGGCAGTTCTTATTTTTGAGTAAATACAGCATTTGTATAAAGGGAGCTATGAAGAAATATGTTTTTCAATTAAATACTTTACATAGTAATTAATTGAAAAATATTTGATATTTAGTACACTATTATTGCTGTTTTTCTGATGTTTCAAATATTCTATTCAGCCCACCAGCGGCCGAGCGGTAAAATCGCTGAACACTGGTAGTTCGGTCCGAGGTTCGAATCCCACGAACATGGGCGTTTTCGTGGTTTTCCCCATGTGTAACGTGTATACGAGCCAGTTTCCCTTAGAAAGTCCTCCACGAAGGCATCCCTCCTCTTAGGCAGATAGCCCTCGAGGCTTTGCCATAATCACACACACAAATATTCTATTCTATTTACTTTTCTAAAATTAATTTTAGCATTAAAATTTACTACTACATAGAATTGTATAATGCTATGACTGTTTTAATTTGAAAAACTTTGAGACTCATTTAAGCTAAAAAAGAAAGAAATGGAATTAGTAAAAACTAATGTTAAAGGCTTGTGATGTAAAGAATTCTAATTTAATGGGGAGAGGACCACTCTTTTGACCTATTTCCAAAATTAGCTAATTTATATATATAATTATTTATTTCTAACACACTTGCTTTTCTCTCTTAAAGTCTCATTCAGAAAAATATCCTGCATTATACCTCGCTTGAGCAATTGAAAATAAATCTTATTAGATATATTTTCTGCTATTAGATACATTTTCTGAAACACTAAAAAACCTAAAAGTTTATGTGTTATATCACAGACCATGAAACTTGGCTAAAATTGAAACATGAAAATTGGCAGAAAATACTGCCAAAGTTGTGCTAAATTTTTAATGAAATTCTGAAGGAACTGACATCTCTTTACTTAATAAAAATCAGTATTCCACCTGTTTTGTTTTTGTGCTTTGTAAAAAGGCTTGTATAATTTCTACTAATTTGTTAGGCTTCCCAATTTTACCATATGCTCCATTTAGAATATTATGAGTACAAACTTCCTGCAGATAATTGCACCAGTCTATTAGTTTTGTCGGCCATTTTCAGCTGACCATATCATGCCCATTATTACACACTTTTTCTTGATGGTAGGATCCCATAACTTTGAAAACAATCTACTGCTTGCTGTTCTGTAAAAGGCAGGTTCCAAATTGAAATTTAACAGCACCAAGTAATTTATATCTTTGTTAAAAACCAATGTGGCTTATCAAAAATCATTCGAGGTTGCATCAAGTCAGGACGGAGCTTATTAAGAGCATGTTGTCTCACTAAAAATATAAAATTACCCGCAAAAATTATGCTTTTGTATAACTCTTGAGAAAAATTTATTTAGAAAATGTAATGTTCATATACTACAATTCTACAGTCAACAGCCAGTTAACCAGGATAATAATTGAAAAAGACATTCATAATTAACCAAAACTCATAGTAATTTGAAGGTAGTTAAAAAAAAGGCAGCAAAAAGAAATAACACATATCATATTTGACAGAAAATTATTAATAATTAACAGTATTTTCAAGCACCTCAATTTGCTGCATAAATTATGTGTTTAATATGTTCATTTGTTTAAATTAAAATCTAAATCAGTGTTCAAAATAAGAACTACTCACTTTGAAACAGAAAGAAAAATATTTTTATTCGCATTACTCTTATTTTCCAATAGGAAGCAACAAGAAACTACTTACTTGGTTTATTTTTATGATAAAAACTCGATTTTACATTGGACTTATTTTTAAGAGAGTAATTTTAACAATGCTTATGGATTATGTATAATATAAATATTTAACAAAGTTTATTTATTCAGGATCACATAAAATTTAATTATTAAGTTATGTGCTGTTGTGGATGAAAACAACTCCCAAATACTATGACACCATTTGCTTTCACTAAGATTACCCCCCCCCCCCCACACACACACACACACTTTTGTTTTCGTTTTTGTATTTTTCATAGGCCTCTTAACACTGAAAATTTTGGTTCTTTATGATCCACACTCTCCTGACACAACATACTATTTTGCCCATATAGGCAAGTCATGATGTTGCCTAAATAAATTTATATAGCAACTCAGGTAAGCATTGTGTTTCTTCAAAAATATGGCATTTTGCCCAATAGTACAATATGGAAAAATTCACATTCCATGAAGTTGTTCCACTGAATTTCAGGATTAAAAATTGTTCCCTGATGTGGAATTTATGCAAGTCTCTGATTTCTTTTTAAGCAAAAACACATCACTGTGCACATGGACAGAACAATAGCATACACAATGTAAATTTGTATAATTATCTGATTTTTTTTAAAATTGAAAACAGGTCACTCTGCACATGGGGAAAACAACAGTGCAAAAAATTATAAAAGGAAATTTTTCAGAGAGACAAGTGTTTTATTGCGGATGTTGCTTTTTTCAATTTCATTGATTTAGTGCTCTTTTATGGGACGTTTAATGCGCTGCATTTTTAAAATGGTTGTTACCTTTTGTGTATTAGCCTGGCAAATGTTAGCAACTTTCTAGAGGGAGGTGTAGATAATGATCTAATTTTGGGATAGTAATTTATCCATCACTCTGCAATAAATAAACTTATCTTCTTCCAAGACAGACTTTTTCTTCTTTTATATTAACCCACCACCCAGTTCACCTGGTTAAACGGGTTAGGTTACTTGCATATGGGAAAGCACCAAAGTGCTATTTACCTAAAAAGAGGGTTGACTTAATGAAAGACTTTCTAAAGGAAACTAGCTTTCATTGATGTTACACATGGGAAAAATTATGGAAACCGAACAGGCAGACAGTCCATTCTGAATTAGGGCGACCAGTATTCAATGGTCTTAAACCATTGGTAAGGTATTTTCGGTTAACTCGAAGCTAGCCGTAATAAGCCAGAGATGCAACAGATATAAAAAAATGTCCTTCATTAGTATTAACTTACCATGACTTTATTAAATTTAAAACACGTTTAAATACTAATTAAAATATTTTAAAAGTAAGAAGATCATGATTACCATGACCCCAGAAACAAGGATAAATTTCTTTCCACAAAGACGGTCCATGTGCGATATCATACCATAAATGACAAACACCTGAGCAACGCAGACGATCTTGAGGCGATAGGAAAGACAAAATATGAGACAAAATTTCAGGAGGTAAGCAGGAGATACTGTCCTTCAAGTCACTAGTACCTGCATCAATTTCTGATTAAAAAAGAACAAAAATATGTACCTCATTAAATTTCATAAAATAATACAATGTTCTGTTTTCAATTTTCAATTCAATAACTTTAAATAAGTTTGGAACTGAAAAATACCATTTTTTCTAATTATCCATAAAAATCTGAGATACACCTAACAAAAATTGGTATAATGAAATTATATATTTGATATGATTTGAGAAATTACACTGAAGAAAGATTATTGAAGTATCGTTGAACAATTGAAATATCATTGAAGACCTTTTATAATTGACATCAATAATAAAAGGTCTTCAATGATACTTATGATGTTCTGATTTAGTCAGCTTCACACATTTATAGTATAAAAATATTTTAAATGATATTTCGTAACAAGTTTTCTGGGTAAGCATTCTACACATTTTAAAATATAACAACTGCTGTAAAACAATAACAGGTAAATTAGTTTTTATAGTCCTTAAAGTTATGCATAATCTGTCATGGATTTCAATCACAGTACACTGAAAGTTAAAGAGTTAAAATTAACAGCAGAGGATACTAATAATAACATAAAAGAAGAAAAATACAACTTTCCTCTTTGTTATTGTTAAACACCATACTGGGCATGTAATTTTGTTTTCTCACTCCATTTCTGTTTAATATGCTTCACCTTGTAAAAAGCACATGAATAAAAGCCAACTTGGACTACAGTTTCAAATGAGATGAAGAATATAGTGCTGTGCAGCAATGATGACATGCATTAATATTGAAAATGGGGAAGACTATTAATAGCCTTAAAATGCCTATTATTAAAAAATTACACTTTACTAGAGCAGTAGTAAGTCACAATCGATACTTTCAGACCATCTTTGGGATAAATAACAGTAATAATCTTATTTCAGATAGGAATTAACCAATTTTTTTAGAACTTAGGAAAATTCCAACTGCAATATTTCATACACAGAAGCTCATCTTAACAGCAGCAAATGTAATTACCAAAAAATAAATGGACCTTTCCTTGTTAATTTCTTATTATGAGAGATGCAAAAAAAAAAAAAAAAACTGCAGGTGCTTTTGATTATAATGTGCCTTTGGGTGTGTGATCTTTAAGGGTTCCATGGAAAGCAATTACCACTGGCACTACATTGGCTGTCATGCCAAAAGAAGGATCATATCCTTATTCATTTGCATCTGACATTTTGAGTTGTCCATAATGTTTTTAACTAATATATATTTTGAATGTAAAGTCTGTAAACAAATGTTTGTATAAATTTATTTAAGGTATCTCAAAAATAAATAAGATATTATTTGTCAAAATTTTAAAAATAATATTGATAAGTAATTATATAAAGGACCCCCCCCCCTTTTTTGGTAGAACTTCAAAACCATTCTCCAAAATAACAAAATAAATAAGTGATAAAACCTTATTTCAGATAAGTATAAACTTCTCAAAGTATATGTCAGATAAGTTGACAGATATCACACCAAAGATGCACCAATAGTTTTTGCAGAATTCTAAAAGAACTGATGCCTTTTTATCTGATTAACAATTCGTATTCGACCCATTTCAAGTTTTCATTTCGTAAGAAGACTTTTGTCGGTTTCTACTACTTTTTAGGTCTTTTGATTTTACAGAAGCTCTGTTTGGAAACCTATAAAAATCTTCCCATAGGTATTTGTTCCAATCTATTATTGTTTCATTGGCCATAAAATTTCCATTAATAGATACTTTTTTCATTGGAAGATTCCATAACTTTGAAAATAATTTATTTCTTACTGCTCTGTAGAAGGAAATAAGTTTAATTTTAATTTTTAATCTTTTTTCAGAATACAAGGGAAAAAATATGGCAGTAATAGTTAGTTTATGTCATTGTTCATAAAAACAAAATGCAGCTCAATGAGAATCAATCACAATTATATCAAATGAAAGCACAGACATTTATCAGTGCGTTGTTGCATCAAGCTTATCTATATTTGGTGCTAAATTCTACTGCTTCACATTAGTGTCATGGTCAACAAGATAAAAGTAGTGTTTAATTATTCTGTTGAATTCATTTTTTTAATCTCACTGAAATTTTACAATAAAAGTTTATCAGTTAAATAACACAAGGAATGAGGAAAATGCAATATGCATGAAAATAAAACATGCAACACACTTACTTAAATCAGCTTCTGCTTCTTCCAAAAAATGCTTTTCTGTATCATAGACATGCCATTTGCTGTGTTCTTCAATGACCTGCTCTTTCAAACACTTCAATTCTTCATATTCAAAATACTTCATCAACATAGGCTGGAATACCTTAAAAATATAATACATAATATAAACACAATATTGCTTCAATAAATGAGCAAAATTTTATTATATATATGTGTGTGTGTAATAATAAAATTCCATAGTCAAAAATACACTTAAAATTCTAACTGTATATTCTTTTCATTTTTAATGGTGACGGTCTCTTATTTGAAAGTATGTGGAATTAAATCCACAGCCCAGTAGTCATGTTGTTTTTCCCGCCTTTTCTACACGTACAGTTATAGAATGTTCTGGAGATATTTAAAGCGAACTGGAATGGCTGACGAGGCTGACGTCATTTCTTGGAAGCTCTACCTTTCCAGAGGCTATAAAAGGACTCACCAAGAAATATCGGGGTCTTTTCTTTAATGTAACGATGCAGTAAACTTCATACAAAAAGTTATTAGTAGTTCTTTTTTATTTACTCCAGAGATCTGATTTTCTGTAACTGCTATTTCTCCTGAATAATAATAAATGGATCCTGTTTTTTAAACTTATCGTCTGATACTTTAAGCTACGACTACATCTATGATTCTTCACCAATCTATTTATTCCAAACAAAAGCTGATACATCACATATATAGTATATTCTAATTAGATTTCAAAATTTTATATTTGTTGTTAAAAGCAATAATAACTAGACCATAGCAGAAATGTTAAAGATATTTCGAACATAAAATTGACTTCAAATAAAGCATTGTAAACAAAATAATCAGTTAAAATCAAATTATCTTAAAATATAAAAGTTCCAATAAAACATATTAAAAATACTGTTATCTTGTAGCTGCAGCAAGAGTTTTTAAGACATAAAACATGAGTAGTCAACAGAAGCCAAAAAAGATAACTCCACTGCTCTTGCAGATAATTCAAATCCTTGTTATTATTTCATCCTAATCGTATATTTTAAATTTGTGCATGCATCCATCCAAGACCACAATTAAGGAATTGTAAGGAATTACCCCATTCTCACATGCATTTTCTTGCGTTGTATATGGTCAGCACATATAGCCAGCAGTTTTAAGATCTATTGTTCAAATCCTAGAAACAGAGTAGTCAATATGTCATGCTTTCTACTCTAAAAAGCCTATAAGTTTCTAGAGTGATGCCTCATTAAATACAATAGATGATATGTTACATCACCTGGACGGTTATTCTATGCTACGAGAGTCGACAGCAAGTCGTGGGCCGCCAGATGTCGCATCTAGTGAAAAACAGGTCTGCCCGACATCCTATATTCTCTGAGTACGGAAGATGTAGAAAGCGCGCAAAAATGTGTTGCCGTGTTGTCAATCAGGGTTGTGCAGTTGATGTACTAAGCAGACAATGGCTTTGTATATGTTTTCGCAGCTGATTTTTTTTTCATATTTAAACGAAGAATACGGTCGTAGATCTCTGAATCGGTGGCGAATTTATAGAAAATATGTTGATGCTTTTGCTCTGCCAGAAGATGTTTTCATTGCGTATTTCAGATTGCCAAAATTTATAGTTATTTTAATTTGCGATGAACTGAGAGAGTATTTGGAGCCACATTCAGAAAACAAGAACGCAGTTTCTACTGAAAGAAAGGTTATTTATACTATTCCTGAAATTATAGATATAAATTGTAATTATATGCTTTAAAAATGTAGAAGATAATAAGTTTATTAAGCACATATAGACATCCGATAAGCTTCTACTTGATTTATGTACAGCAAGAATTACGTTTATTTTAAAATCTAACAGTTGAATACCTTACGACTGTACACAAAAAGGAATGTTGTTCATTATTACGCGAAATTCACACTACTGTAAAATAAAAATTTAAAAAACAATTATAAAACTATAAAATAGCTTTATAATATTTTTTCAGTAGCAGTACTACTACTAGTGTGATACTTTTAAAAATAAGTTTTAGCCCAGAAGGGCTATTAATTTCGTTTTGCCATTTTGTAGCGTTTCACTTTTCAAATAGTTGCCACTAAATATCATCGCACTTGTATTATATTTAAAGAAATTAAATAAAGAGAAATCTGCATAAATGTATGAATGTTTCTCGCACTGTGATAAAACAATGGTACCTAGAGCCATGAAATTTTGAATAACGTAATCCTCCATCCTAATATAGGCATCTTGGAGGCCAAATTTGGAACTGGGAATTTGTTTATTATCTATTTCATATTTTGTAAAGCATTTATGAGTGTTTGATTAAGAAACTGAATGATTTCAAAGCGAGCAATGGCAACATTGTACGGAAAAAACATTTTCATCTCTAGCGCGCGAAACTATGTATCGGAAATTCTAAAGATATGCTCTTTTTAAATTATATGATTTTGCTGTTGAATTGAATTTTATGGTTTAAATGCGAAGAACATGATATTTAATAAATAAAGGTAACACGCAAAACGTTTTTTAAAAAAAGGGCCTTTTTGGGAAGTAATATAAAATCTGAAGGCTTTCAGATTTAGATTTTTTTTTTTGTGTGTGTGTGTAATTTTATTACGTTTAAAACTGGTTTCTAAGGGAGGACTTTCTGAAGGGAAACTGGCTTGTATACACATTACACATGGGGAAAGCCACGAAAACGCCGATGCCGGGCCAGCTCGTTCGTGGGATTCGAACCTCAGACCAAACTACCTGCGTTCAGCGACTCTACCGCTCGGCCACTGGTGGGCTTATTAGCAGAATTATACTGTATTATTATTGTATTATGCTATAAAGTAACAATGCTATAAGACTGAGACATACCTTTAGAATTTCCGATACATAGTTTCGCGCGCTAGAGACAAAAATGTTTTTTTTCCTCTTCATGGAATAGTACTTTTGTAATCCATTAGTATTAAAAAATCATTGTTTCTTTGCAAACTTAAAAAAAAAGATACTGTTCATAGCAGAGTTCTCATTTTTATATTGTAAAAGAGATATTGATTATTATTAGTTTTCTATTTAATGTGTCGAAACGCTGGTTTGACAAGGACTTCAACTGCAGAAAAATATTTAAAGAAACAATGCAAATCTGGAAAAAAATCACCTTCAGTATATTTAAGAAACACTGATAAATTTATAAAATAATCTGAATTAATATAAAAGATTTTCTTATATGAAATTATCTAAGTGCATTTAGTTACAATATTATTAACGCGAATATCGTTTTGTTTAAAGGTAAAGAAAATATTTTTTTGCACTAAATTAATTAATGGATTATTTATTTTGAGCAAAAAAAAAAAGCACGAAAATCCGAGTTTAAATTATCACGAAAAGTCAAAGAAACGTTTTGTCAAAGAACGATTCATCTTAAACCCTGTTCCTCAATTTCCTACATACGTCGTACATTGATTATTTTTACTTTGGTACTTGCATTGTGAAAAATAATATTACTATCTTTTAATTATTTTCACAGAATAAAATCTTTTGAGAAGGAAGAATATTTAAACTGAGCAGTTCTTATATATATATAAAATTAAAATAACAGCAATGTAATATTAAAAAAAAGGTATTAGTAATTGTGTGACAAAAATTGCAAAACGAATTAATCACACATACAGGATAGATTAGTTTAATTTTGGTTATATATTTTATATTGAAAAAATATTTTCTTTCATGTTAATTATAGAATAAATTATTTAAAATAAAGCATTTTGATGCGTGTGTGATAGTTGAATGCAGCAGCAATCGGCCATACTGTAATAGCGAATGAATTTTATTTCCTTTTCCTGAAAGAAATAATTTTCATAGAAAAAGAAAATAGAAAAAAAAAAGGAAGAAATATTTTCTTCTTTCTAATTTCTTATTAAAAGAAATATTTTTCTAATAGTAACTGTAAAATAAATTGCGGGAAAACAGTTTTAATGTAAGCATGGATTAAAAAAAAAAAAAAACTTAGTTTGCTATTAGATTGTAATGCAAATTAATCATATTATAAATTTAAATGAATTAAAATTGTTTATTTCTAAAAGGATTTGAAGTAAGCTTAATTCATTTACTCTTATCTATTTACCATTGCTTTCATGGTATGGTATCCCATATCACTCTTTATTTCTTAGCTCTAAATTCCTGCGTTAACTTTCCCCTTAAAAAACGGATAACATAGCAGCATATTCTGCTGCGTGTTGGTCATAATACTGTTTTGTGCAATTTTTTTTCGAACTACAAATGCAGCGTGTGAGTTAGTGAAATAATGGGAGAATATTCCTAGAACTTCAGCCAGCGCGCGCTATAAATTTCGTCACTCGTCTGTACTGCGATTGGTCTAAAGCTCCTTGAAGCCTTGTCCCCTTTCAGTAAAGTTAAATGGACCCACCCGCCCACCAACTGAGGACCACAGAATGGCTTTCTCCGATAAGTTGTGATGGCTGTCCATACCGGTTTTTTTGAGTCAATATTGTTCGCTCAAGTTGTAGACAGATCCAGTGATCATAGAATAGGCATCCTGGATTATACAGATTTTGATCCTTTAATTAGAGAAGAAGTTATAGTTTTCTCGTGTGAGCTCTCATGGTGTAATTGGTTAACACATTTTCATAGTTCCTGCTTCAAAAAAATCTATAATTTTATATCAGAGCTATTACTATATTATTTACAAATTTATCATTAATATCATAGATTAATATACCTCCTCTTCTTCCTTCATATGAGGAAGAAAAGATCCAGTAAATTCTTGGAGAGCATTTTGTAACTTAATTCCAAAATTAATGCGGTCAGCTTCTGGCTTAGAAGTACAAGAATATCCATCTTCCACAAGGGCAAGCATGTCTGATAATTTGTTATCAGAATGGCAATTACACACAGCAGCATCATGGATAGATAAAGACTGAAATATGTAAAAAATACACAAGTAATAAAAAGTTATATTAAAAAAGTTAAAAGTTACAAAATAACTATAAGAAAATAAAATTATTATATCCTGCAACTTTAAATATCCTGACTCAACTACAAACAAAGCAAAGAAGTAACTTTATCAATTACCTATACAGGAACATATTACAGCATAATTATTTAATGTGGGTGCACCACCCACTGATGAATGCAGAGAAGATCTAGGAAGATATAATACTTCAAAAGGTAATAAGGAAGCATTCAAAAGCAAGTGGACTATAAGAATACACTAGGACAATTTGTTTGCTTAAAAATTTTAGAAATAAAACACTTAAACATTGATTTAATTATGCACATAGCACTATTACACATCTTTATAAGAATCATGTCAGGACACCCTTTACATCAATTAGTTTAAGTTGCAAGCATTGTTTTTTAATTCCAAGGGAATACGTAAAATGCAAATTAACAGCTATTGTATAGAGTCTGAGATCCAGAACAGCCCAGCAATTCCAGATTTGGGATTAGATCATCAATTTAAGTTTAGTTAGATGACATGTAAACATGGTAAGATTGGAATTTTACTTATTGTTTAGGTCAGACAGAAGAATATTAATGCTCCAACAGAACTGGTGCCATAGAATTTAGGAGTGGAAAAATTTTTTGAAGAGCACAGAACAGCAAAAATTAAGGTGGTCAAAATTTTTTGAATTTAGGAGGGGCACTGAACACCCAGATAACTTCTCTTTTCCCCCAGAGTTAGAAAGAAGAGCTAGGTCATTCCTTTGAGTAAACTCTTGCCGATGCCATCCTCGTACAGGGAGTTAACAGGAAGTAGTCTGATGTCACTATGTTGCATTAGCTCTGATTTCACCTTCTCATTCTGCTGCGAAGAGATATTATATCAATGGAGACAGCCCATATTAATTTTAATCACATACATTTATTTGTTTTCTAGTAAAGCACTGAAAAAGTCAAAGGCAGCCCATGGGTCAGATATGGCCCTCAAAGTAATTTTATGCTGCCCCCAATACATTTCCCATAAATTAATTAGCATTATTATGACAAGAATTTGAAGAAAACATTTAAAATTTTAATGGTTTGAAATCCAGTTTTATGATATTTTCAATACCAAAACCGAATATGAAAATCTGAAAATGGAGGTAATTAATTTAGAAGATCTTGTTAAAAGATTTGAAGATAAAAATTTGATTAACTCTTATTAGCACTTGTCAAAAGATAAATATCTTCAGTTACAAATTTTTGCAATAAGAATAAATACAGTCAAAAGTCGTTAATCCGGACTCATCGGGACTTCGGCGATTCCGGATTATCGATTTTTCCGGATTATAGATCATCAGTTTAAATCGCGTAAGATGGCATGCAGAAATTCTAAAATTAAAAATTTGAAACCGTAATTTATGAAATAAAGAACAATTATGATCTAAAGGGTATCAAAGCTTAATATTTATTTGTTTACTTTATTAAACATTTCTTTCCATGTAAGTTGTTTAAGTTGCTTCGTTTTATGTGATAATACTTTCTCTTTAATTCTATAAACAGACATCATTTTTTGTTCAGTTGCAAAGTTCCGCTGTTCAAGTCCCGTTGATTGCTGTGCCGACCGAGAATACCGACTAACTTGTCAATCGAAATTTTTTCGTTCTCACTAACCTCTCTGTCACATTCTTCATGTCTTTATCCATTTTTTGCAGCAATTCCACTTTTTGTTTGATGGACATTGAAACATACTTTCGTTTTGTACGATCCTCTGGGAGCTCCAGATTCGGAAATTCTGTTTGACATAATCGAAAGTTCAAGTTTACTTTTATAGTATTGCTCTTATAGTCTGCAAAAAATAATAAGCCGCATCCAATTCGAAAATTAAGGAACAACGCAATCATCAACATTAACTGAAATAGATAATTAGATAATTTTAGCTTATACCGTACGTTATACATAAAACGCGCACGCGAAAACGTATTCTGTGATTGCGCACACGCAAATGCGCTGTCGTAAGAGGTCTTACGCGCACGCGTAAACGCCTATGTGCATGTGTCAACGCGGCACATGCACATAAAGTTTTTAGCTTCGAGGTCCGGATTATGGGTGTCCGAATTAACGACTTTTGACTGTAATTTTATTTTCCTCCAAGATTATAAACTTCATCAAAATTAAAACATCATGAAGTGTAGTAGCTCAAAGGTGTTATACAAAGAAAAAAAAAATGTTTTAAAAAAATTACGTAAAAATATATAGTACTTTGTCTGTTTGCTTCCCAGAAAAATTTCATAAATAAAATAAGAAGTGGTTGTCATTATTTATTTTTTCTAGTTAAAATTAAAAGTATTTAGCAGTTACTTCAATCCATTACAATTAGTTGAATAAATGTCAATCTGAAAATTTTAATATTTAGCTATCTGTTTGAATTACAAATTGTGACCAACAGAAATTTCTTGCAGATACCAACTTTTAGATTTCAAGCAAAATATAAGTATAAAATTGATTTTTTTTTTTTTTTTTTTTTTTTTTTTTTTGTTTGTTTGTTTGTTCATTTTGACAAATATCTAGTAAAAAGTTTTCAATTTATTACCAAATTTTGATTTGTTAAAAAAATTCCCCTTTTTTTTAATAATTGCTGTCTCTCAGCTGCTTTTAAATTGTGCATGGCCCATGTGCAATGTAAGTTTGAGACTACTGCTGTAAAGTATCATTTATGTAATATGTCTTCTTGCTTTACAACAAAGTGCTTTAAAACTATAAAAACAAGAATACTGTATTTTATATTATTCCAAAGGACAGTTTGCTTTTGGCGAAAAAATTGATGCATGTGACGAAGACAGGATTTGATTAATGCGAAGAACGCAAAAATTTGCAGGGAGCATTTTCCACGAATTGACTGTGAAGATAACATAAAATCACTTGCTTGTTAATGCCATAAAAGAAACTGTTAAAAATCCAATACTGTACTCGGAAAAGAAAAATAGCGCAAAGTGCTTTTTAAAGACTATTATTTTCCACTTCTAGATTTTGTATGAGGAGGGTTTTTTTATGATTTTATTTTATTTATTTATTTATTGGTAGCACAAAGGTCCGGATGCTAGATCATTCTAAAATTTTTTATGTCTGGATTTCCAACTTTCTGTTGTACTAATCTAAGATTCTAAAAAACACAACTACATATTAATATTGTTACAAAATGTACAGGCGCGGTAAGATGGCTTCCCCGCAAAGCAGTTTTAGGGTTGCCATAAAATGGCAAGGAAAGGCAGGTTGCCACATTTGGTGATATACCATGGACGGATGGATTGGGAATATACCATGGACAGAAGCATATTCACCAATATTTATTTTCAAATTTATCATTAATATCATAAATTAATATACCTCCTCTTCTTCCTTCATATGAGGAAGAAAAGATCCAGTAAATTCTTGGTGAGCATTTTGTAACTTAATTCCAAAATTAATGCGGTCAGCTTCTGGCTTAGAAGTACAAGAATATCCATCTTCCACAAGGGCAAGCATGTCTGATAATTTGTTATCAGGATGGCAATTACACACGGCAGCATCGTGGATAGATAAAGACTGAAATTCCTTCTGGAACAAATTCTTAACGGTTTAGCCCAGAATGTTTTCGAACACAAGCCGTAAACTATATAAACCCTGCTGGTCCACAGTCAGTGTGTGTGTCTCGTCTAGCGAGTCAGTCCCTGCGGAGTGAATCGAGTTGACAGCCGGGCAGCGAGTGTCGAAGGGGTAGTCGAGTGCACCGCAAAAGTCTTGTAGTATATTGTGGTTAGTGCATCATTGGGAAAATGAGTTGAGCTCCGGGAATGACTGAAACAAAGAGTCAGAAGCTGTGTTCTTGTGTCGTCGAGTGCATCGCGAGTTGTAGCGTGGAGAGTCTCAAGAGTATGTGAAGTTCCGAGAACGACCGAGCAGAGTCGGGAGCTTTACTGTGAAGCTGTCTCCACCGTTATTGCCTGACAGTGTAAAGGCTGTGTCACTGATTGTTCCAGCATGTTTAGAGTAGATCTTCGACAAATGTAAAAAGTGCTTTTGGAGCTGTCCTGATTAATATTGGCTAAATAAAGTGTGTTTCGATACTTCATCAAGTGTCATCGTTATTCACTCAATCCATACAAAGCCCGTATGTAACGTAACAATATAGATGCATTTTCAGCAATATTCAGTACAACCCTAATGCAATACATGTCAGCTCATATAACAGTGTCATAAGAGTAAGCAGTGCTGAGCCCAAAAAACTCTGAAAAAGAGTAGTGAGCCAGGATAAGTTTGAATTCTATGCATCATGGTTGTTCCCAAGCCTTAAAAAAAAATACTCTATAAAATGACAACAAATAAAGATTAAAAGCCAAAAATGATATAAAATAATGTTACAAATTTTGTGCATAAGATCAGCAATTTTAGTAGAATTATAATTAAAATTGTTGTATTTCTTTGTGTAACGTAGCGCGAGACGAATTTTCAAGAGAAAGCTATGTCAGAAAAGTAAGAATACAGGGGCATGTGCATTTAACATTGAATAAATGGGTATCTCGGTAATTCGTATTGAAACTGAATAAATGTAATTGACCACTATGTTAGCTTAACCGTAATTTCACACCCTAATTGCTTTCCAGTAATTTCGATGGAAAGTACTTGAAATATCTCATGGACTGTTGAAAACTATAACAGGCCAGAGAGAGAGCATCCAAGTTCTGTTGTTTAGTTATTGTTGCAAGTTGCTTAGTTCCACATGAATTGAGATATCTAAACGAGCTTTCTCTTAAGATGCGCTCTGCATTGCATTGTTTTTAATATTCTGAGTAGTCTGAAGTGTAACTATTGATTATACTGTGAGCACTTGTATGAATATTTCTGTGGAAAATCACAGAATTCTGAAATATTTCTTTTGATAAAAATAAATGGCTAATCCTTGGAATATGGTAACAGGTAGTTTGGCGATATTTTGGTAAGGCGATAAAGGTTACTAGCTAGGACTTTTGCAGTGTACATAAGTCATATGGATAAAGTCAAGAGTGTGCGCAATGCCATTTTTGTGTGCAATTCTGGGATTTTTTTTTTAAGTGAAAATAGGTCGACGTGTACATGGATACCGTGTAGTGCAAATCTTAAAAACGCGGCAAGCAGTGGGCGATTCTGCACTTTCTCCCAATTTGCATCTAATCTTTCATGATTAACTTTTGTTTCATAAAAGTTCTAGCAATAAGCGTAATTCGGCTAGCAGATTGTAGGAAAAAAGTTAGTAAAAAGAAACATGCCTTTACTTTGTGAAAACAAAATGGCGTCCAAAACAAAACTAGCAGGTTGCTGTAGCAGGGCTGGTCGCCAAATTTTAGTCAAAAAATCACCAAGTTACCATCATCCAAAGATTAACCAAATAAATTTTATTAACCTGTTATCGGACTTGTGCATTCAATCTATTATGAACCCATACGTACACAACAATACAACACACACAGCTCAAATCCAAAGATAATGCAGCTTTGGTACCTAAAACTGGGAAGACACTGAGTATACTGGCTCAATGGATTTAAATGTAATGGCATTAAATTGACACAAACAATTTAAAAGTTAACTTTTAAGTTGTTTGTTAAATTTTGCAATTTCCTAGAATGCAGGAAATTGCGAAATTTCCAAGAAGTGGACTATTCTAGCTTGCTTGCAACATATCACTGCATTTTCTCGGTCTGCTTGCCTGTAACTTAAAACTCTGAACTCTTTTCTGAGAAGAAAGGCTTAAAATCTTACAAAATATTAGCTTGCTTAGAATGATATAATTTTCTGTCACCCAGCTGTTTGCAAGCAATGAAAGGATCTTGCAAAATTGCCCTCCCTAAGCCAGCATACTAAACCACCATAAATAAGGTCATATTTTTAGTCAACTGTCGCATAAAACTAGGCTGAAGATATTTTCACTTTTCTTTCATATCAGCAAAAATCATCTTCTATTGTTTACATAAACTGAAAATGGTACTAATGTGGTTCTTTCATTAAAATAAAAACTGCATAAAGTGGGGGGATACCTGCACTTAACCTGAAAGGAAATAAGTTTCTTACTGTTATTACTATTGCTGGGGTATAAATTTAACCTTAGTTATTACTATTGCTGGGGATTAAATTTAACCATACAGTTCCACCTCAGACGTTTATCAAAGTGTCACAAAGTCTTAATGTGAAATGGCGCATAGCGCGATATTTCGGCAATAACTGTGCACACTAGACTAGGCCATACAGTTAAAAAACTTTCTAAATAATAATATCATAGAAAAAACATGAAGCTTTTTTTTTAATGAAAAGAAACAATATTTTGCTTTTAATCTACCTAAAAAGATTACTATTTCCACACTGACTAAAATAAAACAATGGAAATACTATTCTATGAATGAATGGCAGAATTAAAAACAAATAAACAAATAAGACAGAAAAATAACTCAGATAACCAATATCTACATAACTGTCTGAACCTACTGATTCTAAGAATCTGAATATAATATTAGAGTTTTATAGGCAGAATAAAAAGATGATTCTCGGAATGCAACAGAATTATTACAATTTCTTAGGCGAGAAAAAGTCAAAGGTGAATCTGAGTGAATGTAATAGCGGTGTATTGTGTTTGAATTATGATTCCCCAGCATACAGCTATATGTACAATATATAGATTCTGTTATTACACAAAAAGTAATAATCCAGTGTGACATCATGATTCAAACCAGAGAGAACACATACCTCTAATATATTTCAGAATTGAGATACTACCCACTGAATGATAACCTTAATGCTTACCCTCACGCACAACGAGTGTCAAAGAAGGAATAAGTTTCAAACTGAAATTTGAATGCATCTGAACTGTATTCTAGAACTCTTTGTAATTAATTATTTATGATGGTACATAAGAATGAAAAGAAGCACACAACAAAATTTCATGGTCTACTTCAAAGCTTCTCTATACTTTTTTATTTTTAATTCTGAAGAAAATTGTGTAACAGCTGACATAGGTTAGTATTCAACTGGAGCAATATCCAGTGAATATAATCAGTTATTATCATGGATGAAAATGCTAAGAAAGCTTTAGATGAAGTGAAAGCAAAACATAAAATATTAAGAAGATTAACAATTCAAGTAATTAACAGAATATCTGAATTACTGGAACCATAACTAGTAGATAAAAAATTATTAGGACAATGTGAGATGAATCTACAACAAAAAGCAGAACAAACATTTAAGTTAGATCTAAAAATTGAAGATTTAATTCCTGAAGTGTTGGATCTCAAAATGGAAGTTGAGAACAATCAAGAGTATACAGAATATATTATTTGTATAAAAACGAAAGTACAGAAATATTTAAAGAATTTAGATAGGAATAAAGTATATTTGAACCAGAAAAATCCAAAATTAATTTGCCAAAACTTTATGAAGAACTTTTTTTAGGTAAATTTTAAGAAGTTTCAGGAATTTTGGGCACTGTTTGAGAATGTGATTCATAGCATATGCAAAATGGATAAATATAATTATCTTAAAGCTATCTTAAAAGGCCTTTTAAAGCCTTAATTAGTATTCAAGGACTATTGATATCAGAGTATAATTAAGATTTAGCAGTAGAAATGTTTAAAGAAAGATATGGGAAAAAGAAATTATTATAAGTTCTCATATTAACCATTTGTTAAACTTAAATGCCATAAAACTGGATAACAAGCCAGTTGAAGTATGTGTCTCAATAGCATTATGCAAGAATCATGCCAGAATGATTAATTTTGAAATGAATGCAGTTCTGAGAGATTTATTATAAGCAGTTACTAGTTTTAGATTGAAAAGGAAAATAGTCAAATTCAAAAGATGAATGAATTTTCTAAATGGAACGGTTTTGGGATCAGCTCATGAAGACCTGTATTTAAACAGTATTTATTAGTTATATTTTGATAATTACTTATTTTAGTCTCTGTTTTAATAAACTTCCATTCATTAAGCAGTTATTTACATTTTTAAAGAAAGTAAGAAAGTAAAATAGGCTCTACTCTTATACGTGCCCTAAGATCACCAAATGTGGCAATATGTGTTCTGTGCTGGTTTTTGGCACGATTACATGTTGTATGGCAACCCTTTTGACGTTGAAAATTCTTTTGCTGAAGTGGTTTAATTGCTCGTTGGTTTGTGTCGTGCGTGTTTTGAAATGGCCTATTTTGCAATGAGAGACGTGGTTGCAAGAGGGTCTAGGAGATTATTTTTAATGGCTGAGCATGATAGAAGTAAGGAAACGCTGATGCAGTGTATTAAAGAGTGGACTGAGCCTTGCACAACTATTTTTCGGATGACTGAAATCTTACAAGGATTTAGGAAAAAGGTTTGGGAACACTTATTTGCGAATCATAATATGAAATTCTGGATATGTATCTGGCTGTCATTAATATGTGTTCGTGCGACAAGTTTAAAGGCGTATGAAATTGGGTTTTCTTCATTTAAAAAGCATTTATTCATGGTAAGAGCCACTTTTTTAATTTTATTTTTTTTGTTTGTTTTTTTCTGTATATTGTTTTTTTGTTTTTTTTTTTTTTTAAAATTGTTGAAATTTATTTGTAGTTTTATTTTGTTGATTAGTGGTAGTGCCTAAATTGTGCAAATTTGTGAGCTGTTTTAAGTTGAAACGAATGCTTGTACCTGGTATTCTTTGAAATTTATTGTCATGTAATTTATTAAAGCGAGGTGTGCGTAGTTTGCAGATTCATTCATTGTCTAGATTGTGATATTCATAGATTTTTCTTTAAGTTAAAACATATCCTGTGTATATGGTATTCTCTGAAATTTATTGTTATGTTAATTTATTAAATCAAAGTGTGCATAGTTCGTAGATTCGTTTGCTGCCTAGATTGTGCAATTCGTAGATGTTTTTTTAAGTTAAAATATATCGCTGTGTACATGGATTCTTGTCAATTCAAAATGTAGACAAAAAATTTGTGGAGTTTCTCGCCAAAAATATTTGGCCAGAAATTGTTGCCGCATTTGCCGACCTGAGGGTGCATATAAGAGTAGTTCTGTAAAATATTCTAAATTATAACTAAATATATATAAGTGACAAAAAATCTCATGACCGGATAAAGGTGGCCATGCCACTCAGAGCGTTGAAAGGCTGCTGCAAATTAAAGTTAATATGTTAACTATTTTTTTATACAGGGACGCACATATAACTATCATACACAGAAATACAGCAAATTTCTTTGGATTCAACATAATATACATAACAAAATATAATCTGAAAAAATTTTTTGAATGTTACTTTTAAACGCTTTTTCAGTTTCCTCATGATGTACTTGTTTTCAATCTGTTCATGAGACTTGAACTCGCAGAAAGTATGATGAAGATCATGCAGTAAAGACTCCAAAGCAACATAATCCGAAAAATCCGTACAAGTTAACTAAGATGGAGGAAAAAATAAACAATTACAATTTAATATTTTCATAATTCATGAAATAAAGCATCTATCATAATTTTACAACTGAACACATAACTTTAGCATACTAAGGACAGCAACTAAGTTAACATAATACAGATAAGTTTTTATCAATAAGTTTCAATATTTGTGTCATTCACTTTTCAGAATTTCTAAAAATGTGACATGGAAAATGTTTTTATTTTAAAATGATTTGTCTTGAATTATCTTTGTCTATTTGTCTAAATTATGTTTCATGAAATACTGTACATTTGTCTAAATTATGTTTCATGAAATTTCTAAAATGCAATTTCATTTAGAGCAGTGATCTAAAAAATGGTTGATATAAGCCCCTATATTTCATAATTGCCCATTTTAGTATTCTTTTTTACATGTAGGTGGGTGGGAAGAGAGGTAAAAATATATTTCAGAATACCCCTTTGCGAAAATTGGCGATTTCCTTGTTTAGGTTCAACGCCCTCCCTAGGAAAATGGCATCCAAAACATAATGCAATAAAATATAATTAAAACAAAAAAAATATATAATCTCAATAAACTGCATTTTTAATCAAACAAGGAAATAACATAATAAGTGAAATACAAGTTATCTAATTTACTGTATATTTGTTACGCAGTACAAAAAGGAAGTATGGACTATTATTACTACGCAGTACAAAAAGGAAGTATGGACTTGCCTTATTTAAAAATTTCTGTTTCTTTAATATGTGCAACATGCAAAATTCCTTAAGAGCATCCAAAAACTATTTAAAATTATCTAAACTAGAATCTGTATACTGCTGTTGGCACATCAATTCACAAAAATAAAAATGTAAAATATCCTCTATACAGCTGTTGGTGGACTGTCGGTAGCAATTCTTTCAAAAATCCCTTTTTATTAAACTCCAGATACCTTCCATAGTGTTGGTGTGAGCTCCGGTTTCGAAATCCTTTAATCTCGCTCTGTAATTTACCGAGAGGTGAACGAAGCCATTTAAATCTCCATTAATACATCAGTCCATCAATGTTTTCTTTCCCAATCATTCCAAAGTGTACAGAAACTTCAGGTCAATCATACCACCAACAGGGATTTTACAATGTAAAGCATAAAATACGCAACGTACTTCCTAACCAACATCTATACCTAAGTAAGCCCTTACAAATATTTTCCCATCAGTCAAAATCACTACAATCAATCATGTCATAACAAGGTTTCCATAGCATTCAACTACTCAGGTTAGCATGAATGAAACAACAACTTGGCAATTCAAAGGGTACTCTAAAATATAGACTAACTAGGAGAGGTTTTAAGTGGATTTAGAGATTTCTTTTTAAAGTCAGTTTTGATCCTTCGTAAATTTTAAGACATATGGTTTATTAAATCATTATTTCAAAATAAAAGATTTAACTAAATTTAATATTGGAATATGAATAATATTTTCCCCATAAAATTTGGGCTGATCTTTGGAATATGGTAATTTCATATATGTTCTTTTTACCAGGTTTAAAGACTCAGAAAATTTTCCTGCATTTTCGTGAAATTTTTCTAATTTATGAGAAAAAAGCATGTACTGGATATGTGAAGAGTGTGCGCATGCCATTTTGCGCAATTGGGTTTTTTTTTTAAGTAAAAACGTCGACGTTTACATGGTTTAGTGATATTTTAATAAATGATAGTTATTTTTTGTAATTTATGTTTGTAGAATTTGTATCGTTTCAGTTGACTAAACGGTATGAAATAATTTAAATATTTGACACTAGTATTGTAAACCATTTGTAATGTTTGCGGTATAATTTGTTGGTGACGTTTATATCTAATGATAATTTAAGGTAAAAGTTTTTGGATATTTTATTTATTTATACGGGAAATTTTCATCTTTGAAAAGGGTATATACTTTTTCACGTAGGTAATTTTCATATATTTCTTTTACCAGATTAAACGATTCACAAAATTTTCCTGCATTTTTCCTGAAATTTTTCTAATTTATGAGAAAAAAGCAGTGTACATGGATATAGTGAAGAGTGTGCGCAATGCCATTTTGTGCTATTCGGGATGTTTTTTTAGTAAAAATAGTGACGTGTACATGGTTTAGTGATATTTTTATTAAATGATAGTTAATTTTGCAATTTTATGTTTGTAGGAATTTGTATAACTTTAGTTGAAGTAAACGCATGGAAATAATTTAAATATTTGAAACTAAGTATTTGTAAGTTTGCGTATGAATTCGTGGTGACGTTATAATATAACAGAATTTTAGAGGTAAAGTTTTTGGATATTTATTTATTTTATCGTGGCAATGTCATTGGAAAGGGTATATACTTTTTCGTGATCAGGTATTCATATATGTTCTTTTTTCCGAGTTTAAGATTAGAAATTTTCCTGCATTTTCGTGCAAATTTTTGTAATTTTGAGAAAAAGCAGTGTTAATGGATAGTTTAAGAGTGGTGTGCAATCCATTTTTGTGCAATTCGGGATGTTTTTTTAAGTAAAAATAAGTCGACCTGTAAATGGTTTATGTGTATGTGCATTAAAACCGCGCAAGGAGTTTGCGATTTCACTTTTTCTGAATTTTGGAGTTAATATTGTTATTAAGCGTTTTTGTTACAGAAATTTCTAGCATACTGTAATTCGGCTAGTAGATTTTGGAAAAGTGTTCAGTAAATAAAAAGAAAAGAAACATGTCTTACTTTGTGAAAACAAAATGGTGGGAAAAAAATAGAGGGTTTTTTGTAAGAGTGGTCACCAATTTTCGCCAAAAACGCCAAGTTACCATAATCCAAAGATCACCCAAAATTTGATATTTTAAAATCAGAAAGTTTATTATTTGGAATTTTGACAAATGCTGAAATAACACAGAATTTAGAAAATCAGGATGAGATGTATCGAATGTAAAAAATAATAAATACTATGAAACAATTTTAAAATAACATCAGAATTTTTTTAAGTATAAAATTGTAAAAATAGGAGGAAATGCATAAAAAGCTGAAACGTTTTTGAAGAAATCAAATAACGGTTGATCTTTGGATTATGGTAACTTGGCGAGTTTTTGGCGACAACCTGCTACGCAACCCATTTTTTTTTTTTTTTTGGTTGATCTTTACATTATGGTAACTTGGCGTTTTTTTTGGCGAAAATTTGGCGACAAACTCTCCTACAGCAACCCTCTATTTTTTTCCCGCCGCCATTTTGTCTTCACGAAGTAAAGACGTTTCTTTTCTTTTTATCTACTGAACACTTCTTCCAACAATCTACTAGCCGAATTACACTTATGCTAGAAATTTTATCTAACAAAACTGCTTAATAATGACAAATATTCACTGCAAAATTGGGAAAAAGTGCACAATACCATACTCCTTACGCGTTTTTCAAAATAACACATACACATAAACCATGTACACGCCGACCTTATTTTTACTTAAAAAACATCCCAGAATTGCACAAAAATGGCATTGCGCACACTCTTCACTATATCCATGTACACTGCTTTTTTTCTCATAAATTAGAAAAATTTCACGAAAATACATGACAATTTTCTCAATCTTTAAACCCCGGTAAAAAGAACATATATGAAAATTACCTGATCGCGAAAAAGTATTTACCCTTTCCAAATATGAAGAACATTTCCACATATAAAATAAATAAAATATCCAAAAACTTTTACCTCTAAATCATCTATTACATTATACAACGTCACCAACGAATTCATACCGCAAGCCATTACAAATACTTAGTGTCAAATATTTAAATTATTTCCCATGCACGTTTACTTCAACTAAAACGTATACCAAATTCCTACAAACATAAAATTCACAAAATAACTATCATTTAATTAAAATATCACTAAACCATGTACACGTCGACTTATTTTTACTTAAAAAACATCCCAGAATTGCACAAAAATGGCATTGCGCACACTCTTCACTATATCCATGTACACTGCTTTTTCTCATAAATTAGAAAAAATTTCACGAAAATGCATGACAATTTTCTGAATCTTTAAAACCTGGTAAAAAGAACATATATGAAATTACCTGATCGCGAAAAAGTTTACCCTTTACAATATTTTCCACATATAAAATAAATAAAATATCCAAAAACTTTTACCTCTAAATTATCTATTATATTACAAACGTCACCAACGAATTCATACCGCAAACATTACAAATGGTTACAAATTATTTTTTAAATTATTTCCATACACGTTTACTTTCAACTTAAACGTACCAAATTCCTACAAACATACCATTGAATTTATACTCTTACCTTTAGACAATCATAAAAATAATCCTCAAATGATAAAATACTATCCTAATCTTCTAATCTTCTTATACGCACACTCCATTTGTCCTGCAGTACTCCGCTAATTTCTAAATCCGAAATCCAGTCTCAACTAAGTCATTCCCCATAATAAGAAATTAATAAAATTTCACTATACTCAAACTTTCAGCAAACCACGTACCCTTCCTTACACTCCTTTTCCACAAATGTCCATTTTCCACATTTTTCTTGCACCGCCATTCAAATCTGTAATATCCTTCCTTTTCACAACATCTAACTTATATTTATTATTCTTAAACTCATTAAAATTTTAGAATGACTTTACATGTGCCATGCTCGAAAATTAATCAACACTATTTCCACAACACACATGAGCTTACAAATAATATAGTACTACATTTTCCAATCTCCCCCCCCCCCCCCGATTTTTTCTCATTCGTCCATTAATGTCAACATGCTATCTCATATCTCTCCTTTTCCCTCACACAAATAATGCGTAATCGAACTATTCTTTCCACTATTATCAAAAGTCCTACTAGGTAGTAAACCTTTATCGCCTCCAAAATGTCGCCAAACTACCAGTTACCACATTCCAAAGATCAGCCCAAATAACTTTACTTAGCCCTGATTCATGATGTAGTATAAAAAATACATAAAAATTAAATTCGCTGTTGACTTTTCATATTATGTTTTACATTAAAAAAAATAAGGATGAAAGCTGCATGCAATAAGCTTTAATGACTACTATTTTTCCACAAAAAGATCTTTTACATCTTCTTAGTAATAAACTGAATTCATGTTCCCAACTCTCTATAGTCATTTAAAAATTACATTAAATAAGTAGCTAACATTTTATGCAATTAACTAAAATAAGTTTTAAAGATGAGATCTTATTCATCTATTTTTAAACTCAAATTAAATCTTTTTTAATCATATTTACTATTTTCCATCCAATGATAAGATCCTCCACACAAAAATATATATATCAGGTAAACTTATATTCTTGGAAATTCATACCAAATACAATTTGCCTTGATTTTTCACTTGCTTAATTCACATACATCATAAAAAAAAAAAAAATTTTCATAAATGGCAAAAATTTATGGAGGAATGAATTATTTAAAATGCCATTTTACTGAGGATTTAGAATATAGAATAATGTCAACTAAAGACAGTGAATTTGTATTAACAAACTTACTAACTCAGCACAAATTAAGAAGGTAAAAATTAAATAACTACAAAGTGTTTTTGTTTGATTCAATGTCTCACACAAAAGGTAAATGATTAAAGGAAAATAAACAAAAGATGAAACCATTTTATGTAACATTTCTTTAAATACCTTAATGCTATAAATGACATATTCTATTTTTTATAAAATAAAGGATATACATATGTATACCTAATTTATTCCAATTCAACGTTTTCTTAGCTGAACGTTAAGCTATGGAATCCAAAACTTGTTAATGGAGTATGTAAACCAAGAGTAAAAACATTAAGTTACACATGAACTATATGTTAGTGACTTATAAATAGATATTTTCCCCCCTCCCATAAAAGTGACTTGCATTTATTTGTTACCCTTACGTTGGTAAAATTTTATATTTTGTAACTTAAAAGCCATTCAGATAACCAATAACCAATATATAGGTATATCAAGAAGAATGGCAGTATATTTACCTTTCATGGTTTAGAAAGCCTTCATTATAACGGGAAAAAAAACTCATCAACGTAATAAGACATAAATATTACTCAAAATATACATTGACAAAGAAAACACAGAATTTCTAATTCTGTGTAATTCTGACCAATTTTATCAAAAATAAATTAATAGGGAAATAACTAGTGTTTTTAACTTTATCTCGCCAAAAAATGCGAATTCATTTAGAGTACTTTTATTATGCAATACATATTTTACTACACATCAAATTTTATATTAATAATGTAACGTGCTGCTTTTACGAGAAGTACTAGAAAATATGAAATTTTTAACATGACAAGGAATATTTTTAATACGTTTTACAAAAATAATGTACAATTTATAATTCTTCTACCTTTTCCGAATAAACATCTACTAATTGTTTCATCCTCGAATGAGGAGCAGAAAAGACATCAATTTCTTCTGGATATGGGGCCATGTTCAACAGTCACCTAGTAATTTAAATACAAATATTAGAGAAATAAAACACAAAATTAATAAAAAATGCAATATATTAATTAATTAAACGTAAACTACATTATCCGCAATCTTGAGTACCCTGGTTACGGTTAAAAGCCAGGTAAAAGCAAAACAAATACAATCTATCAATATAATGTATACTAGAGTTGAGAGCAAATACTTCTGTGTGAAATTATTAACTATTTCTCAAAATTCAAGAAGAAAAACTGCATGATTGTTTATTTTTAAAAGGGAATTATAAGCATTTTATTCTCTACTGTTATAAACGTGACAGCGTGAATAGTGAGGAGTATCATCAAGTGAAATATAAATTCACTAAGGGTTAGAGATTTATTCAAAAGCAACGTTACTTAACTTTCCACTCCTCCACTTGCGCAAATATCCCAAGAAGAAGCAAATAGGAAAGATGATCAAGCCTAGGTTAAAGTGACCACACGTCCTGATTTTGGTGGGACAGTCCCGCGTTTTGGAGGACTGTCCCGCGCCCCAACGATTTTTTAAAATGTCCCGCTTTTAGAAAACATCTGCATTTTATATTTTAAATATACTGTAAAAATATATTACCTATTATTTATTAATTATCATGGTAAATATAAAGAAATAAAAAATAAAAAAAACACATAAAACGCATGCAGAGTAAACTAAATTAGGCGATGTAACGAGTT